CGTGTGACCATCGAAGTGAACCCTTCATTTGATCATACTCCCCGAATCAATGACTCCAATCTCTTTTGGTTAAAGTAGTAGGTCAGAGGGCTGGAGAGATGGCTCAGTGGTTTAAGATCACTTGCTATTCACACAGAGGATCAGAGTTCAGTTCCCAGGACCGATATCCATGATTCCCAACTCCAGTTCCAGGGGATATGATGCCCTCTTCTGGTCTCCATGGGCTCCTGCTCATGGAGGCACACATTTATACCTAAGTGATAAAAAAAATATTTTAAGAAGCCATAGATCAGGGGTTGAAGAGATGGCTCAGCAGTTGAGAACACTGGCTGCTCTTTCAGAGGACCCAAATTCAATTCTCAGCACCCACATGGTTGCTCACAACCATCTGTAACTCCTGTACCAGGGAATCTGATGCCCTCTTCTGGCTTCCACAGGCATTGCATGCACATGGTGCACATACATATGAGCAGGCAACACTCATACACATAAAATGAAACTTAAAAGCAGTGGACTATAATGTGAAATGGGCAAAGGTCAAAGCCAGGAGGGTTTGCACAACAGCATCCCTGGCCCATAGCAGGATCTGTTTCCCTGAAAAAGTGACTTAGCAGTCAAAGGAAACTCGCTTCTCTGATGATAAGACCCAGTTGCATAGAGTATATGATTTCTGCTCCCAAATCTTAAGGTCTTAGGGTGGGAAACTGTTTATGTTAAAAGTGAGATCTAATGTGTCCATCACAGGATGGAGGTGTGGCTGTGGATTCCTGGGAACAGATGGGCAAAGAAAAATGTTTTAAAAAAATCCTGTCACATAAGGTCATGAGTTGGCCCAAAATAACTGGAGACACCGAGAGGATGGGTGCAGGCAGCGTATCTTGATGGAACCAGGCCAGCTTGATAAGCTGAAATAGTCCATCCTCGCCTCCTGCTCGGGAGAAAGAGGGTCACAATTAGCATTTGCAGGTTTTCGGTTTCCTTCCATCCTGACCGTATTGCTTTCCCCTCTAAGTCCCCTCTCTACCAAGTCAGAAGCCGCAGTTCTTACTAGGGGAATGGGATGACAATCCGGAAGCTAATTTTTTTTCCCACCCAGACATCTCATGACTCTGGCTTCTGCAGCAGCAGGCACTGGTGGTGCTGCCAAGTTGTGAGAGAAGGCACCTTCTCTGCCGAGTCACGATTCTGGGCTTCTACATGCGCTGCCATCAGCAAGGCAGAAGATGTGTGCTGGAGCTTCTTGGGGGAGCAGGGGAAGAGGCAGGAGGACCTGAAGGTGACTTGCTCTAGGCAGGCGTAGCCCACCCACTCACAAGGTCACCTTGCTGGTGTGCTTCAGGGCCACCCGTGTGTAGATGGGGAAGAAAAGTCACTTCTGGGCTGTCTGAACCTCTGCTTCCATGTGACTTTCTATTCTGTTCCCTAGCTCTTACCTCCAGTCCTTTAAATAACTACCGTCCTGAGTTTCTCCTGTGTGCAGCTAAGGAATGTGTGTGTGTGTGTGTGTGTGTGTGTGTGTGTGTGTGTGTGTGTGTGTGTGTACACCTACATCAGTGTGTGCGCATGTGTCTGGAGGTCATCATTCAACCTCAGGTAGGAGTCCTCAAGTATTCTTCCCTCTTCTGTCTTGAGACAAGGTCTCTCACTGGGTCCTGGAATCCACTGATTAGGCTCTCCTGGCTGGCTAGGGAGCATGAGGGATCTGCCTGTGTCCGCTCAACCTCCACAGTGCTAGGATTAGAAGTACACATCCTGCTGGTTTTGGGTTCTGGGGATGGACCTCAGATTCCCACACTAGCACAGAGAGCATTTTACTAACTGAACTATTGACCCAACAGAACCCAGGCATCTGGCCCCAGCAGAAGGCAAAGGCAGGCTTTAGGGTCAGCTGCTCTTAGGAGGAAAGGAACTAGGACAGAGTGTCCAGAAAGCAAGGTGGCTTTCTCCTGCTGTCAGCTGGGAACATTCTCAGCTTCAAATACCAGCAACATAGTGTGGGAGGATGGGGGACATTTTCAAGCCCCTCCTGCACTGACTCTGACTTTGTCTACTGGAAGACTAACGAACAGGAGGTAGGGAGAGACTTTAGAGTCATGCACTGGGAATTTCTCTCAACAGCTGGGCTTTGGAACCTGTGGCCACCACCACAGAGTCTTGTCAGACGGAGACTGGGAGGATGGTTGACCACTCTGAGCTGCAACAAGCCCAGCCATGGCCTCCCTAGACTGAGTTTCACAATCTCCCTCTCCATTGAGGATGGCGCGTTTCTCTGCACTGGTGGATGGTTCTGTGAGGTATGGGGCATTTGGCAGCCGCAGCCTCCACCCACAGTCTGATTAGTGGCATCATCTGTGGTTAAGAATCGCTACCCCAACCCACTGATCTGCCAGGAACCAGACATGTAAACAAGGCCACCTGTAATCATCCAGGGTAGACGGCAGAGCCTTGGCCTACCTTGACCTGTGCAATCATGAGACATAATATTTGTCATTTTAAGTGACCAAGTTTCGGGTTGTTTGTTCCGGAGCAGACACACACCTGACTACATTGGCTTCAGTGTGTGGGGACAAGCAAAGTCCAGAGAGAGGCAGTCCAGGCATGGCTTAGAGCTCTCGGATGCCACTAGGCCCCAACAGACCCTCTTCTTTTCTGCTCTATTGTCATTGAAAGGTGACTTTTCCCTTCTGTTTCAGAAGCAAAACGCTCCCAGGACTCTGACGTCTGTGTCAATGTGCAGCTCTGTATTGTATATTCTAGCTGTAAGGGAGGAGGGAAAACCAAGACACTTAGCTTTTAGCTGCATTGCAGAGGAAGGAGATGACCACACAGTGACTAAGCAGAGATAGGCTCTGCTCCCCAGTGGCTTCTCTCTGCACTGTCCCCATGCTATCTCTCTGGGCTTCTGGGGCTTCTTGCCTCTCTCTCTCTCTCTCTCTCTCTCTCTATATATATATATATATATATATATATAAACATCTTCTGGCCTTCCCTTCCGGAAGATCGGCTCCTTCTTTCTCTGGCTGCCCCAGCCTTGGGATTGAATCACCATTCACCTCCAACTCACTGATCTTAGTGGCACCTCAGTGTCCGCTTCCAAATGCCAAGGATGGAGTTGCTGAGGACCCAACTTGAACTGGGAGGGAGTCAGATTGGTTATAACCAGTCTGCTATGGTTGAACTGGAAGATCGAGTCAGATTGGTTATAATCAGTCTGCTACCTGTTGATGATGCAATAAATCTGATATGGGTTGCTGCCCTGGGGAAGGCAGGTGTCAGGAAGTGAGGTCAGTTGTAAAGGTGAAAAGAAATAGTACCACGTCTCTTACTCCCTACTTTTTTCCCTCCCTCCCTCCCTCCCTCCCTCCCTCCCTCCCTCCCTCCCTCCCTCCCTCCCTCCCTCCCTCCCTCCCTCCCTCTTTTCCTTCCTCCTTCCCTCTCTCCTTTCTTTTCTCTCTCTCTCTCTCTCTCTCTCTCTCTCTCTCTCTTTCTCTTTGTGGTGCTGGGGAAGGAGCCTAGAGTCTGTCCATGCTTGTCCATTTCTCTACTACAGAGCCACATCCCAGTGACCACACAACTCCTCCTCCTTCCTTCCTTCCTTCCTTCCTTCCTGAGGCAAGGTCTTCCTATATAGCTTAGGCTGGCCTTGTACTAACTATGTAACCTAGGCTTGACTTTGCTCTTGCAATCCTCCTACACCCACCTCCTGAGTGCTGGGAACACACACGTGCCACCATCCTGGCTAATATGACCCTTGAATAATCTGAACTCCGATACATTCCTACATTCAACACATGCAAATCCTATGCACCCATACAACAGATAAACTGTATGTGTTTATGTGTTTTGGTTCTCAAACATGCACCAGCGGCTCTGACTGCAGCTTAACTTAGTGATCTGTATTGGTTTTTGGATGAAAACCTGCTGTTTGGGAGTCTGAGGACAAGGGCCAGTACAATTATTTAGTTATGGTGTGTGTGCGTGTGTACTTGCGAGCTTGTGTGTGCATGTGTGTGTATCTGATGCATGCACATGTGTGTGGATGTGAGCACTCATGTCATGTATGCACTCATGAGAAGCCAGACAAGGCTGTTGGTATCTCACTCTGTCACTTTTCACCTTATTTCACTAAGACAGGGTCTGAGCTCGTGGCCAGCAAGCCCCAGCCATCCTCCTGTCTCTGTCCACTCACATCATTGTGGTTGCAGGAAAGTGTACAGACAGAACTGGATTTTTACACGGGTTCTGGGGATTTGAACTCAGGTCCTCATGCTTGAGCACTGAGCCATCTCCTCAGCCTCCCCCTTTTGAGACAAAAAGTTTGACTGTCCTCAAACTTGCTAAGTACTTGGGGATGACCTTGAATTCCTGCCCCTACTTCCCCTCCTAACTCTGGAGTTCTGGGATCACAGGCATGGGTCATTAAAAAGCTGCCAGTGCTCTTTACCAATGGGCATCTCTCCAGGCCTTCAGGAGCATTTTTAAGGTCAAGTAAAGATCATCTTTCTGTTTTTGGATGTACCTGTCATGGAATACCACATAAAGAGTTTCTCCTATATTCCCCAAGTGTTAACAAGTAGAATACATTTGGTTTTAGAATTACATGATGTTAGCTTTAATTGTCAATTTGACACAACCTGGAGTCACCTGGGAAGAGAGGCTCAAGGAGGGTTGGTCTACTTTGATTTGGTCTGTGGGCACAGTTTTATGGGGCATTGCCTTAACTAAGTCGGTTGATAGAGAGAACCCAGCCCACCGTGGGCAGCATCATTTCCTAGGCAGGGGTTCTTGAACTGCATGCAAGTGGAGAAACGGAGCTGCGTGCAAGCAAGCATGCGTGCATTCTCTCTCTGCATTCTTCTCTCTGCTCTGACTGCCGGTGTGATGTGACTAGCCGCTTCCTGCCCTGACACTCAAAAAATGAGTTGAAACAAGCCCCTTATCCCCTAAGTTGCTTTTTTGTCCAGGGATTTTATCATAGCATCAGAAACGAAACTAGAACAGAATATGAAAATATTTTTATTGTGGCTTTTAAAAACAACGACAACAACAAAAACCAATCTATTTTGTGCCTTTTGGCCCCTTCTCCATCTAAGTATGGTTGGCTGTAAGGTCAAGAAAGAAGGACAGCGATGAGAGGTCAGGTGGGTAGACAGAAGGCAGGGTACCAGAGAAGAAACCGGAGTCTCTGAACACCAGGGAAATGGAGTGCGTGTTCTTTGGTGACTGAGTCCTTGGTCTGTCTTGTAGCCAGAGACAGGGAAGACAAAGGTTACTCGGTCCAGTAGAATGGGCTCTGTGGGGGGGCTGGAGAGATGGCTCAGAGGTTAAGAGCACTGACTGCTCTTCCAGGGGTCCTGAGTTCAATTCCCAGCAACCACATGGTGGCTCACAACCATCTATAATTCAATCTGGTGCCCTCTTCTGGCATGCAGGCAAAACACTGCATGTGATAAATAAATCTTAAAAAAAGAAAAAGAAAAAGAAAAGAAAAAAAATGGATGTTGTGACAGAATTAGAAGCCCAGCTTCTGAGTTTGCAGGCCTGTCAACCTCTCTGGGATTTGGCATCCTGGTCTGTGAAATGGAGGAATGAGGGACTTGGGGAAAGGATTAACTGAGAAATATTTTGATAACTGCAAAGTGCCGTAGAAATGTCGGTCACGGTTACAGAGGCGATGGAATTGATTGGCATTCTAAATTTATTATAATAAACACAGATATAAATTTGTTATACTGTAGTCAAGTTCCCCAAGCTTCCCCTTTGCCCTGTGGCTCTAGTTGGAAGAGCTGATGCTTAGGTACATCGCAACCCAAATGCGAACCACGCGACTGTATCCACAAGGCTGGGAGTCAGGGTTAGAGACATATTCTTCATATACCTGCATGTATATACATTTATAGGTATTTTTTTAAAATCCTCTCTCCACACACTGCAAAATATCAATCTAGAAAGTCAAATACCCAAGCAACACTCTTAAAGTGCTGTCAAAGTCCCTTGGTTACTGGAGAGTCAAACCAACTCCATCAGGATCACATGAGGCCCTGGGACAGTGTGCTTTCTAGTTCTTTCCGCCAGGCTTAACAAATGAAAAAAACTGGCTAGACCTGCATGCGTCCTTCTTTGTCTCTTTTTCTTGGCCCATCTTCAGGGTGACTTTCTTGACTCCAACCTTCAATGAACAAAAAGGACAAATACATAAAATTTATCACTACAGTTAGGGCCCCAAATGGCCTATGCATTTTAAAAAAGATTTATTTTTAACCATGCCTGCGTGCGTGCGTGCTTGCGTGCATGTGTGCGTGCGTGCGTGCGTGCATGCGTGTGTGTGTGTGTGTGTGTGTGTGTGTGTACATGCGCACATGCATGCATGCGGAGGCGTCTGAAGAGTCCAGAGGCAGCGATTGCCCCTGGGGCTGGAGTTACAGGCATTTGTAGCTGTCTGACATGGGTGCTGGGAATCAAGTTCCAGTCCTCAACTGACGAGCCTTCAGTTCCAGAGCCCTGTGTGGCTTGCTTGTGAAATATGTACGCATGCAGATATGAACGAGGGCGTGCAATGGTTGGTCATCGCCACGCCCCCCCCCAAAGGTAAAGCCTTGTGCTTGGACGTATACTTGCAGCGTGAGGGCTGCTTTCCTCCCTCTTCAGTTTACAACGTGTGTCTGAAAATGGGATGTGTGACAGGAGCTGCTCCTGGGTGGAGTTTCCTACTCCTTGGGGGCGGGGTTTCTCCAGCTGAGCTGCCACAGCACTGAAGGTGCCCCGTGGCTCTGATGGTTTGGCAAGAGAACATGACAGAGTCTTCAGGAGGTCCTCCCTCCTTTCTGGTCCTTCTCATTCCCTCTGCTTCCAGGTCACAGCTAGGCTTTTTGGATGATGATGACCCCAAGGATTAGGGTTTGTGGACCTGGCTTGTCATTCGCTTGCTTCCTGTCACATGACTGGGAAGAGGTCTGCAGAGTGATGGGGTGGTGAAGTGGACTGTGTGTGTGTGTGTGTGTGTGTGTGTGTGTGTGAGAGCGAGAGAGAGAGAGAGAGAGAGAGAGAGAGAGAGAGAGAGAGAGAGAGAGAGAGAGAGAGAGAGAACAGCATCCAGTCCTCTCCTTTGGTTTTTTACAGGACATCCATCTCTGCTTCTGTCTACCCATCTCCCTTTGTGGGTAGGTGAGCACAGTTCCAGAAGCCCTCTTGCACACAGCCCTCTGTGTTCTGTAGATACCTGGGCCGTTTGAGTGCCTATCTAACAGGGTGCATGCTTCCCGCTGTCTCCTACCCATATTTGACTCCAGACATGGGTATACACCTACACCCAAGGCAAGGAGGAGCTGGTTGATACAGTGAGTTTCAGCTGCCACCATAAGACACTCCCCTTCCCCCCACCACATCCTCTGTCAGACGAAGACCAGGCTATGGGGCATGTCTTCCTCAGAGACTTGTGGAGTCCTCCTGGGAATGTTTATTATTTTTTTTAATTACATCTTATTTATTTGGGTGTGCATGGATGCATGTACATGTGTGTGCATGTGTTTATACATACGTGCATATGTGTGCATGCCATGTATATAGTCAGGTCATGAGGCTTGGTATCAAATGCCAGGTCATGTGGAGGTGTCTCCCCAGTCTCTGGAAACACCTTAACAGGAACACTCTCTCTTGATCTCTTTTTGCTTAGGACAGCTTTGAAATTAGCCTCAGAAGGCCCAGACCAGTGACAGATGGGAGTCTTAAGTGTTTGTTTTAAATAATTGCATTATTTTTTGGGTGTGAGTGTTTTGCTTGTGAGGATGTATGTGCCCCTCATGCATGCCTGATGCCCGGCTAAGGTCAGAAGAAGATGCTGGGTGCCCTGGAATGGGAGTTACAGATGACCCTGAGCCACCGTGTGGTGCTGAGAATTGGACCCAAACGTTCCGCGAGAGCAACAGGTGCTCTTCACCACGGAGTCAACTCGCCAGCCCCTTGTTTCGTCTTTCAAAGACAGGATCTTATGTAGTCCAGGTTGGCCTTGAAATTGTGAGATAGCCTAGGCTAGCCTTGAATTCCTGATCCTCCTGCTCGAACCTCCTAGGGATTGTGGACATGTTCTACCTCCCAAGCCCAGCCCTTGAAGGTGTTGTGAAAACCAGAATTCAGAAACTGTTCAGGGGAGAAAAGCCTGTACAGCAGGCCACTCAGACACTACTGACCTAACACCCAGGGAGGTACAGCAGGCCACACAGCCGCTGTTGACCTGACACCCAGGGAGGAAGAAAGCAGACAGCAACCAAGATCCTCTTCCCTCGGCAAGGTCTTTCCTTCATGCTTCTTTCACTGGAGTTTCCAATAAAACTGTCCCCAAATGTCGCTGCCCCCAACTTCTTGCGGTACCCGAGCCAGAAAGATGCTTATTAAAAATACAGACCCAGGTCCAGGTGGTGCCACCCCCATGTCTGCCAAGAGCAGAGAAAGAAGAGACTTTTTTGGTATCTATTGGACTTTGACAAGGGAAAGAGCAGCGGAAGGCAGATGCTTCCAGCGGCCTGGGTAGAGGAGGTAGCTGCCGGCTTTGGATTGGCTGATGCAAGCAGGAAGGGGTGGAGCCCTGGCAGAGCCCAGCCTGAGATGGGCTCCAGACAGCCCGCACCCAGTGTTCCCTTTGACATCTTTGCGGTCACAGACTACACCCTAAGGGACAGAACCCAGTCTGCAACAGTGCTGCCCAGGTAGAAATTGTACACTGGATTGGCTTTTCCTGGCAAACCGCAAGACCCAAGCCTTTCCCAAGCAGCTACAGGTGTCTTAGCCATCTCACACACCTCTGTGGCCTCACACTGGGTGGGACCCCGTGAAAGAGACCCTGGAGCAGCCGGGCGTTGGTGGTGCACGCCTTTAATCCCAGCACTAGGGAGGCAGAGGCAGGCGGATCTCTGTGAGTTCGAGGCCGGGCTGGACCGACAGCCTCCAAAACAATACAGAGAAACCCTGTCTCGTAAAACCAAAAAAAAAAAAAAAAAAAAAAAAAAGACCCTGGAGCTCTGCCCACTGACCTTTGCCTTTCCAGCACTTTGATCAAAGTAGTTATTAGCCCTTGTATTTGCTTAACAACAACAAAAATAGTTCAAAGGCTAAGCCAGAAAGACAAGGATTTTTATGAGTGTTCTGGTCTGGTTCCTTTCAGTCATTATTATCCCTTGCTGACATTGTGGATGTCTTTCCCTAAGCCCTCTTAAATACATGAAAATGTTATGTATGTTATTCATGTATGCATATATGTATTGTGCATGTGCACACATGTATATATACATGCCAGTGCTAAGGAAATTTGTATTTTAGATCTTTAGATCAGGGATGCCCAACCCGTGAAGGTGCATGCATTGTGACTGTGTTTGGTGTATGAAGTATGTGATTTATACATAGAAGATTCATGTCTGCCCCCTTCCTGGTGGCATTGCCCCTTTGGGGATGCACGATTGACCTCCACACCTGCACTAACCTGCCACATCTCAGGCTCTCAGCTCATGTCTGTCACAGGATGGGACCTGGTGGTTCAAGCCTCCTGTCCCATGCTCAAAAGTAGCCCAGCCTAGGCAATCAGCAAGTGTCTAGGAAATGTTTGGGAACATAGAAAACTAGAAACATGCCTACTTTGGCATACAGCCCACAAACAATGCCAAAAGACTGTTGGCTGCAAGGGAGAGAAAACCAGCCTATGGCATTTTGGAGGGCAGAAGACAAAGGCCATGGGGCCCTGACAAGTGGAGGCACTTCTGAAGCTACTAGGAGGGACCTATGAGTGGGGAAGCCCGGAAGAGCCTTGCCAGGTCCTGCCTCTTTCCAGGAGGAGGTCATGCTGACTCCATCTCCCTCAGGATTCCAGGCGTGCTAGGAAGGGGACCCAGCACAAATTTGCAAGAAGCAAAGCTCTCTGCACCATTGAGTCCTAGACCACAAACCTTGAGGTGACGCCTTCATGACTGGGAAGTGAGGTCACGGTACTCCTAGCAGAAGTACACGTTGTCCCTTTCTCTGCAGTCCAGAGGACACCTGCCATTCCCGGGTCTCCTGATCAGAGAAGCATGGTATCCTGCCACATCTGGATCCCCTAGACATCTTTGTCTGTTACATCCTCAGGCAGTTCTCAGATAACACCTAGCTGAGTCTCTCCCATGTTTATGGATGAATGAAAAGCCTGCCCTTTATAGCAGGCAAAGGTCTCAGATCTAAGGGACCCCCAGAACACTCTCTGTCCTCCCAACATCTACCTCTGTCTAGTTTTGGGATAAAGATATTGAAGAAGGGACTTTTGATCTCTAAGTGTCCCTTATGGCTAGGTGGTGGTGGCGCATGCAGAGGCAGGCGGATCTCTGTGAGTTCGAGACCAACCTGTTCTACAGGGCAAGTTCTAGGACAGCCAGTGTTGTCACACCGAGAAACCCTGTCTTGAAAAAAAACCAAAAGTCCCTTATGACCAAGCATGCTGGCATATGCCTCTATACTAGGATACAGAGTCAGGCCAGGTATACACAGTGAGCTCTAGGCCAGCCAAAGTTACACAGTGAGACCCTGTCTAAAAAACAAAAAAGTTCTACCTGGTGTTGGTGGCACATGCCTTTAATCCCAGAACTTGGGAGGCAGAAGCAGGCGGATCTCTGTGAGTTCAAGGCCATAGAGATCCACCTAGTCTACAGAGAGAGTTCCTGGACAACCTCCACAACAATACAGAGAAACCCTGCCTTAAAAAAAAAAAAGAAAAAAAGTTCCTTATATAGAATATGTTTTTTCCAATGTTAACTTTGATGGTTTAGAATAATGTAGCCTTTCAGGGACCCAAGGTACAAGAGACAGAAATTATGGGGACACGAGGTCTAAGGCAGCTAGTTCACCAGTGGAGACACGAGTTAGCCCTTATTATAAAGGATACTGACCTAGAGTAGTCTTCTCATGCATAGACATTTAATGTAAAAGCAGCTAGAAGTCTGAGTGTATCTGACCCATGCTTTCCCCAGACACTGCCTAGACTCTCACATAAAATCAACTCTATTAAAGCAAGAGAAGCCTGTGGTCCTGCACCCCTGTCAGCTAGACTTCAACCTTATCAACTGTAATCCTGCCATTTGCCTCTTAGGGACTAAACAGTGATAAGACAGGCAATTCAAACGCCACCCAAATCCTCCATATGCCTGTCATAAAACAGGGAGAGCCTTGACTCTCTCCTGAGGAGCCCACACCTACACTTGGGTATGTCTGATCTAACCCTTGGGCTTAAGCCTATATGAAAATATCTGGAATAAAATCTAAAATCTCCAATTCAGCGTTACAAACTGGCCCCGCCCTGAAATGTCTTTCATCACCGATGCTCTGAAACCCGTCTTAGCCTGAGTTGAGGTCCCTGAAGCTCAAGAGAGCTCCTCAGGCTGTTGAGGGTGACTCTTTCTCTCTGTCTCTCTCTCTCTGTCTCTGTCTCTGTCTCTTTGTCTCTGTGTGTGTGTGTCTATGTGTGTGTGTCTATGTATGTGTGTGTGTGTGTGTGTGTGTGTGTGTGTGTGTGTACACGTGTGTGTGTTTGAGCACTAGGAAGACCAGGCAGTGTTGGGGAGGTGTGCTATGCCTCCATCTGTACCCCTGAAATGCCAACAGATTTATCTCCCTTTTTCATGTATTAAGGAAGTGCATCTCACCCCAGGCTTCCAGAAGTTTGCCTCTGCTTTCAGCAAGGCAGAGTGCAGATTGAGGCAATTCCAGGAATGGCTGGATCGCAACTGCGATGGTTCAGTATATTTAAAATGTCATAGTCTTGAGTCTTATCTCTTTAAAAAAAAGAGTATTTTAGGCAGCGTTCTCTCGGAATTTGAGAGAAATGCTTATCCAAACTGCGGTAAGTTTACAGCCTGGAACACCCATATGTCCCACCTGCATTGGGTTCCACGGAGGACTCCTCAGCCTCTGAGCCTCAGACCCGTCCTCTGTGGGCTAGGTTAGCCCCTGCCCCAGAGGTGAGTGAGATGTGGTGCTGATACCAAAAGCTAGCCATTTCCTGTCTTCCTGGCTCACCTGGAGACTTGAGTTCTGCATCTTGTTCTTGGCCATCTCTACAAACACGCGTCCCTTTAATGCAGAAAGGATAGATAGCGACAGCATTTAGTTTAGAGTCACACCGCCTTTTACGTCAAAGAGGAGTGCGTTCTCCTCTATTTCAAGAGGCTGTTCATTCCGGATGTTGGGCCCACTTTGTGTGTGGGGGGAGCAGGAAGTGACACATTGACTTGCAGTAGGCAGGTGCTGCCTTAGGGATACGAGGGCTCCTGCATAGCCGCTTAGGGGTCTCTGCTTAGATTATAACTAGGAGACCACCAGCTGAACACAGACCCTTCTCAGGGGACAAAGCTGCTTCTGCTGGGATGGAGGGCTCTGGGCTCCACCCAGCGCAGGTATAAGGAGACACAGGGATACCCTGCTCTCTGGGGATCGCCTGTTGGGAAGTCACTGTTACCCGTGTCTGGCAGGCTGTTTGGATGCAGAAGTGTTGGCCCTGGGGTCTTCCAGACTTGACCTTAGGGGTAATTCCCAGGAGAGACCCTTCAGGGGTTCAGGAGTATCAGGGTGAGGGAGTGAGCCGGGGCCTCCCGTTCAGTTGTCAACAAGTAAACCCGAGAGGCTGTTAGGGAGAGGGAGCTCCCAGAGAGTTCTCAACACCAGAGAGTTCTCAACACCAGTGGGTCACAAAGACCAATGCCTTCAGAGCTCCGGATGGAAGACAAGGAAGGGAGATTGGGTGAGCTAGGAACCAGGATCCTGGGTCCTGCCTAAGGTGGCAGATGGACTGTGGGTCTTGTGTTCTTGTCCCACATGTTTCTCAGAGAGAAATCCAGCCTATCGTGATATTACTTAAAAAAACCCCAAAACGCCCGAAACCACCAAAGCCTCAAAGCAAAAAGCATCCGGCAAGCAGCTGAAGCACACCTGTAGACAGCTGTTGGTAACAGCCTCTTCTGAGCCTCCCAGCTTTACACCAAGCTGGTGTGCAGTCAACGCCCCCGGGTGGACTGCCAGAGAAAACGGTGCCTAAGTTCATTCAGACTTCATAAGGAAAGCTCATCTCTATGAAAACATATCTCCATTCAGTGTTTGGGGACATGCTTAGACTAAATTACTAGTTGTTGTTTATCTGAATTCAAAAGGCAGAGGGTGTGGCCCTGTAGTCGAGCTTGTTCCCCAGGCAAGGGGCCCCAGGTTCTGTCCCCAACACTGCATGGAGAACACAATCCCCCATGAAATGCAGCCATGACTGGGGCCCTATTTTACTTTCCCCTCCTACTCTGGCAACCCAACCCCATGTCCCCATGGAGGATGGGAGTGGGGCTGTCTCCAGGGACAGGGAGAATGAATGCTTGTCAGTCTCTTCCATCCTCTCAAAACAGCTGTCCCTGAACTCTTTGAGGGCTGGATTTAGCTGACAGTTGCCCTCTGGGTGTTTTGCATTTGGAAGGCCTTGAGCTTGCAGCTGTTCAGAATTTATCACGTTGGGGCTGGAGAGATGGCTGTGAGGAGCGGTTGCTACTCTCCGGAGGACTTGAGTTTGCCTCCCAGGGTCCACACTGGAGGCTTAGGACCAACTGCCTGTAACGCCAACCCCAAGATATCACATGCCTTCTGGCCTCCAAGGGCAATTGCACACACACACACACACACACACACACACACACACACACACACACACACACACGGCACAAACCTGGTTTAGAGGCCTAGGCTTGGACAATGACCACCATTCAGAGTCTGTCATATTATAAAGCAGCAATTTAAAACCAACCTTCTCTCTTTCCTTCCCTCCCTCCCTCCCTCCTTCCTCCCTCCCCTTTTTTTAAAAAAGTACTTGGGGGAGCCCAGGGCTTGTTACATGCTAGGCAAGGGTTCTAGCACTGACCTGTTGGTCGTTCATGTGCCTTCCTCTTTGTTTTCTACTCTTTCAGCAGCAGAACCCTTTACCCAACCCAAGTCTTGTAGCATATTAAATATATGCAGTAAAGCTACTTTGGCTAATGTGGGCTTGGGGGTGTCAAGAGTCATCCCTACAAATGGGACCCAAGGATGCTGAGGGACCATAGCTCACTGCTCCCGAATCCATCTGTGAATGAAGGCCAGCTGGCAGATAGCCGAGCCCTGAAAGGGCAGAGCCCGGGCGCCGGACTCTCGGGGCGTGAGGACATCGAGAGCTGCTCTCAGGTGTGACTCAGTGGACACCAAGGCTGCACTTAGGGATGTGGCACATCATGTCACAGGAGCCCCCGCAGCCCCGGGGAATACGCTGGATGGTCCTTGGTTCTGAGGACGCTGGGAACAGCCCATGTACTGTATTTGGCGATCAATGTGAACTGGGGACCAAGTTGGTTGGATCTCCATTTCCTGGCCGCCAGGAAGCCTAGAGTAAGTGTGAGAGCTGATGCGGGTGTGAGGGCTGCTATAGTCAGGGGCTTCCATCGTCATTCCAGGTCCTACGTCATGCCCCCCTATCCTTCATCCTCAGGATGGAGGTCCTGGATACCCATTCTCTCTCCTCTTCTTTTCTCATGAATTTGTTTTCAAATCCCCAAGCCATTTCGTGTCCAAGGTGTTTTGTCCCATCAGCTAAAAGCACACGGGTTTCCTACACCTTGGGACCCTGAATTAGACACTTTTGCCCTGTCTCCTAGGTCCTTTGTCCAAAGTGCCAGTGGGCAGTGGGCAGGATGAGGCTGGGAGGGAGGATGGGGAGGGGTGCCAGTGTCCCTGGGCAGTGCGGGCTGCTGGTCATGGCTGTAGGGTTCTCACCCTTGCAAGGACCGGCTTTGCACGTGGCTGCCTGATCTCGCCTCTCCGTACCTGCCTCTCATTGTCTTTGAAGGGACAGCTGCAGGATGTGTTTCTTTGCTCTTGGTCCTCTACCCGGTCCTGAGCGAAAATACGAGGTGGGGGGAGAGCAATTAGTCCGTTCTGTTCCTACCTGGGGCATACCTGTGAGGGCTTCTGGGAGATGCTCTGGTTCACCCGCCAGCGCTCTCAGAAGAGGCACGCGGGAGGGTGGAACCCGTCCCCTTTAGCACTGTTTTCCCACCCATACTCTGCACCACTCACCTCCAGTTTCTTTTTCCACCTTCTATCCTCGTGGCTCTCAATCCATCCCCCAAACACTGTATCTACTGACTTCTTTAATTTTTTTTTCATTACATCTGCTTATTTATTTAGTGCCTGTGTCATGAGCTCACATTGGAGGTTAGAGAGCAACTCAAGAGACTGTGCTCGCCTTCCGCTTTATGGGGCCTGGGAATCGAACTTATGTAACTAAGCTTGGCAGCAAGTGCCTTTACCTAACAAGCCAGTCTCACCTGACCGACATCAATTGGTTTCTACTCCTTGGCCACGGTGGGACAGAGGCAAAGAGGATCTAGACAATCTCAGAAAGCAGTGAATTAACCAGAATAAGGATGATGGCGGTGGCAAAAGCCATCACTGGACATCCTACTCGCTCAGGCTCTATACCCATGCTCTGCCTGAATTGAACCCTGTGGGCCATGCCCTGTTTATATTCACACCCTGAAGACAAGGAATCTAAGGTAATTCCGTGGGAGGGGCTGGGGGACTGGAGGCGGCTTTGGCCTAGCTGAAACCACTCCTGAAAGCAGTGTCCAAGCCCCCTGGGCTGGGATTTAACAGGCTGGAGCCTGGAAAGGAGCGAAATTTCTCCCCTTGCCAGAGTAGCCACTGATAGCAGCTGTTCTCACACTTGCAGCCTGGAGGAAGCCCAGGAAAGGGCTCCCAGGCTTCTCAGAGGGCAGCTCCCGAGTGTTTAAAAGCTTTCTATTGAGAATTCCCATCTGAGCCATTCACGGAAAGTATCTGCTCTTTTTTGGCTGAGGCCCCAGCTGCATTCACCAATAGAAAAGACCGCTTTACAAAAGGCTGCTGGCTCCAGGGGAGCAGGAAAAGCCTCAGGGTTTGCCGGGCTCTCAGCTGTGGGGCAGGGAGGGGGGCAGGACCAGCCCCACCATCTAGAGTTGCCTTTCTTTCCCTATAGGACTGAGTTTTCTGGGGTGCTGCTGGCATTCTGCCACGAACCCCTCCCCACTATCCTGCAAATTGGTCCTGTTTGCCACTGCCGTTGTTGAGAAGCCAGAGACATGGCACGGTCACCTACTCGTCACTAGGTCTCAGAGGTGGGGGCAGACCCTATTGTTTGACTCCAAAGCTGACCTCTTAATTCTGAGATGGGTACTTTATCTGGGAATGCGGGAACTGGACAGGGCAGCACAGCCCGGGCATTGTCACAGTCCCATTGTCCCACAGAGGAGGCTCTGAGGTTCCAGGCTGTGTGTGTGGGTGTGTGTCTGGCACCATGGCTTTCTTAGTGTCTGATCACACTAGTGTACAGACAGTAAAGCCCCCTCGGAAAGACAAGTGGTGGATGTTCTCCCTCGTGTGTGCTTCCTAGGTTTTCTATAGACACAGATCATAAAACAGAGTAGGAGGGAAAAGGTCTAGGGGACCAAAGGGGCTCGTGGGGTTGAGCAAAGGGAGCATAGGAGAGAGTGAGCGTGTGTTCGTAATGTATAGTATATATGTGCACGAGAGTGTCCTCGAGTAACCCAGTGCCACGTGCAAGGCCTATATATCAATGAGAAGTCAAGAAAAGAAAAAAAAGAGTGTTAGTTTGGAGGTGCAGCTTTTGATTCTGCGAAGTTCTGTATTGTGAAGAGGAGCTCAAACATTCAAATACATTGGTATGCATGTACGTGTGTGTGTGTGTGTGTGTGTGTGTGTGTGTGTGTGTGTCTGTGTCTGTGTCTGTGTCTGTGTCTGTGTCTCTCTGTCCTGGAGGAGCGTGGTTCTGAAGCTTCAGACAGGAAAAGGAAATTCCCCTTCCCAGGGCCCCAACCAGTCTGTCTGCATGATATTACACAGGAGACTTCGAAAAATGTTAAGCTTCCTTGAGAAAAAAGTAAACATAAAATTAAAAAGAATTGGTTTTCCTTTAAGACCCTCACCCTTAAAAACAGGGTTTCACCAGGCTGGCCCCAGACTCTCAGAGATCCTGCCTCCTGAGTGCTGGGGTTGGAGGGGTATGCCACCACCCTTCCTTTTATTTATTTATTTTAATGAAAATATATTCCTGGGATGGACAGATGATTTAGAATTTCTTTTCCCCTAGCAAACAGGAGTCTCTGGAAATACGTAGCGTCACAGGCATTACATGAAAACCAGAGTCTTAGAATGACAGCCCGCTACCCTAGCAATCAGAGGGCAGTAGAAGTCAGCAGGATTGTAAGGCAAAGGGCTTGATGGGAGCGCTGTGTCTGCTGCCGGGCTGCCAGGTATGCATCCTGACCCTTGCAAGCTGTGGAACGCAGCAGGTGCAGCATGGCGGAAGCAAGCCCAGGCAGCGGGCGTACGTGAGCCTGAGCGGGGCGGGCCATTTATCAGCACGATGTGGCCACGCTACAGCTCCATCTCTCTCTTTCCACACTGTAAAGCCTGAGAAATTTGCACGGCCCCAGCCCTCGCTCTGCCGGGACCCCTGCTGCATGCAGGTTCAGCTGGGCCATTTCAGTTCGCCCACGCAGGACGTCTGATGCCAACGGACTGGACGGCTGCACTGTGCGTGAATGAGGCGCCTCGTGAATAATGCATGTGACACCGATTATGCAAATCCCCGGGTTCTTACATTTTCAGCCAGCACACCACAATGGGCTGTTTGGGGGCCCTCTGAGGTCCTGTTCTACGGTTTTGTGTCTGTTCTGCAGGACCTTGGCTGCCAAATCCCAGGCGGCACCTTGGGAAGAAGTGGGCTCCTTAGCAAGCCCAACCTCCTATCATTCCTTCAGCTGCCCTGGCGGGCTTAGTGCAAAAGTGCCCCCCATCTTCTGCCTGAGGTAGCCCGTGGCACACGCATGTGGATCTTGTGATGTTTAATTCAAAGGGATGAGTGTGAACAGCTGTGTTGGGGGCTGCTTTCATTGCCGGGTGGGGCTTGGCTTCTACAATGACTCCTCACCCCTCAGCGGAGCTTCCTGGAAGGGGAGGGGCCCCCTTTTCTCATGTCTTGGCCTCCTTAGAGCTCAAACACACACACACATACACACACACACACACACACACACAGAGTCACATCCATGTTGATGTACACAGAAGAGTCATGAGTGTGCCTATGCCAACACAGACACATACACTGTTACAGTCACACACATACATGCATAGGCAAGCATGTCCATTGTTATGCATATTTGAACACTTATGCACACAGTCATATACATGCAAACACTCATGTACATACATGTGCATACACATACATGCGCACACACATGACATGCAGCTCCAAAGTCGAAGAAGATAAGTTACAAGGGGAGTGCTGGGAACAAGCCCACACACAGTACAGGAGTCAGGGGACACGCTTGGGGCCATGGTGCAGTCCTCTTCACCAGCTACCGTGCGACTCTCAACTCTGTTCTCACTTTTCTTCCTCTTCTAGACAGGGGCTCATCTCATGTGGCTCGGTGTGGCTGCACACTCTTAACCCTTCTGTCTGTACCTCCTGAGTGCTGGGCTCCCTGGCAGGCATCACCACACCCGGTTTATTCAGTGCTGGGGATCTGGGCCAGGGTTTTATGAATGCCAGGCAAGCACTCAACCAGCCGAGCTACATCCCGTCCCCAGCCCCAGGCTCTCAACCCACTGAGGCTCCGTCTCTTCATCTGGGAAAAACAAATCAGGACCATGGTCCTCACCGGGAAGGCCCCTTAATGGCATTAAGTAAATGGCTTTGTCTGCAAAGCCCTGGGCCGGGCCTGTGGAGGGTCATGAAGAGATGGTGGCAGTGGTAATTTCCTTGTCAGCCTGATCTGAGACTGAGGTCTGTTCTGTCTTAGCAAGAGCTGAGGGGGCTGCTGAGATGGCTACAAGGGCGAAGGCGTCTACTGCCAAGCCTGACAGCCTGAGTTTGATCCCCAGGACCCACACGGTGGAGGGAGAGAACCGACTTGTAAGAACTGTGCCTGACACCCACATGCATATTGTAGCACGTGCACACCCACGAGCGTACAGGCAATGACATTAACAGATGTAATCAAACACATGGACACTGGGGATCAGTGAGGTTAAAAACCTGCTTAGGATCTCAGAGCAGGCAGGCAGTAGAGTACAGAGTGCAGACCCCAAGTAGGTCTGCTGGCCATAAAAGCTATTCTGCCACCGTCTGCATTGTGGGGGGTCTTCCTGGAATTCTTATATTATTTCTATCTTTCTTTTTGGACTTTTGAGACAGAGTTTCCTGTGTAGCCCTGGCTGTCCTGAAACTCACTCTGTAGACCAGGCTGGCCTGGAACTCACAGAGATCCGCCTGCCTCTGCCTCCCAAGTGCTGGGATTTAGGCGCGCGCCACCTCTCCCAGCTGTCCTATCTTTCCAAGGGGCCGGTGGCTTACCCTCTGCTGCTTGAAGGCCCTGTTGAGTCTCTTTTCCTGGTACAGCAGCTGCTCTGTGCGCTCCAGGGCCTCCTTCAGTAGCGCCTTCTCCTCTGCTTCTTTGTAGACGTCATCCTCCAGCTTCGCCACCTGCGTCTGGTACATCTGAAGGGACACTTTGCTCTGCCTGGGTGCGCGGAGAGACAGAGTCCCTTTGCCCCTCACTGTCCCCACTCACCATCAAGGCCCCAACCTCTCTAGATCCTTCCACATGGGGTTGACTTAGTGAGACTGCACCAAAGACTTGGGGACTAGAGTGCAGCACCCATGGGACATGGACAGCGTTGGATGGCTCAGGGGGTACCACTGGCCTGCCCAAGGCTCTAGGGTGTGGGTGGGAACCTGCAGTCTTCGGGAAAAGATGGACCCTCAAAGTCACATGAGTGCTGACTCAAGGTGTGTGTGTGTGTGTGTGTGTGTGTGTGTGTGTACACCAACTTATGTGAGTGTGGATGTTCACTCCTGGGGGCTGGAGGATAACCTCAGGTATGTGTCCTTTAACATTGTTGAAGGCAGGATCTCTCTGTTGCTTTTCTGTTTTCTATGCCATTTCTGCCTCCCATCTTCCCATTGGAGCACTGGAATCGTAGACCCCCCTACTACTGCTTTCTTGTGGATTCCGGGGATCCAAATTCAGCTTCTCACCCTTGTGGGACAAGTGTTTTACCTATAGCACCATCACCAGCCTTTTGTTATTTTGAGACAGGGTTGTATGTCGCCCAGGTTTGCTTTGAACTTGTGCAGTAGAGGAGGACCTTGAACTCCTGATCCTCCTGCCTCTACCTCCTGAGTGCTGGGGCTACAGATGTGACCAACAGTGGCAAGTTTTATGCACTGCTGGGGATGGGACCCAGGGCTTCGTGCGTGCACGGCTCCAGAAGGTCATGTTCCCCCCAGTTAGTGTTTTCACTTAATCTGCATCCTGGCCTCTGATTGTCCCAGCCCAGCAGTGTGTGGCCGTCCCTGCTTCGGCAGGGGACACGTGTGGTACCTGAGCTGTTCCAGCTCCTGCTCCCGTCCTCTCAGGAGTTCTTCTTTCCTCTGGAGTCGGGTCTTGAGCTGAGTGATCTTATCAAACACCAGGTCCAGGTCCTTCTGCCGGAGGTGGTTGACCCTCTCCCGCTCTTTGGGCGAGAGGTGCTTCAAGTTCACATGGCCGGACATGTCTTTGATGTTCATCAGGCTGCCGAGCGTCCTGCTCATGTCCATGTACTGCAAGGAGACGGGTTGCTGGTAAGAGCAGCGCCAGAGGCTACATGGAGGCCATCAGGAGGCTGACGTCTGATTCTAGCTCATTCTTTGTAGCCGTAGGAAGCAAACGAGTATGTTGGAAGTGATGGCAGTTAGGTCTTTCATTTACCCCATAGCCACGTACAATAAGTCTTTTCCAGAACGGGTGGAAAATGACAACAGAAATTAACACTCATTCTAACGGCGGAGCTTTCGAGGGATTGGGCTATGTGCCGATTCCTGACCCATGCTGGGTAGCAGCCGGGGCTTGCCGAGATTTTAGAACAACACAGTATGGCTCAGAGGTTGATACTTAGTAAACAGCCCTGTGGTTAACAATGGTGATGATGTATAGGGACCAGTGCTGGGCAGAAAGGAAGGGGAAGAGAGAGGGACAGCGTGTGCGCGTGCACACACACACACCAGCTTCTCACTGAGGTCTAAGGCGTCTGAAGCATCTGCTTTCATGGACTTCTCGATGGCCAAGTTGGAGCCCATGCTGAAAAGGCCAGTCTGAGGCTGAAATAAAAGAGAAACGAACACTCTCTTGGTGTCCCGTCATTGGCGTCAGCCACGGGGAAGCTAGGACCCCGTGTGACTGTGGAAGAGAGGTCCCACGGGTTTCTTATCTCTATCCCTGACCATCTAGTTCCAACTTGCTTATTGGCTTTGTTATATGTGTGCCCGTTCCTCCTCTGATGCCTTCCCTCTAGAACAGTGTCTCTGGGCTGGGTTACGTTTGTGCCCTACTTTCCCAGGTTGCTTAGTGGCGTCTATGGTCACCTGAAGGAGGCAAGTGCTATTGACATCCCGTGGGAGGGTGATGAGGCTGCCATGAACAAGACAGTCCCCAGTCAAACTGGCTGGGAGTCATCTGACCCCAGATACTCTGTGTGTGGAGAGGGAGGCCAGAGGCCGATCTCAGGTGCCATTTCTCAGGAGCTGTCTGACCTCCATCGTGTTCTTGGATACAGTCTCTCATCAGGTCCTGAGGCTCGCTGATCCCCAGAAATTCTTCTGTCTTTACTTCCCCAGCATTGGGATTGTGAGTGCACACTACAGAACTCAGGTTTTTGTTTTGTTTTGAGACAGGGTTTCACTGTGTACCTCTGGCTGGTCTGGACTCACTATGTAGACCAGGCTGGCCTAGAAATCACAGAAGATCTACCTGCCTGTGTCTCGCAAGTGCTGGGATTAAAGGCGCATGCCACCATGCTCCCCCATTTTTAATGTATGTTCTGGGGATCAAGCTCAAGTCATGTTTATATGGCAATTACTTTGCCAACTAAGGCATCCCAGCCCTTGAACCCAAATATTGTGTCAGTGTTGAGAAGCCCCGGCCTAAGTGACAAGCTCCATAGAGATGGGAACCATGTCGCTGCTTATGTATACTTGACTCCTGTGCCTAGCGTGGCACTCACTGGCCATACACAGATAAAGATGTGCCTGAGGAACAAGTCACAATGTGTTCTCCTTTTGTTAGATGAACCTCGTTTCCACACAGCAGAAATGAGTCTTGCAGAAGATGTGGCCCAAGTGTCCCCTAGGTGGGTGAGGGTCCCTGGACTGTTTCCTGAGATGGTGTAGGCTGGACATATGCCCTCCATCAGCCAGTTGACCTCTGGGAGCTCTCACTGGAAGCATGGGACAGCAGCCAGGCCAGACAGAGAATTTGGAGAGCCACGAGTAACTGTCATATCAGGACTCAAGTGGACTTTAGTATCCAGTAGGCACGCCATGGACATCTTGGTTGGTCCTTAGCATCTGGAGGTGCTACCACGTGACCCCTGAAGACCAGAATAGCACCAAAAAATCCTGACCAGAAAACCAAAAAAGGCTTGACAATTGGTAAGAGTGGACACTATTATATATTGAGATAAGACTCTGTGTGTGTATGTGTGTGTGTGTGCACATGAATGATGTATGTATGTATGTACAAGTGTGTGTAACTCATATGTGTGTATGTGTGTGTGCACATGAATGATGTACGTATGTACAGGTGTGTGTAACTCATGTGTGTGTGTGTGCACATGAATGATGTATGTATGTATGTACAGGTGTGTGTAACTCGTGTGTGTGTGTGTGTCTGTCTGTGTGTGTGTGTGTGTGTGTGTGTGTGTGTAGGCCAGAGGAGGCTGGGTGACCTGTTCTGTCACTCTTTACCTTCCTCCCTTGAATCAGGATCTCTCACTGAACCTGGAGAGAGACTGGCAGCCAGCAAAGCCCCAGTGATCCTCCTGTCGTCTCCTATAATGCTGGGGTTGGAGGTGGGTGTGTGGCCACACCCTGCGTTTTCATTGCACACTGGGAATTTGAACTCAGGTCATCATGTTTGAAGAGCAAGTGCTTTCACCCACTGAGCCATCTCCCCTGGCCTGACGGGGAGGGCATCTTTGCAGATGATGTCCTCTGTGCCTCCCTCTCCAGGATTCCCCTTTTCATCCTTCTCTGCAGACCGGCAGAGTGTCAGGGGAAGACAGTCAGGGACACATCCTCCTGTATCTCTGTGACCTTGGATGAGGTACTTGACTTCTGAAACCCTAATTCTTAACCTGTAAAATAGGGGCAGTGGACCTGCTGCAGCCCAGCGGCTGCAAGGATGGGTTCACCGAGCTGGTGAAGTGCTCAGCTCGAGTCCAGCACACAGCAAGCACTCCATCTGTGGGGGCTTTTCCTCCTTGCTCCCGACTGTGGATGATCAAGGGTTTTAAAAACAGAGTTGGAAGGTTCCCTGCTGTGTAATGGCAGTGGTGGATCAGCTGCAAGGGGAAGGCCTGTCTGGGAAGCCATGAGATCTGGCTGACCTCCCATCTGGAGACCGTCCCTCCATACCCAGCCCTGGGGACTGTGTGTGTGATGCTTGTTGAGAAACTCAGCTCACCTCAAAGACCTTCATCTCCAACCCTAGTGAATGCCCAGAAAGATAATTAGACAGGGTATTGGTTCAGATAGGGGAACTTTGTTGTTCATTCTAGAAGCTTCCATGTGCTTTATTCAGTTGTGTCAGCCAGTGTGCAGTCAGTGGATCCTGTCCACTCTCAGGTGCCATCGACGACTTAGTCTAACATCCTTCAGGTCATAAAGGCCACTTTCAATGTCACAGTTAATCATTCCTGGGAACCTTGGCACCTAAGGTCCCACTCCTTCCTTTGATAGTACTATTTAGGGATAACAGTCACCTATTATTCAGTATAAATTCTGAGTCAGGCTCTAGAGGAAGTTAATCTTGACTTTTGTTGTTGTTGAGAGTCTTAAGTAGCCTGGACTAAAATTTGGCATGTCGTCAAGCACAGCCTACACCCCTGGTCTTCCTGCCTATACTCCTGAGTCCTGGGATGACAGGCGTGTGTCACCACACTTGGCTGTCCTTTCAGGTTCTCCCCAAAGCCTTCCTGGAGGACATAGCATTCAGTCTGGGCTCTCTCATCTCAGTTCCCTTCCGCCTGGACATGTGCACGTCTTTCAGTTTATAAGAACAGCAGACCCGGGCAAACTCGTGGCATAGCCTCATCAGTCAGCCTAGTGGACATTTTCTGCAGGATGTGACATCTCCTAGGAACAGGAGGGGCCCTTTGTGCTTCAGGGGCCAGTTCGGCCCAGAGTCAAAGCAATGGCAGACTGCGCTCTGCATATGGAGGCCACTGTCTGTGCTAAGATGCAATGACTCACTGGCGTGTGCATGTGCAGACACCTGCTCCTCAGGGAGGCCCTGGCCCTGAACCTGCAGCACACTGACTTGCAGCTCAGCTCCCATCAGCCCTAACGCCCGCCCTCTCGTGTCAGTCACTGCAGAGACAAACGATTTGTGGTTACCGATTGGATCTCTATTCTTGAGAGAGTCGTCAAGTCAGGCTTTGCGTCTAATAACATTTTCTGTACATTTTTTTCCATTCTGAGGGTCTTTAGTTCTAGGAATGATTCATTCGCGTGGTCCTTATGATCTACAAAAGAAACAATTTAGACTCAGGAAGACATCACTTCACATCGTCACTGTGGTTACAACTTACAGGGCACTTACCACAGGGCCGTTTTAATCCTCCCGACCTCTCTGGCAGATGAGGAAACCAAGGCCTAGAGAGATTAAACGATTTGCCCAAGGCCACACAGTGAGTGTGAGGCTTTGGCCACAAAGCTGTCACTGCAGAGGTGAACTTCACCTAAGGCCTTTCAGGCACAAAGATGGAGATGGGACTTCTCCTGGGACACCCGGTACCCAGTATCTTGCTCAGTCACCAGCTGCCCGTTCTGAGTCAGTTCCGGCCTTTCGGAATGGGGTACTCTTAAGAGGCGCCCCCCAGGGCTCATCTTCAGGTAGCGTTAGACCATGACAAAGACCCCACCAGGTCACAGCGAAATGAGGAGGAGGACAGTAGTGCGTTTTTCATGTCCTATTTTATTTAACATCAGGGCCTGCTCTTGACTCTGAGGCGGGGCCTGGCCTGTCACTGTTAGTGTTTTAATGTCTTCCTGGTTATGAGATGACATCCCGGCCAATCAGCCAGTCCCCAAGGTGCACACCAGGCTCTGGGGCCCCCAAGCTGGGACTAAGGATCAGAGAACTTACTGCAGGAGCTGGTCTTCTCCAGTTCTTTGATTCGCACTCGGAGTTCCGACAAGGCCTTCTTCTGCCGCTGGATGGTCTCCTCGTGTCGAGACCCTTTGCACTTGGCCCCCAGGTCACTGAAGGACGGCTCCTGCAGACAGGTTGGCACAGACAGCAGCTCCATAAGGGCCCAGCTATTTCCCTCAGATTCCCAGGGACATGAACAATGCCTGTTCAGCAGAGACCCTGCCATTCAGCACTTCTGGAAAATGTCACAAGAGTGTCAGCAGAGAAGGGGTGTCAACTTTTCATCACAAACATCAAGGCCCACGTATAAGGATTCCCAACTCCTCTTCCTACTTAGTGATACTATAAATAAAACATCCCCTAGACTCCTTCTCTGCAGGCTTTATTTCATCTTCTAGTGGTCTTTCATGCCTGTATCTCCATTTCCTTTCTTTCTTTCTTTCTTTCTTTCTTTTTTTTTTTTTGAGATAGAGTCTTTCTAAGTAGTCCTGGCTGTACTGGAACTTACTATGTAGACCAGGCTGGCCTTGAACTCAGAGATCTACCTGCCTCTTGAGTGCTGCTGGGTTTAAAAACGTGTGTCACCACACCCAGCTTTTGGAGGCTAGAAGAGGCCGTCAGGCTCCATGGAGGTGGAGTTACAGGTGGTTGGGAGCTGTCTGATGCAGGGAGCTGTCTGATGCAGGGAGCTGTCTGATGCAGGGAGCTGTCTGATGCAGGGAGCTGTCTGATGCAGGGGGCTGTCTGATGCAGGTGCTGGGAGTAGAATTCAAGGCCTGTGCAGGAGCCACAGGGGACTTAACTGCTGAGCTGTCTCTTCAGCCCCTCCAGTTCTAGCTCTAGGGGTGCAGTTTTACTGTTTTCTTCCCCGCTCTCCCCTTTTGTGGTGCGGAAGACGGAACCCGGTTCTTATGCAGAGTAAGTCCTCACTCTGTTGCTTAGCTATATGCCCAGCCCAGAAGGGCATTTTCAAAGAGATCTCACCCCCCCAGGCTTCCTTTTACACTGGTCACAAGGATGGTTTTCTCCTGTTTGCTTGGGGTACTGGGCAGCCTGGCACTTGGGTGGTCTGGAGAGACCTCTCTCCGAGACTCTAGGATCTCTAGAGTGGCCGGTGTAGCAGAACTTTCTATGACAATAGAATGTTCCATGCCTGCCTCATATAGTATGATAGCTGCTGGGCACATGTGGACCCCACAGGACCCTTAGAGACTAGAGTGAGGTTTACTCAGGGCACAGACAAGGAAAGTCTTTGAAGGGCATGATCCTCTTAAAGATGAACTCAGAAGAATTTAGGATTTTTTTTCCTGTAGAAAAATGAGGAGACGCACCCCAGTCATATGGAGTGCTTATCTGCCATGCTCAAGACCCCATCTCCAGTCCCAGAACTGTATAAACTGAACTGCGTGATGCATGCCCGTGATCCCAGCACTTGGGAGGTGGACATGGAGGGATCAGAAGTTCGAGGTCCTTCCTGGCCACATAGTGAGTTCGAGGCCAGGCTGGGTTACATGAGATCCTGCCTCAGTTCTTTAGTGATTCATGCAATCATTCATTCATTCACTCATTCCACACCTCAGCCTGCTAAACTTGCTCCAGGCTCTCAGGCTCCCTCAGTGAGTGACACAGGCAAACCCTTGCCGTCCTGAGCTTTATACCCCGTATGAGGAGACAGTGGGGGAGGGCACGTAGGGAGAGACCTATAAGACGGGACAAATGTCACACGGATAACTAAGTGGGGACCTGGGGTGGGGTGCTGAGAGTGATTTTCAGTTGTCAGACAGTTGCTAGGGGGAGGCCTCAGCCAAACTGGCAAGAATGGGAAGAAGCCGATGATCTGTCTTTTATAACTATTTTTAAAATAGCAACGCATGGTTCATTTTAGATTACAGCTATAGATACCGAAGACAGCATATATAGCCATGAGGTGAACCGAAATTATTAAAATTTTATAGAGCTAGGCATCTCTGTCTCTATTTCTTTTCTCTTTTAAAAATGTTTTTCCTTTAAAAATTTTTTTCTCTGAGACAGGATTCCACATAGTACAGGTTGCCCTCAAACTTCCTATGTAGCCAAAGATGCCCTGGAACTCCTGGTCCTCTCGTCTCCACCTCCTGAATGCTGGGATTTCAGGCACGCACTGCTGTGCTTAGCTTGTGTGGTATTCCAGTGTAGGTTTAAGGCTTTGTGTCTTCCACAAGCACCCTACCGACTGAGCTACATGCCCGGCCCTGTGTCAATCAATCCATTACATGCTATCCATATTCTCATTCATATTCATCGCCCCCGCCCCCTCTCCCCCTATGCTAGACACTGTTCCAGGCACCTCCGCCAAAGACCCACGCTAAGCTCTCCCGTGGATGTGAACTTTGCAAACCAGACAGATAACAGTTGAACATTAGACACCCTTGCATGAGTGAGTGAGACACCCGCCCGCAGACAGAGACCAGGGACAGAGAATCACTTGTTCTCTTCTGCTGACTCTGGTTGCTTCTTTAAAGCCAATAGGAATGATGGGTCCCAAGCTCTGAGCTAAGTCATACCGGCTCCCTGGGGGAGTGTTCAAGGCCCACCCGCTCCTCCTCCAAGGGCTTCAGCAATGCTGTCTGAGGCCCTTATGGGAACACTCTCTTCTCCTTGGCATTACACCGTTACTTCCTTCTGCTCCAAATTTGCCCCTGTGGAGGCCTCTTACCGCCAGTGCTAAGAGAGAGAGCCTCTTTCCCATGATGCTCTTATCTATTGTTCTTGTCAGTCTCCCTACCCCCATTGGACACAAGCCACGGTTATCTAGGAAGAGGGAACATCAAATGAGAAAATGCGTCTATCAGATTGGTCTGTGGGGCATCTTCTTGATTAATGATTGATACGGGAGGGGCTCGGGAGGGCCCAGCCCACTTCAGGTAGCGCTACCCCTGGGCAGGTGGTCCTGGGGTGTACAAGAAAGCAGAGTGGTGTGCTGGAGAGACGGTTCAGCAGTTAAGAGCACTGGTTGCTCTTCCAGAGGACCTGGGTTCAATTCCCAGCACCCACAGCTATCTATAGCTTCTGTTCCAGGGACTCTGATGCCCTCATACAGACATACCTGCAGGCAAAGCACCAATGTACATGAAATAAAAATGAAAGAAAGCAGGGTGAGCAAGCCAGGAAAAGCAAACCAGTAAGCAAGCAGCAATCCCCCATGACCTCTGCTTCACTCCCAGCCTCTGGTTCCTGGCTCGAGTTCCTACCCTGACATCCTCCATGATGAACTGTAAGCTGTAAGGTGACATGAACCCTTCCCTGGTCAGAGTGTTTATCATAGCGATAGAAAGCAAACTAGGACAGTCTCAAGTCCTGCCATAATAGTTCCTCAAGCCACCTGACCCCGCCTTGCCCCTAGGACCTTTTACTCTATACTGACTATTTCCTTTCTGCCTCCTTCTTTCCTGCACAGCACACAGGCTCCAGAGGGCAAAGCTTGCCTCCGGTGGAGACTGTGGTCCTCTCAGCAGGAGCACGGTATCCAAGATGTGCAGTCTGGAAGGAATGAGGGGTCTCCCCAGGTCTCTGATAGTGCCAGGGCTGCTGAAGGGACCTGACTAGTCTGGTGTGTTGTCCTGAAGCTGGATCACATCAGGGCTTGGCTCTGTTTCATTCACCTGCTGCAGGGCATCTGTTTGTCCTGGAAGGAGCCACCTGACGCTGCCCTGGGGCGGCAGGACAGGCTCAGCAGCCAGGCCGGGCTCCCCTAGTCTTCCATGGGAGAGGAAGCACCATGTGACCCTCCTCTCGCTCCTCTGGGAACTCACACTGAGAGAGGACATAGATTCTTTCTCATACAACTCTTGAGCCCTCTGACCCCCTTTGGCTTCGGAAACAGGAAGTCGCCTGGGCGAGGACCACTGTTCCAAGAAGGGATGCTTTTTGCCTTTTATCTTGCATCCTCCCTTCCCCATCAGCCTCAACTCTGATACAGAAACTAAAAGTCACCATTCAACAGGACTCCCCGTGGAACACGTGTGTGTGCGTGCGTGCGTGTGTGTGTGTGTGTGTGTGTGTGTGTGTGTGTTTTGTGTAGGGCACCTGTGAACCCTTCCCTGTCTTTAGCACAAGGCCCGATACACATCAGGTGCTCAGTAGTCTTCATGGGTCTTGCTTTGAGGGCTCAGGAGTCCAACAGGAGTGACTGACATTTCCTGTGCCCAGCAACAACGCTTCCAGCCACCTGGACCATTGCATTCCTCCTGGTTGCCCTGAGCAACGGGAGCCCCTTCTATTAATGTTCTCTGGACAGCACTCAGTGCCAGGGACAGCTGGCTGAACCTCAAGCCCTTTCATCCTGGCTGCCTGGAGCCCTGGCTGGCTGCTGTCTGGCAGGGGTAGTGTCTTTGTTGACACATTTGGCCTTGTTCCTTTTGCAGATGATTCATTCTCTGGTTTCCCAAAGTGAAAGGCAGAGGTTGTTCTGGACTGGACTCTAGGAATCGGAGGCTTCAAGGAACCACTGCACCCCCACAGACAGCCTACTAGGAATGACAACGGCAAATGCCACAGCACCAGCATGGGGAGTGGGGTGAGAGGGGGCGTGGCCGAGTGTGAGCATCAGCATTGAGGGTCACCTGGTGGAGGCTGTTCTCTCCCTGACACGATTCCTACTGGATGAGCATCTGCCACTTCCAGACAATCACACAGGGAGACCTATCAAGTGACTGCCGTGGTATGTGTGTGGGTCACATTAACTGCTCGGCTCTCTGGGAAGGTCATTTGGTTCTGTGCTGCACAGTTTAGGAAGCCCCTTGGCCCCAGCAACTTCACAGCCACACGTGAGTTCTACATCTGGGCAACTTACACTAATTACAGCACTAGGTTAAGGGGAGCACAGATGGACTCTCCGTCATCTGGGGACCGGCTGGATAAAATGGGCACGAAATGGAATTCTAAGCATCCACTCAAACAAACAAAGCAGACTTTTACAGACTTAGTTAAAACGAGGCAATCCAGTAGTGTTCGTGGGCTGGTGAGATGGGCTTAGTGGTTAAGAGCACTGCCGTGCAAACATTAGGGAACTGAGTTCAGATCCTAGCACTCATTTATGAAAACTAAGCAAGAGTGCATGCACCCATAACCCCAAAGCTGGTGGGGACGGGGGAGAGCTGACATAGAGATAGGTTTGCTCACCGTCTCTGCAGGAAAAGTAAGATGGTACACTCTAGGTTCAGCAAGGGACCCTGTCTCAAGGGTGATAAGACAGAGCCAGATAGCCAATGTCCTCCTTTGGCCTCTACACACACACACACACACACACACACACACACACACACACACGGGGGGGAGAGAGAGAGAGAGAGAGAGAGAGAGAGAGAGAGAGAGAGATATGAACCAATTGAAGAATTACCAGAAAATTTCCTACCAGCTGTGTTTGTGGATATGCATAAATAAAATGTATTTCCCAACCATTCTCAGAGGAGGGAATCAGTGCACAGTGACTTCCCTAGGGACACAGACTTTCTATGTAAAGGGGTGGGAATCCAACCCCAGGCCAACTTGATCCATGGTGGATAGCCAACCACTACTACAATTCACAATTGTAGGAAGACTTGGTGGCCTCAGGGGAGAACTGCTGGCACTGGCTCCGCTGTTGACAGTATAACCATGGAGACTATGATCCTGGGGCAGGACTCTGCCTTACCTTGTCATTTCATGGGAATGAACGATACTTTTAGAAGTCTTTAACCCTTGGGCTTTTGGTTGTCACCCAAAGCCTGAACCTGCATGGAGCCGTAGTCCTGCATGGAACCCCAGTCCTGCCCCAAGTCCCAGTCCCAGACACTGACCTCTTGCAAGTTGCAGCATGAATCTGGGTGCACTGGCTCTATCTGCCATGAGATGTCACACTTCTGACTCAGATTCCTAGGCTTCTGCTCCATGCTCAGGTGGGGTCTATGCTTCTCTTGGGAATCCCTGGGGCAGAGAGGGACATCACAGGCGTCAGGCAGCTCAGGGTTCATGAACCTTTGCATCCCTCCATAACCCGGAGGTAAAACTATTTTCACAGGTGGCCGAATTCTCCTAGACCTCCTGCATTTTAAGCTGAGCCAAAGTCACCTGGGAGGTTGCCCGTTTCCAAAACACAGCAGAGCTGTTTTAATTAACGAGTCTCTAAAGCAATGAAACACTATCACTCATTCACCCATCCGATTCAACCAGCATTTACTGAGCCCCCTCCTCTGTGCCAGATACCTCGGGGTGGTCACGCCACACGGACCCCTTCCCACACCTGAGCGCCTCCCTGAGGACCTTCAGCTCCCGGTCTTTCTTCTCCACCAGGCCGCTTGTCTGGGCCGCCTTCGCTTTGAGCATGCTCAGCTCAATGCTCTGCTGTTGTACCAGGGCCATGTGTCGCTCCAGCTCCATCTTCTGCTTCTCACTGAGTTCCCCTGGGAGTGACAGGAAAGCGGCGAGTGGTTCTCCACCTCAGATCTGTGTCACGGCCTGTCTGACAGCCCCATGAGATCCATGAGGCAGGTTTGCCCCAGGGTTCTCAGGGGCCCAAGTGCCCCCTAGGAGCTCCGTCCAGAGCCTCAGCATGTGACAGTGGGCAGCACAGTAAGCTCCCTGCTTCTGCCTCACCATGGGGCTATACAGCACCTGCTGTCAGGGCCCTACCTGTCAGGCACTCTGGCCAGTATCAGCTACCTGCTTCTGAGCCTTTCTGTTTATTTGTTTGTTTTCAGACAAGGTCTCATGTATCCTAGGCTGGCCTCCAACTCTTTATATAGCCAACGATGACCTTAAATTTCTAAACTTCCTGTGCTGGGCTCACAGGTGTGTGACTCCAGCTCACTTTCACTTAGTGCTGGGATTTGAACCCCGGGTCCTCATGCAGTCTAGGCAAAGCACTCCAACTGGGCCACATACCCAGCTGCCTCTGTATCTTTTTGCCCAGGGGGTGTTCTCAGGCTCCTGGAGTCTTCTGGGCTATGTTCCTGCCAGGTACAACAGTGTTCCATCCACAGCTGGCATGCAGCTGTCCCCGCTCCTAGCTCTCTCTGGTAGAATTAGTTCCGGGCACCTCAGTGTCCTCTTGATTGACAGCCTACCACACTTCATTTTGCTTTCCCTTTGGCTCAAGCTCTACTTCACTGGCAGCGTTCACGGGGGTTATGGCTTGAACGGGCAGGCTGTGGTGGAGTTCCAGTTTCAGGGTCTGCTGCCGGGAGAACACACACTAAGACCTTTGCACTGCCTTAACTCTTCAGTTGCAGGCCACAGGGGAATTACCCTTGGCACCCCCACTTTCCAGGACCTAATGGTGATCGGGGTCTAGAACTGGGCTCTGACTCATACGCCGCACTATCTCTCTCCTTCCTATCAGAAACCATAGGAATGGACTCAGGGAACAAATAGTCCCGAGGGTTTGGGGATGCTGGCGATGGGTGAGACAGTCCCCTTCCCTCCATCCTCCTCCTCTCCCCTTTCCACCTTCTGCTTCCGGAATCTAGTTTTGCTGCCTCTCACATCCTATCTGCCTGGGCTCTTTGTCCTGCCAGAGGCTGGGGACGGGCATGGGAAAGAGGAAGAGGCCATGTGAAGCAAGAGAAGATGGAGAAATACAATGAAAGGAAGACTGAGGTACGGGAGGGACTGAGCCGCCATGTGCGCCATGCAGTGGGGTGCGTGACACCACGCTTTCTCTCCCCTGCCCTGGGTGGCTGATGAGGAAGGAGGTGAGAGGTCTTTTTGCATGATGAAGAGGAGGCTTGTGGGGCCCCTTCCCACTGCACCCAGGCTCATGCAACGGGCCAGCCTGAGGGACCTCACTACTGCCCTCCCAGGGGTGGAGACTGCTCAGCATTAGAAGATGTTGGTGCTCAAGGTCCACCAGTGTGTGTGATCCCCGGGTGACGGGGGCTGCAGGCACACAGAAAACAAACAGGTCCGTGAGAGGCTCTGAGCCCGAGGCTGCTGACTCTGCCTCCACTTCCTTTCTGAGAGGGTCAGGGTGTCAAGTGACCCAGGAACTCAGACCAACCTCTCAGATCTGACATCCTGCCGTGGGCTTCGTTGAGGTCTGTCCTCAGCCTCATGATGATCTCTTGCTGAGACAGGATTTCCTTCTGAGCGGTCAGTAAGTCATCTCTGTAATTAAACAACAACAGCTGTGCTCAAAGTCCCTGGTGACTCCTGAGAGGGACTGGAAAGAAGGGCCCAGAGAAAAGGCTCAAAATACCTAGGGATGGACCTTGGGACCTCAGCCCAGTCAGGGAAGAGGCAGTCTTTAAATACTCAAAAGGAACACCATTTTGATGCACCGTAGCACACTTTGAGACAGACCAAAGGGTCTGAGCTGAGGTCCATGTGGCTCTAGTGAGGGTGTCGTCTGCCCCTGCATGGGACCTGCCGATTGACAAGCCAGTGGGTTTTGTGGAAAGAGGGTGGAAGACTATGGGGGCGCGTTCAGGGCTTCCATGAGGATGGGAGTGAAGAGGGGCAGACAAGGAGGGCTTTCTGTCTGTTCACCGGCATGCTGGGATCCTGGGCACTGGGGACCAGGCAATAAAGGAGAAACAGAAATGGTGAGCAGATGGATGGCATGTTTGACACCATGAGAATTGCTATCCCTGCTGGAAGGGTGTTCCACAGGATAGGCACTCACTGGGGACCACAGCATGTAGGCCTGTGAGGGAGAGGGCAGTAAATAGAAGCTGGGTTGTACCTTTGAGGGAGTATGAGGGACCTGGATGGGATACATACTTTTGTGTGCACTTGTATCAGGGGAGGATGATACTGGGTAGAAGGTAGTATTGAGGCCTGTCCCTTGACACGCTCTAGCAAAGCTCAGAGGTTTTGGAGGTCCAGGGTCAACACACACATACACACACACGTGAGACAGAGGCACCCATGTGAAAAATTGTATGTGTATGTGTATATATATATACATACAAACATGAGCATGTTCATGCACGCGCACACACACACACACACACACACACACACAACATGGGTGCCTCTGTCTTTCTTGGAATGAAGATTTAGCACCTCCTTGCTTACATACTGCTCTTCAGTAGCCTTCTGGACTATTGTACTCATCGCCTGTTTAGTTTTTAATGGTACTAGATCCAGCCCAGGGCCTCAAACGTGTAAGGCCAGTGCTCTACCAATGAGCTACATTCCAAGCCCGGTTGGTGTTTCTGACTAGCCCACACTGGCCTCCTGTGCACACTTCTGAGCACTGGGATCACAGGTATGTGCCATCACACCTGGACATGGATGGGTTTTGTTCCTCCAAAAATTATCAGTTCCACGAGGTGCCATGGACTCCTTGACTGTTAGGGTTTGGAGAGGAGAGCTCATTAGCTACGGCCATTTAGTGCAATCCTTTTCTTCCTCCGTATATTTTATCTATTTATTTTGTATGTGTGTGTGTGTGCCACGCTGTACCTGTGGCAGTCAGAGGACGGCTTGTAAGACCCTGTTCTCTTTCCACCGTGTGGGTTCTGAGGATCACACTGGGGTTATCAGGATTGGTAGCGAGTGCCCTTTTTTGCCAAGGCATCTGGCAAACTGTTGACCCTTTCCAGAACTCTCCCCTGTAAGTGGTCTCCTCTGTCAGTGTGGCTCATAAGAATGAGATTCTTCCCAAGTAGGTGCAGGACAGAAAGCAAATCACAGAGTCTGCTCACAGTTGCCAAGCTGCAGGCATGTACCTCCTACAAATGCAGCCGCTCAGGAAGGCGGCCCTACACACCCAGGACTGCAAGGCCACCAAGGGTGGGCTTGTGAACTGGGCAGACAGCTGCCTGGGTCTCCCTGTCACATCATCCTCACTTGCAACTGGAGCTGAGAAATCTAGGCAACCCTGAGAACACAGATCTGGCCATGTTCCTGCTCCTCTAACGCGTTGAGACCCGCCCTGGTACTCACATCAGGTGGTCGCACGCTGCTTCCTTGGTGCTGCTGTCCAGTGGGGGTCCTGCGGAGGGCTCTAGGGGCGCTTCTTCCTTTTGAGCTGCATCAGAGGGGTTGTGTCAACATCATCACAGCCCTTTGGCAGTGGGCTTTCCCTTTCCCCTCTCCTGTGAACACGCTTGTGTCTCTCACAATGCACCATAGCGTTGTCTACCCCGAGAGTCCCCATGTGTATGGTGTAACAGGCCGAGGCTGTCTCTCTGTGTGTGAAGTCTGGATGTGGCTTGTGTCCTCTGACATGATGTGGTGGTGACATTTAATCCCCACTGTGAGGTTTAAGAAGGTGGAGACTTCATCTCACTGTTGACAGAGGAGTGAACAGATTAGATGAGACCATCATGGTGGAGCCCAGGGGACAGAGGGACAGAGACCGGACACATTCACATTCCTTGTCTCTTGTTCTTTTCTATCTTTCCCTATTTTTAAAAACAGAATCTCAGGTAGCCCAGGCTAGCCCCAAGCTCACTTTGTAGCTGAGGATGACTCTGAACTTCTGATCCTGCTGCCCCTGCCTCCCCAGTGCTGAGATTACAGGCATGCACCACTAGATTCCATTTATGTGGTGACAGATTGAACCCAGGGCTTCCTGCTTGTGAAGGCCAGCACTCTACCAACTGAGCCACACCCCTTGTCCCTTGACATGTGACACCCTGGGCTTTCTCAGGGCTCTGCTGGCAAAGCCGTCACCAGAAGTAGACCTTCCACCCAGAACCTACCCTCCAACTAAACATCTTTTCTTACTTGCCCACTCCTAGGACTGGGCCGGCAACAATGAAAAATGGGCTAATATGGCTGTGAGCTCTTCCTGGCTCCTGGGCGAGGCAGGGGTCACCAGTAGCATTTACAGACACGGAATGTATCTGTACAATATGAGAATGAGGGACCTGATGGCAATGGCCCAGCCAAGCTTCAAGAGGTGCAGCCTTATTGGTGGGCCACACCACCTGTCCTTTCCTCTTTCTAGATAAAGGCCTTAAAATAACTCATGTGTTCTAGCTCCCCGATTTCCCCACTCACTCCTCTGCCCACTGTCCTCTGCTCTCTGATTCTTACCCAATTGATTATTCACTTAACAGACATATCCAGTGCCTGTTCTATGGCCTACACTTACCTAAGGGCAGAAATGACAAAGATGCCGTCACCCTTAGGTCCCGTTGAGTAGCCTCACTCTTGCCTGAATTCTGGGTTAGGAGTTAGAGCCCTGCTCTGTGACCTTGCTGTGGGGCCCTGCTTACCCCAAGTCACTGTCAGGGCACTAGCTTGCTTACTCACAGGGAGAGCGGTTGGTTTATCAAGGAGGCTGGGACACTATAGATGTGCAAACAAGCAGAGAACACAAATGGTGCACGAGGTACGCCTGAGCTCTGTGTCTCCACTGGGGGCTAAGCTTGCCTCTGGGGGAACGTTGGCCGTGAGGGTGGGAGAAGATGAAGCTAGTTGTGGAGATCAGAAATGTAGCTAAAGCAGGCACCCTGCCCCCAAGCACAGCTTATCCAGCGCCAAATGCTAACAGTGCTGACACTGAGACCTGGGGCCTAGGGCCTCAGCTTCCAGAACTTTCCACCAAGCGCCTAGTGTCTGTTATGAGTGACCTAGGTCATTTAGGGTGAATGAGTGAGTGGCGTAACTGCTTTTGGGTTTATTTGGTAGGAGGCCGGTCCTGGCTGCCAGGAGAGCTCTTAGTAAGGTCACAGTGGCCAGTGGCCACAGAGATGGCCCTGGACTGATTCAGTTCTCATGTGGAAAAGAGAACACCACTAATAGCTCTGTCTGCCTGTGGGCCTGGCCGCCTCACTGGGTTAGCATAAAGGATGTCCTAACTCATTGTCGTTACTGTGGCTCTGTTAGGCCTTGGGGGGCTTCTAACATCACGTGCAACGAAGAGCAAAAGAGGCCAACAGAGAGTGAGAGAGCTTTCAGATGGGGCCTAGCCCGGGACCCCGCAGGGGCTGCTGGACGCTGTGTTGCTCCCACAGCCCCAATCCTACCTGGCTCAATGTCTTTTAACGTGGCGATCTCCCCTTCTATTCTCCTGTGGTGCTGGGACACTTGGCAGAGCCTTTCCTCCAGGTTCACAATGGTCTGGGAGTGCTGCTTGATCTGCTCTTTGTACTCCGTGATCTCCTCCTCGAAGCCGTGCTTCTGGGATTCCCGCTCATCGTGCAGGGCCTTTATCGACTGCTGCTGTAGCCGAAGCCGCTCCTCCAGTATGATCTGGGGAACCAGGGAGGGAGATGTAACCTGGCGGGCTGGACTAGATGGCGGCAGTCCGGCTCCTTTGCACACACAGGTGCTGAACTGCATCCTGCCCGAGAGCCTGTGCAGGCATGTTCCCGCTGGCATCCGTCACCCTCCCTGTATGGCTGACCAGTCTGTCTTCCGGGTCTGATGACCTCCTTCGAGGAAGCTTCCTGGACATGTGTTCATGGAGGAGTCCCAGACACTTTCCATTCTATTGTTTGTCGTCTTCTCCCCAAGACCTTTCTTAACACCTGAAGTAGCCTTTGGTTTCTTGTTTCTCTCCCCTGCGAGTCCCTCAGCTCCATACAGCAAAAGCCTTGCCTGCGCTCTTACTGGGGTGCCATGCTTGATAAGAATGAATGAATGAATGAATGAATGAGTGTGTGTGTGTGTGTGTGTGTGTGTGTGTGTGTGCTGTGCTGTGCTGTGCTGGAGAGATGACTCAGTGGTTAAGAGCCCTGGCTGCTCTTACAGAAGACCTGGGTTCAATTCTCAGCACCTATGTGGTAGCTCACAACCATCTGGAACTTCAGTTCCAGGGGATCCAACACCCTCGTCTGGCCTCCATGGGAACCAGGAACATGTGTAGTGCACAGACACAAATACAGGCCAAACACTCATACATATAAAATAAGAATAAATGCATCTCTAAAAAGAGAATTGATGAACCAGGCAGTGGTGGCTCACACCTTTAATCCCAGCACTCAGGAGGCAGAGGCAGGCGGATCTCTGTGAGTTCGAGGCCAGCCTGTTTCAGGACAGCCAGCGCTACTCAGAGAAACCCTGGTTGGGGGGCAGTGTTAATGAATGAATAACAGTTGGATGAGAAAAGAACAAACTGATTTGTATTTCTTTGTATGTGTACCCTGTGTCATTCACCTCTTTTATTGAAACAGGATCTCTTCCTGACCTGGAATTTACCACGTAGGCTCGGGTGGCTGGTCAGTAAGTCCCAAGGATCTGCCAGTCTCTGCCTCTCCGCTGCTGGGAGTACAAGCATGCACTGCAATTCGTTTTTTAAAATAATTTATTTAAATTTATTCTATGTGCATTGGTGTGAAGGTGTCAGATCCCCTGGAACTGGAGTTATAGACAGCTGTGAGCTGCCGTGTGGGTGCTGGGGATTGAACCTGGGTCCTCTAGAAGAACAGCCAGTGCTCTCAACCACTGAGCCATCTCTCCAGCCCCTACACTGCAATTCTTAGCAACTAAAATTACTAACAAAGGCTCTTAGAAAATCAGTCACCACCTGTGACCGCCCTCCATTTTCTGACCCTTCCTGATGCGTGTCTCCCAGCCCCCTTCGCCCTGCTTCCCTCTGCTCCTGGATAGGCCGGGTCTCGGCCTCCCAGCTCCCCACAAGCGTGGATGTTTTGCAATCTCTCCAGATCCCCAAATTTATTTTATTTGAGACAGGGTCCTAATCAAGTTGCCCTGCTGGTCTTTGAACTCATGTTGTAGCCCAGGCAGACCTTGAATGTATGTTTCTCTTTTCTCAGCTTCCAGAGGAGCTGGAATTACAAGCCTGCCTTACCAGGTGCAGCAAGATGATCTTTCAAAACAGGTGTGATTTTGCCTGGAAGGGACAGTTGGCAGTATCTGCCTGCTGTTTATTGTCCATAAAGCACAGGACAGTCCCTGAGAAGAAAGGTGCCTGGCCCAGAAAGTCAGCAGTGGAGGCTGGACAGGCCAGGTCTCAACCTCTCCCACTCCCCGGCCCCCATTCTCCTGCTACTGTGTCACAGCTAGGATTTCTATGGCTGGGATGACACAACACACACACAAAAGCAGCTGGTGGAGGAGAGGGGTCATTTCAGCTTAGCACTCTCAGGTCAGCCTCCACTGCTGAGGGAGGCAGGACAGGAACTCAAGCAGGGCAGGAACCTGGAGGCAGGAGCGGATGCAGAGGCCACGGAGGGGTGCTGCTTACTGGCTTGCTCCTCGTGGCTTGCTCAGCCTGCTGTCCTATAGAACCCAGGGCCACCAGCCCAGGGGTGGCACTGCCTTCCCACATCAGTCATCAATCAAGAAAATGCACCACAGACTTCCCCACAGGTCAGTCTGGTGGGGGCATTTCCCCACCTGGAGCTCCCTTTTCCCAAATGACTCCAGCTCAGGTCTCGTGGATAGAATACTAGCACGCCCATGCTGCCCTCTTCCGTGGCGGAAGCTTACTGTTTTCGGAACAACTCACCATTTTTGTCTTGGTCGTTTCGAGCTCGGCTAATGTCTCATTTAACTTGAGGGCAAGGTTCTCGGCTTTGAGACTCTCAGCTGTCTTCATCCGCTGAGCCTCCTCCACCATGGCCAGGGTGTCGTTTAATTTATCATTTAAGATGTCCTCTTTTTGTCCCTTTGATTCTATCTCCTAGACAAACGGCAAACACCAAATTAACAACGTCTGGGGATTAAATATTTACTCTTGGGTCCTTATTCCCCCAGGCCGTTAGAGAGGACACAGACTCCACCATTGATGTGTCTTAAGTCCACAGCCCAAGGATTTTCTGGAAGGTTCCAATGACTGCAGAACTCTTTTTTTTTATCGTCAGAGGAGCTCTGTCTCCTTGATTTCTGGTCTCTGAGCCCCATTCTGTCACCCGGAGCCCTTGACTCAGTTTTATTTCTCTTTTATGAGACAGCCCTTTAAATATTTGAGGAAGGTTGTCATGTCTCTCTCTAAATCTATTTTCCAGGACAAATGTGCTAAGCGCCTTCACCCTTCACCACATGACCTGCCCTGGAGACACTCCGTTCCCCCTGCACTCCAGGCCCCTGGCCAGAAAGCATCCCAGTTGCCAAGTCTTTGGCATCGCTTATGCCTCCCCTGGAAACCCTCCATCCATTTTATCACAATCCCACTGTCCCCTTGGAGACCCTGTTCCACGAACTGGGGTACGTGCTTCCGCCAGGCCCTGTGCTGAGGTCCCAGACATTTTTTAGTGTGGATGTGTTTAGGTATGCATGGGTACACATGTCTGTACAGGTGTGTATGTGTACACACACACACACACACAATCACACTAGTGTGTGGAGGTCCCAGGGCAAGTCATGCTCAGAAATGTGATCTACCACTTTTGAGACAAACTCACCAATTAGGCTAGGCTAACTGGCCAGCAAACATCAGGAATCTTTTTGGTTTTGACTCCCAGAGGTTGAGGTGTGTGTGTGTGTGTGTGTGTGTGTGTGTGTGTGTGTGTGTGCACATGAGGATATGTGCCCAAGGCCAGAGGCACTGAGTTGCCCTGAGGCTAGAGTTACTGGCAGCTGTGAGCAGCCCAATATGGGTGCTGGTCATTCACTTCGATTCCTTTGCAAGCCCAGTGCGTGCGCTTAACCGCTGAGCCGTCTCCCAGCTCCCACGGCTGGCTTTTTTTATGTGGTTTCTGGGGATTGAACTCAGGTCACTGTGTTTGCTTGGCAAGCACTGTACCTACTGAGCTATGACCACAGTCCCATGAAATGTGACCTTGAGACTCAGTCCTGGGTGCTGTCACAAGCTGCTGTTGCTAGTGTGGGTCAGCTTCCCCTTTCTGGAAGGTCACGTGGGAGCAGAGACTGTGAGGGAGGCTGCTCACACCCTGGGGTCCAGCAGCTACACTCACAGACAGCACTTTATCCTGAGGATGGAGAGCTGAACGCGAAGCTCTTCAGCCAAACATCTTTTGCTTATTTGTTTACTCACTGTTATTATCATTGCTTTTTAATGACAAAGTCGAAACAACCTGGGCTGGCTTTAAACTCAGAGTCTCTGTCTTGGCCTCTGGAGTGCTGGGATTACAGGCATGTGCCCCCAGTCATATTTTTTCTTTTTTTTTAAATTTAAATTAGAAACAAGCTTGTTTTACATGTCAATCCCAGTTCCCTCTCCCTCCCTCCTCTCCTGCCCCCCCACCGACCCCCTATCCCACCAATCATTTTCTATACCAGTACAAAGTAGGAAAGAACCCCAAGGAGGGACCAACAATGCAGGGTCCATCCCACATAGGGCAGATCAAAGACATTCTTCACGCAGTGGGAGGTGGTTTAGTGACATGGAGATGTTTGAGAAATATGTAATGTTATCAAAATAGTTCCCAAAGCAGTAGGCAGCATGCCACTATCTTGGTAACGAGTTGGCATCACCCACATCTATGATAACAGCACAAAGGCACCCCAGTGAGCATCACAAACTGAGTGTCAGCTGGGACAGCTCTGCCCTGCAGAAGCGGGGTCAATGCTGAGGCTCTTCTGAGCGATTTTCTGTATTTGTCAAGTATTCTAGGAGGAATGGTGCTTCATTTGTGATCAGAAAAGAAAGCAGAGGCTTTTTTTGCAAAAAGAAAAATATAAGCCCTACTGTTCCCAGGCTGTCCCTGTACTTCACTGGGATTCACTTCCTGGTCTTTGCTTCAGAGGCTTTGTGAAGAGCTTGACGTCACCTCAGTATAGAGGGACTTTGGGGGGCAAGTGGCCTTGCCTAAGAGGACGTAGATACAGAACTGCTTGACCCCTGATGCTCAGTGGATTCCTCCAGGTGTCCCTGAGAAACCACCACACACGATTCTGTACTGCACCATGAAGCTCAACTGTGTGAGGGGAATGGCTGTCAGCCGTCTTTGCTCCACACCCATAGACATTGTAAAGACCCCATCCGGCCATCTTTGTTCCACATTCACCCAACATTCACCAGATGTTGGTCGCCTTTGCTTCAAGCTCATAGGTCTAGAGAAGACTCACTGTCAGGCAACTCTGTTCCATGCCCCCTGAGCTGGAGCTATTTTTTTTTTTTTTTTTGGTTTTACCAGACAGGGTTTCTCTTTAGTGTTTTGGAGGCTGTCGGTCCAGTCTGGCCTCAAACTCACAGAGATCCGCCTGCCTCTGCCTCCCCAGTGCTGGGATTAAAGGCATGCGCCACTACCACCAGGCGAGCTGGAGCTATTTTTCTTCTATAGTTTCTCTTTATCTGTTTCCTATGTAAATGACATCAATGTTGCTTTTTTTTCCTTTTCTTTTTAAACAAGGTTTCTCTGTGTAGTTCTGGCTGTCCTGGAACTCGCTCTGTAGACCAGGCTGGCCTCAAACTCCCATAGATCCACCTGCCTCTGCCTCCCGAGTGCTGGGATTAAAGGCGTGTGCCATGATGGCCCGTTTGACATCAACCTTTCAATTGCTCTATTGTGAATATAAATAAATTTGTGTGCAAACAAGTCACTCTAGGTCAGGCTGGTCTTGAACCCCCTCGGTGGCTAAAGATGACCGGGAAGCCCTGATTATTTTGCCTCTGCCTCCTGAGAGCTAGGATTGTAGGTGTGTGCCGTCAAGCCAGGGTTATGAGCTGTTGGGGACGGAACACATGCTAAGCAAGCACTCTACCAGCTGACCTAATGCCCTCAAGTGATCTTTCTATTCTGATAACCTTGGGGTCTTCCCCTTCCACGTATATGCTAGTTTTTGTTGTTGTTGTTATTGCTTTGAACAACATCTATTCAGGGAGGCTAAAAAGGTAGCTCACTGGTTAAGAGCATAGCTGCTTTCCCAGAGGGCCCAGGTTCGATTCCCACAACCATCTGTAACTCCAGTAATGCCCTCTTCTGCCCTCTGCTGGCACCAGACACACATGCAGGTAAAATACTCATACGCACGTAAAAAATAAGACAACATTTTTTTTTAAAGAAAGAAAAATGTCTGTTCAGGCCAGGTATGGTGGTTTCAGCCTATAATTCCAGCTACTTCAAAAGGCCGTGAGGCAGAAGGATGGCAGAATTGGAGCCAGCCTGGATTACGCAGTGAGTTCAAGATCAATTTGGGCAAATTAGTGGGAAACCATTTCAAAAATAAAATAAAGTTGGAAGTAGCTCAGTGAAGAGCACTTGGCCAGTGTGTGTGAGGCCCCGGGCTCCATTGGCCAGCACCGCAAAACAAAACAAGTCAGTCTGTGGTGTACCTGTGTGTTGTTGGGTCCCTGGCTGTCTTTCCATTGGGCTATCTGAATTCCTCAGATGGTTTAGACATTAACCAGACCAGTGTCTGGCAAGCATTTCCTGCCCAATCTGGGGGCTGCATCTGCAGACTGTTTCCTCTCCCGGAAGCTTTTAACTTGTCCAGTTTTGTTTTTGTTTCCTGGGTTTAGGGTTAAGGGGGGTAGGAGGGGTTGGTCTGCAGAATCCCCACCAGAGCCACAGTGTCTGCTCGGCAGTGGTGCGTTCTGTCTTGGTACGTGGTGGGTCCCTTCGGGGTGGGGTGTTACTGCTCCTCCTGATATGCTTGCTGCCACCTGCCAGTTCTAAGGTTTCCCAGTGACTACCTTTTGGTGTCCTGACCTAAGGCTGCCACTATGGATGTTTCTTGTTGTCTTGCAGAATTCTTTTGGTGACAGCCCTCGGTGGAGGGGGCTCTGTGGGGCTGGCACCTGGGAGGGCTTCGTCTTCTAAGTATGCTTGACATTTTGCTGTGGGCTTGAACCCAGGGTCTTGCACATACTAGGCAAGCACTGTGTCTTTGAACTCTATCTTTAGCTCTTTCTACTTTTGATTCTGGGTTGGGGGTGGGGGTCTTAAAAGTTTCCAAGCTAGCCCTGAGCTCACTTTGCGGCCTGGACTGGTCTTGAACTGCCTCAGCGTCCTGAGTAGCTGGGATTTCAGGCTTGCACTAACAGCCCTGCTGAGTTTGCTCTACTTTTGTGAAGTGACTGCACAACGAGCAGGTTTTTCCTTGCTCTGTTACTGCTGGAATAAAATTGTAATTTATTTATTGATTCATGGTAGACTTTTAAAAAAAGATTTATTTTATGTGTATGGGTATTTTGCTTGTCATTATGTATGTATACTATCTGTGTGCATTGTGCCCATGGAGGCCAGAAGAGGACATTGGGTCCTCGGAAATTGGAGTTATGAATGGTTTGAGTTGCCATGTGGGAGGCGGGAATCAAACCTAGGTTCTCTGTAAGACAGTGTTCTTAACTGCTGAGTCGTCTCTTCAGCCTTGATATGCATATACATATGTGTATGATATGTATACATATATATGTATGTGTATATATATGTGTATATGTATTTCATTATATATATATGTCTCATTACTAGCTTATCTTCTATAAACAATTTAAATTCTCTTCCTCACTCACCCCTTACTGACTTACCCCACCCCCACCACTTACTGACCCATTCTACAACATTCTAGGGTGTATTATTTGGGAAACAGACAGCTCCGTGGTCAGTTCTCAGTCTGACCCCAGGCCCCCGCATGGGAGTGTGGCAGCCCTGAGTTGTTGGGCCTGGCCTTACTTTGCTGGACTTCTCCTCCTCTGGACACTCATCCATCAGCTAAGGCTGCCCATCAGAGTGGGGTCCAGAGCAGTTGTGCCGTCCTGAGGGCTTGGTTGACACTGTTTCTCCTTAGGTGGTGGCGCTCACAAGCCCGGCTACCACGGGGCAGATTCCAGCCAGGCAGTGGTGGCGCACGCCTTTAATCCCAGGCAGAGGCAGGTGGGTCTTTGTGAGTTCAAGGCCAGGCTGGTCTACAGAGAGAGAGTTTTAGGACAGCCAGGGCTATACAGAGAAACTTTGTCTCGAAAAACCAAAACCAACCAACTAAACAAACCAGATTCCAGACCATGTTTCTTAAAGAAAACCACACAAAATGGAGGCATAGATAGATACCCTTCTTAGACCAGCAGGCCAAAAGATCCTTTCGATACATATTTAACTAACTCAATTGCTAGGTTGGATGTTGCTCACCTACTTTGACTAAGACATTGGTCAAGGTGTGTGTGTGTGTGTGTGTGTGTGTGTGTACGTGTGTGTGTGTACACGTGTGTGCGTGTGTCCTTCATACTACAGGGACCCAGGAGGAGTGAATATCTGTAGTTTGTGAGGTGTGTGCAGCCACCTCCTCTTCACCCATCACTTTAAGACTGTAGGTCTCAACAGAGAAACATTTCAGTTTGCAAGGTGATGACTGCTATGACAAGCTCTGTCAGGAAAGGGACATAGAAATGACTGGGTGTCCCCTCTCTGTCATCCCTGCCTTACCCTACACTAAGCTGAAGTATAGAGGAAGAAGTAGGTGAGGATGAAGGGTTTGGGAGTTCTGGGTTCGGATCCTGCCGGGACCCTGTAACTGTCACACGAGCAGCTGACATTTGCAGCACACACTGTGTGGTCTGTCTATGTGCTGAGATCAATGTTGTGTCTCACCGCTGAATGAGACTGACTGTGTTTCCTATGTGGGAGCACCAAGACCCGACAACAGTGAGGGATTTTCCTAAGGCCCCACAGCAGGATGACTGAACCCTGACTGCCTGGCTACAGGGCCTGGCAGGTCGGTGGGCACCACGGGCCTCTCATCTGAGAGTCATACCTCTCTTTGCTTGGTCAGGCGGTTCTCCAGGTCCTGTATTCTCCTCTTTTCCTTCTCTAGGGTGTCTCGCATTTTGAGTCTCTCGTAGGTGATGCTCTCTGAGATCTGAAAGTCAAAGAGGGGTTTGAGAGTGAGAGCAGAAGAAAGGGGTAGAGGTTTGGGTAAGAGCACCCCCCCAAAGGCTCATTTAGCTGTGGCCTTGTTGGAGGAGGTGTGTCGCTGGGAGCGGGCTTTGAGGCGTTGAAAGCAAACTCCAGGATCAGTCTCTTGCTTTCTGCCTTTGAGTAGGGACGTAGCTCCAGCTACTGCTCTGGCACCATGGTGAATACTGCCATGCTCCTGCCATGCCCCCCCACTGTCCTCTCCGCCCCCACCACCATGATGGTAACGGACTAAAACCCTCCAAACTGTAAGCAGGCCTCCTCTCAATGCTTTCCTTTATAAGAGGTGCCTTGGCCATGGTGTCTCTTCACAGCAATGGAACAGTGACTAAGACAGAGGGCAAACTCACTGCAAGGGAAAGCTGAGGTGAGTCACCACTGAAACCGGTGACTCCGGGTTTGGGACAAGAACTAAGGAACCAGGTGCCTATCGGGATATGAGGTGAGAGGAAATGATGGAGCTGGGTGGGGGGCAGGAAGCCATGTCTCAGTCACAGGGGCATAGAGGAGGGAGGGGCTCCCTGTCCCTGTTCCCAGGCTGGCATCAGTAAACAGCGTGGTCACGAGGGTTCTGTCCTGTCACTGGGTGCTGAGCCGCTGTCTAACCTGGTCAGGGCTGGCACCAGGACAGGTTCACCCTGGAAAGTCCCTGGCTTTGGGAAGGTGGAGCAGAATGACAGGTCTTGGAACATGTTTCCTGTTCCAGAAGGCACACCTCCTGGTAGCTTCAGAGAAGGGCTGAACACACTTCATGTGCAGTGGCTTTTGTCCCACAAAGAGACCATTTCAGTTTGCATTTTCCAGAGGCCCTGGAGGGGCCTGAGCCCCGGGGATCCTCCCTGGACAGCTAGTGAGTGGCAGCTGCTGGTCACTTCCTGCAGAGGTGCTGCGGCAGGGCGACCATGGGACTGCAGGGCAGGCGCCTGGTGGCACGTCCTCCGGAGGGAGAGCCCTGGCTGCTCCTACCTCCTTCTGCTGGGTCAGCTGGTTCTCCAGGTCTTGTGTCTTCCTCCTCTCGGCCTCCAGCACTTCCCACATTTTTCTTTTCTCATGATCCACACTGTCCTCCAAGACCTGGAAGGCACGGCCAGTCATACCGGCATCCAAGAAATCCCAAGAAAGGTGGCCTCATCTTTCACAGGGTCTCCCTCTAAGTCCCAACTGGACATCAGGTGTTTGAAATTTGCAACGTGATTTCCACTGGCGTCTATAAGGGGAGGGGATTAATAGAGCCTTCAGAAGGCATTTAACCCACTAGAGGTGGAGGGGAGTTACACCAGCTACACCGAGATGCTTTTATGTGGTTCATACCTGTGATCCCAGTATCTGGAGAAGGCAGGAGGAGGATCAGGGGTTCAAAGGCCATCCTTGGCTGTATAGTGAGTTTGAGGCCAGTTAACAAAGGTTAACAGATCCTTTGTCAAAACAAAACAACAAGCAAAAACCAAAAACCCAGAAACACACAAATGAACAAACCCCCCCCACTGGAGGCGGCTCAATTCTTTCTGGGAAGAAACTATGGCTAGGCTCACCCAGCCCTCCCAAGTGTGGCGTAACCAGCCCCAGCTCCCATCCGCTCGGTGATTTTTTTTTAAGGCAGGGTCTCATACTGCAGCCCTGGTTGCTCTACAACTCTGCATGTAGACCAGGCTGGCCTCAGACTCACAGAGATCCACCTGCCTCTACAACTCTGCATGTAGACCAGGCTGACCTCAGACTCACAGAGATCCACCTGCCTCTGCTGTCTGAGTAGAGATTAGAGGTGTGTGCATCACTACACATAGCCCAGGGGCTGAAATTTTTCTGACTCGACCCATCACCGAGGAATCTCTAAATTCAGGGGCCTGGCCCAGCCCGTGGCAACTCTTGGAAGGCAGCCAGCTGAAGTGACTCCATGGAGACCCGCTGCCACCTCCTCACCCGCCTGGAGACATGATGCAAAGGTTTCTTGGTGACACTATTTACAGAGTGCTGAAGAGCAGCTGTGGGAGAAGCCACATGTAAACACCTCCCCGGGTCACATCAGATTGTAGGGAGACACGCATTCTCTCTCTCTCTCTCTCTCTCTCTCTCTCTCTCTCTCTCTCTCTCTCTCTCTCTCTCTCTCTCTCGGCATAGGGTGTGTTGTCAGGAAGTGGTGGAGGTGTGGGGATGGGGGATGGGGATGGGAGATGGAGGGGGTGGGGGTGGGGGGTGGAGGCTATGTCCAAGTGCCGGGAGGCCTGGCTGCAGTGATAAAGATGATGGCTACCACAGATCAGTGACACTTTTGGGTCACACGTTTGGTTGTTCATTATCTCTGGCCTTCATGGCTTCCTTCCAAGAAGGGAGGTATGGATGGACTCAAACTAGTATCTTAGGAGGCTACAAAGCCTGCACCCTTCAGGACTGTGGGATTATCAAAAGGTTTTTTTTTTAATTTTATTCCTTACTCTTTGGGGGGCCCTGCCACCCAGCTACCAAATATATATGGAGACTTATTCTTGCTTATGAATGCTTGACCTTAGCTTGGCTTGTTTCTAGCCAACTTTTCTTAAATTATCCCGTCTACCTTTTGTAGGGAAAAGGGGCAAAGAAACATACTTTGGCCCTGCAACCAGAACTAAAGAAATGTACCCTGACCCTGAAACCAGTGCCAAAAGAACACACTTTGTCCCTGGAATCAGAGTCAGCAAAAGAAATGTACCCTGGCCCTAAAATTGGAGCCAAAAGGCTAAAAAGGACCAGAGAAAGAAACACACTTTGGCCCTGAAGCCAGAGCCAAATCTGACCTTAACCTGTGCAGAAAACTAACCAATCCTTGAGCAGAGCTCGAGCCAATCTGAGCTCAGCACTAAAATCTGACCAATCCCCACCCTGGAAGCCCTATATAAACCCTGTGTCTGCTCAGCTTGCGGCTGTTCGTGCTACCGGGCTGTCCTCTTCCACTCTGGCAGAGGGCAGTCACTCTCCTGGATTCTTCCCTTCCAATAAACCCCTTCAGTGAGCTTTGGGTGAAGATCTTGTTTTGCGGTGGCGATGGAGCAGAGGTGACCCTGGGCAGAGCGAGCTAGCAGGGCTGTAACACTTGCTCGGGAAACCTTCCCTTGGCAGAGCAGAGTTGTTACACTCTGCTCCCCACTCTCTGCTCTGCTCTCTGCTCTCCCGGAGCAGAGCTGAACTGTAGCAACTTCGCCCAAGAAGCCCAAGAAACCTCCTGCGGAGCAAAACTGCTACACTGGGCGAACATGCCCAGCTGGAAGACCCTGTCCTGCCTGAGCAGAGCGATACACTGGGGAAGCTTTTCCCTGAGGCTGGGCTGTAAGCAGCTAAGTTTACTGCAACCTGTGGTAGTCCTTGGCTCCTGAGCTCCAGGACACCTTTTCATCTGAGCTGTGTAACACTCAGTATTCTGTGACTCCCGAGTGCCAGAATACCTGACCCACTCCTGTTCCATCCTGATCCCATCCTGAAATGCTTACATTTGGTGCCGAAATCCGCCCGAAATGCCAACACCTTTTGCCCCTGGGCCTTTATCTTTCTCTATTCTATACACCTTTCTTTATGTTTCACTCTGGGGCTTGCTGTGTGGCTGTGTGGCTGCCCCTGGTGTCCTCTCTCCTCTTGTTCTTGCTCCTCTCCCTTCTCCTTTTCTCCTTCTATTCATTCTCTCTGCCTGGCAGCCCCACCTACCCCCCTCCTGTCTAGCTACTGGCCATTCAGCTCTTTACTAAATCAATCGGGTGACTTAGACAGGCAAAGTAACACAGCTTCACAGAGTTAAACACATGCAATATAAATGAAGGCCACACATCTTTTGCGTCACTAAACAGACGTTCCACAGCACAAACAAATGCAACACATATTCAGCTAATGTTCCACAACACATGATGCGTAAATGGATCAGGGCTCTGGGACTGACCACAAGCTAAATGCAAACTGACAACGTGACAGGGCTTTCCTGTGGGCTAGAGTTTGGGCATATCCACAGAAACCTGGCCTCTTTAACGAGGAGGGGAAAACCCTTTCCCAGGCGTCTCCGGCTGGAGTATGGAGTTTGGTTCTGGCGACTGTTCTTTAGGAAGAGGATGGGTGATGAACTCCTAACTTCAAAGCTTATGAGAGGGCAGAAGCCTAGAGAACTACCCCACTGCTGCCACCAGGATCTATTCCAGTGCCCCCCACACACACTTTCTCCAAAGTGGAAATGAGGGCCAGAAGCTTTTGACTTTTCAAGAGAGAAAGGAAATATGGATTTTCAAATATATTTTCAGAGTCCAAACCAAAACATTCTAGGTGCAACACATCTACAGGCCCTTTCATCCACTGAACTGCAGGCCGGTGACTTCTGGAGCACCGAGCAGGTGTGGGAAGGCTATCCAGGCCAGGTTCCCAGCCTACTGTGCATGGCCGGGCACCAGGGTGAAGTGGGGGTGGTGGTGGCTGGGAAGGATGTAGGAGTCAGTGCCTGATGTTTAAACATCTGGACTGCTGTGTGGAAGAGGAAGGCTGAGATGGGTTGGTGATGGTCACCCTTTGGCTAGAGAGAGCTTGACTCACCCCAGCCTAAGAAAGCTTTCCTGCCAGCCCTGGGCATCCGTCTGCCGAGGGCTGAAGACTTCTGGGTGCTGGTGCTGAAGATGGGTGAGGTTAGGATGTTGTTGAATTGTTCCCTCAAGATCCTGCCATTCCCCATGTGATGCTTGGGAGCAGACATGTGTGATTGCGGCCCCAACCTGTCTCAGCCTGTACTTATGCTGTCACCCACGAGACGGAACCTTTGTGCTACAACCTTAGTTGGCCTCAAACTCACAGGGATCCTCTCAGCCTCCCAGTGACAGGGTGACGGGGCAGGAGCCACCATACCTGGCTCACCACAGTTACATTCTTTTTTTTCTCAACTGGTTGGCAAGGCTACATCTCCATGGCTCTCTTCCAAGCCCTCTGTGCTTCTCCCAACTGCAGAGCCCAGGCCAGGACAAACAGCACAGGGCAGAGCCCCCACACCCCACTTCCTTAGGTCTCCCACAGTCCCTCCAGCCGGCCTCCTCGAGCTGGGTGTACCTCCTTTTGACAGGCCAACTGGCTCTCCAGGTCACGGACTCGAGTTTGTGCCTTCTCCAGGGCCTCCTGGGATCTGTGTTTCTCCTGATCGATGCTCTCCTCCAAAGTCTGCAAGCCAACAGCTGTTGTTGAGTCCACCTGTTGCCATGGCAGGCCTTGGACTCTCCCTGGGCTCTGTCTGGTTTGCCCTGCCGTCCTCAGCATGCCCAGGCAGAGGAACCAGTGGCTCTGGGGGCTCCAGAGAAGCAGGTCTCTGTGAGAACCTCAGATGGACCCTGACAACTCTGGACCCCGATTCAACTGTGGGCGGACTCAACTCCCCCTCTCCGAGCTGCTTACCTTCTTCTGGGAGGCCAAGCAACTTTCCACCTCCTGGGTTCTCCTCTGCTCCGCCTCTAAAGCCTCTTTTGCTCTGTTTTGCTCTTGGGCAATAGTTGTCTCCAGGGCCTGCAAGTCAAAGACCCTTGTTAGACTTGGAAACCACGGACTTGGCCAGGCTCTCTGTTTGGTGCTTACCACACCCTGAAGAGAATGTGGGCAGCAGAGCCTGTGGGCTGGAGCGTGGGTTCTGGAGTGGGGCAGGGGCCAGGTGAAAGCCTGGAGGGAGCCTATGGGCCCTGACAGCTGGGACACTATCTGTACCATAAGATCAGGACTGATGCTTCCAGCAGTGGGCTGATGTGAGGAAAGGATGACAAAAAGATCAGGGTCTTGACCCAGCGACAGCCACCTGCTTCCACGCTGCAGAGGGGTAGACAGGCTTCGTTAGAGATATCAGAGAAGCAGCCTCATAGACTCTAAAGTGTGTTCTAAACCAACCCAAGAAAGACTTCCTGCCAGCCCTGGGGCAGGTAGATGCCCAGGGATGAAGAAGACTTCTGGGTGGTGGGGCTGAAGATAGATGAGTTTAGGACCAAGGCTAGCAAAATGCCTTATAGACACGCCCCTCCCCACACTGCTACTTTGTAAATAAAGTTTTATTGGGACCCTCTATGCCCACTGCTGGTGTGTGGTTTACAGCTGCTTTTGTACAAGAGCAGAGCTACCAAGCCACAGCACAGATTGAAAAAAAGTAGCCTGCAATGATGAAAACATTGGTTGCCTGGCTCTCTGCAGGAAGCTGGCTGACACCGGCCTAGAACAGTAAGAAGTATGAACACAAATTAAGAGGGAGCTGTTTAGGGATGAAAAAAATGAGTGCTGGATTGATGACGGAGCCTGGCATTTCTTCTGACACTTAAAGAAAAGGCCTTGGAGCAGCCAGGATTCATGGGAGGGAGGCCGAGGGATGAGATAAAATTTGCCTATTTTTAGAGACTGAGTACCGGAGGAAGGGTCACTGAAAAGCCAGGACAGCCAGGGGGGGATGGCTCAGTCTGTCAGTGAAGCATTTGCCTTGCAGGCACAAGGACCTGAGCTGATGCCCAGCATTCACTTAAAAATAAGTGTGGGACTGGATAGACGGCGTGGCAGGTGAAATGTGCAAGCGAGAGGACCAGAGTTCAGGTCCCCAGCAGCCGCATAAATGCTAGGTGGGTGTGGCAGTGCCTGAAAAACAGAGAAGAGGGAGCCCCGGAGAAAACTCAATAGTTAGCTGTATCTGTGAGCTCTGGGCCCAGCTGAGGGACTCTGACTCAATCAATGGGTGGAGTGTGATCACGGAGGCCTCCACATGTAAGTGCATATGTGCGCAGCATTTGGACCCACGTATGCACTTGCAGTCACACACGTATGCACACCTCCAAGTGCATATGATTGCATGCGTACCACATACAGGAAAAAAAAAGAGCCAGGCATGGTGGTGTGCCCTTGTAATCCCAGTCCCAGGGAGGAGGAGACAGGTGGATTCCTGGGGGCTCACTGGTCAGATAATCTAGTTTACTTGGCAAGTTCTAGGCCAGTGAGAGACTCTGTCTCAAAAATCAAGTAGGGGGAGGAGTGGGATAGCTCAGCGAGCGTCTTTAGCCACTGAGATTAATATCTGGGAGCCACATGGTGGAAGAAAAGTCCAAAGGCTGTAGGGAAGAAAGGAATTATAGTCTGCAGAGAAATGGGTGGCACTGGAAATCACCGTGTTAAGTGAAAGAATACCCAGAAAGACCAGCATCATGTTTTCTCCCGTACATGGAACTGATGAGGGAGATCCAAGCTTTGGTCCACAGGTTGCATGAGAAGCTATGAATCCAACACTGGATTATACCTTTAATTTAAGCATAATGAGATTTTATTTTGGAGATACAGTCTCCTATGTATTCCTGGTTGGCCTGGAACTCATTACGTATACCAGGTTAGCTTCGAACCCCCAAAGATTTGCCTGCTTCTGCCTCCCAAGTGCTGAGATTTAAGGCGTGTGTCACCATGCTCAACCCTATTTCATGTTTTTTCCACATGTGTGGAGAGTGTGACATGTAAGCCGAGGGAACCATTTGGGGGAGGAGAGCGACTGAGCGGGATATGCAAGGGTAATGGGGCGAACATGGTCAAAGTGGAGCGCTACGTAGGAGGAAAATGTCACAAAGTGGAACGCTATATAGGATGAAAATGTCACAGTGAAGCCCACTGTTGTATACACAAAATACTTTTTTTTTGAGAATCCTTTCTTCTCTAAGACTTAAAAAACAAACAAACAAACAAACAAACAACCTCAGGCACTCTGCCATAGCAATAAGAAGGCTGATAAAAACAGTGGCCATCACTAATCGTACCTTTACAAGGATCACAGGCAAGTTTTGGCAGTTGCTTCTCCTATTTTATAGCCTCCACTTCACAAGGCAGAAAGGGGGCTGGTGAGATGGCAGAGATGTCTACTGCAAAACCTGATGGCCTGAGTTCAATTCCCAGGACCCCCATGCTGGAAGGAGGGAACTGATCACCACTCAGACTTACACACGTGCACACACACATACACACACGGGAGCACACACACACATACACACCCGGGAGCACACACACACACACACACACGCTGAATAACTAATAAGAAGGAAAGTGAAAGCAGGAGGAGGAGGAGACAGATATCCCAGAGGAACCGCATGTGAGCTGGAGGCTGGAGAGAGGGTTGGGGAGTGTGTGTGTGTGTGTGTGTGTGTGTGTGTGTGTGTGTGTGTGTGTGTGTGTGTGTGCGCGTGCGACAGAGACAGACTGTCCAAGTTGGGAGCCACTGAATTAGAGCCAGCAAGAGGTGGCAATACTGTGGAAGGCCTTGTCCTTCGCTGAGGAGGGAAGGGGTGCCTGGGAGGAGTTGGGGACTGGTGGATGGGGGCAGGTAGGAAGAAGGGTACAGTGTGCATGGCCCTCCACACCCACTCCGACTGTGACGATGACTGTGCTTTTGAATGTTACCAACCCCAGAGCCTGAGCTACACTCCCACCTTTGTCCTCGGAGTCTAAATGACAAAATATGGCCGAGCAAGGAGGTCATGCATGAGTCACTGACTTAGGAGGAGAGCAAAGAAAGCAGTGGAACATTGGGCGGGTCCTCAGGCGTCAAGACAGGAGAATGACAAAAACTAGCTTTAGAGACACACTGTCTGTCTGCCTTCTCCACACAGAATGATCCAACAGGTCTTGGGTGTGAGCCCAGACTCTGTAATTTTTAAATGCTTGTCTACTAGCATATATGGAGTATAAATAATAACGGGTTTCATGATAACATTTAAACACATGTATATAATGTATTTTGGTCACGTTCACCCCCGTTGCCCTCTCTTTCCCCACTCCTGCTCCCTGATACGTTTTCTCTTTTCAGATGCTCCCCATTGTACTTCATACCCTCCCTCCCTCTCTCTCCCTTCCCCCATCTCTCCTGCCCTCTTTTTGTGACTCAGTTTGTTCCCTCAGGGCTTGCTTACAGGAGCATGGCAGGGGGCACCTTGCCAGTGGCTACACCACTGGAGAAACTCTCTGTCTGTTGTCTCTGTTTCTGTCTCTCTGTCTCTGTCTATCTTTGTCTGTCTCTGTCTGTTTATCTCTGTCTCTGTGTCTCTGTGTCTGTCTCTGTCTCTCTCTGTGTCTCTGTCTGTCTGTGTCTGTGTCTCTGTCTGTGTCTCTGTCTCTGTCTCTCTGTCTCTCTGTCTCTCTCTCTCTCTCTCTCCAATCATTAGCTGCCTATGGGTCCCCAGAGAGGGGCAGAGCCTTGTGTGCTCCTTGCCCCTCCCTGACAGGATGTCTACAGGCCCAGTCTTGCACAGGCTTTGTGAAGGTGATCACAGCCATGAGTCTAAGTATGTAACAGACTATTCTTAATAAAGTATCTGATTAGAGTTGCTTCCCTCAGAACATCTCTGGGAAAGTCCTGGGTACCCCAACACTATGTCTAGGGTGCAGATCTGGGTGTCATGACACTCTAGGGTGCTGTCAGAACTGTGACATGGACTCTGCACCACAAACAGGCCCTTAGAGCAGTCACTGTGCCTTAGTGTGTGAGGCGCTGCTGCAGGGCTCTCCAGTGGCCTGAATTCTGGGGGTGGGGCTGCAGTTTGGGCCAGTTTTTCCTAGCTATGTATCTAGACAGAAAAAGGCTGGAGTGACCTGAATCCCATTTTGCTTATGCTTTGTCACTTACAATCCAGGATCTGCAGTAACCACCCCTATCTGTGTAGCCAACTGCAATACAACATGAGTAGGGTAGCGTTTCCTGAAATGTCATCGTGCCTGCCTTTCCCAGTTGATCTTTCTGTGATTTTTTTTCTTTTTAAAGATTTATTTATTCTTACATAATACATATGGGTGTTTTGCCCACATTTATGTGTGCTATCTGTGTGTAGTGCCCACAGAGGCCAGAAGAGGGCACCAGACCCCTTGGAACTGGAGTTATGGATGGTTATGAGCTGCCGTGTGGGTGCTGGGAAGCAAACCACAGTCCCCTGCAAGAGCAGTGAATGCCCTTAACCACTGAGCCATCTTTCCAGATGGTTGCTGTGGGTTTAGAACCAAGCCATATGCTCCAAGTAACTGCTTTAGATCCAGTACACCAGTCCATAAGCTGGGAGATCACTGCTCAACCCAAGGCTCCCAGTGACCCACTGGAAGTTCCCACCTCACTTCCCAGCCTCAAAGGAACTGCCACGGGTCACCTTACCTTCTTCTCTTCCGTCAGCTGCTGGATTCTGGCTGTCAGCTTCTCCTCTTGTTCCAGCTTCTCCTTGCTCAGCTTCTCCTTCTCGGCCTGGTGTTCCTGCTGCAGACACTGCTGAGTTTCCTGAGAAGTGCTCATCTGGACCTGCATGGAGAGAAAAGGCAACCCAAGTCCATGGGGGGGGAGGGAGACTGGAGTCCTTTTCCTACTTCCTTACACTTCCTTTATCTTCCAGGGAGCAAAGCCTCCCATAAAAGTTCCTTAAAAACATGGCTGAACCACACTTGGTCTGGAGAAGTGACTTGTGAGGAAGCAGCAAGAATATTAAGGTGTCACACTCTAGTTCTAGATAGAAATCCCTGTTCTAGTTAATTCTACATGTGCCCCCATTCCAAACAGGAGGTGTCATGTCATCGTGCGTCTTATTTGTGAGATGATGGGGGGGCTTAGTCCAGGGCATGGTGGTAATAAGGGCTCCGTAAATGGCAGCAAGAAGTGTCTGAAGGTCCCTGCTTTTGATTCTTTATCCAAATAGCTGTGTGGCAGTCAGATCATCACCAGCCTCTCTGAACACTGATGTCCATGTGTACAGTAAGGGATTGATGAACTGCCGTCCACAGGCCAGATCTGGTTTACCCTCTCTCTCTCTCTCTCTCTCTCTCTCTCTCTCTCTCTCTCTCTCTCTCTCTCTCTCTCTCTGTGTGTGTGTGTGTGTGTGTGTGTGTGTGTGCGTGCATGAGTGCATGCATGTGTCGTGGCATTCATGCAGAGATGAGAGGACAGCTTGATGGAGTCAGTTCTCTCCTTTCACCATGTGGGTCCCAGGGATTGAACTCAGGGGTCAGGCTTGCACCTTGGTCTGCTGAGCCTCCTCTCTGGCCTTCTGCAGAGGAAATCGAGCTCTGGTTAGCCCAGGAGCCGGACAGGGGAGGTGCCCTGTGTTTGCCTATGCCTCTGTGGGCCATCTCAGACACTGGCTCACTCCCTTTGTGCAAATGGAAAAGCTGTCACCTGCAGGAGGATGGGGCTGACTCACCCACAGCATGAGAACAAGTTCAAAACCACAGTTGGGGAGGGGGAGAAGAGAATTTAAAGAATCACCTTAAGTTCCTGGGTCTGGCACATAATTTTCTTGTATTGTTCCAGAAGATATATTAGACACAGAGAGAACCCTTAAAAAGAGGGGCAGGAAGAGAGGTGAGTACCAATTTATCTCCTGTGTCTTTTTCTTCCCCCTCCCTCCCTTCTTCCCTTCCTTTCCCCTCCCTTTTTGTTTATGTCTTCCTTTCCTTTTTGAGACGTGGTGTTGTCCCTTGGTGGCAGTGCACACCTTTAATCCCAGCAGGTGGATCTCTGTGAGTTCAAGGCCAGTTTAGTCTATAGAGGGAGTTCCAGGACAGCCAGGGCTACACAAAGAAACCCTATCTCAAAAAAAAGCACAGAGAGAGAGAGAGAGAGAGAGAGAGAGAGAGAGAGAGAGAGAGAGAGAGAGATGGCCTGGCTATGTAGCCCAGGCTGGCCTTGAACTTGTGACCTTTCTGCCTCAGTGTTCTACTGGCTGAGGGTACAGACATGCACCACCACACCCCCAACTGTGGAATCTGCACGTAGGCAGATGGACACAGGTACTACAGCCCTCCCATGAAGACAGGGCAAGCTGTCATGTAACATTTTTGTAAGTGGTTATTAGATAGGCCAGTCGCAAATCCAAAGCATGGAGGGCTTTGTTTTGGTAGACACTGAAAGTCTATCAATAAGGCACTTATTTAAAAAAAACATTTCCTGTATCCAAATTGAGAGTGGGGAATTTTGTGAAACCGCACCCTTCCAGGCCTTACAGTGTAGTCTGATGCCACAGGTCCCCTCTGACAGATAAACACACACGGACCATGGGTAGCACCCACTCAGCAGGGGCGTGTGAGGGTCTCAGCAGAGGGGCCGTTTGTCTGCGGAGCCCCTAGGTGTGGGCAGAGTGGGCGGGAGGGCACTCCAGAATAGAAGCTGAGGCTGGCTGAGGGACGATGCCACCAATAGCTGGGTTATAGCCCCTGGCACCTGTGAGTGCATGGTGGAGACAGGGGCGTTGCCAGTGGGCCTAGGTTAAGGACCCTGCTGTAGAGCTCAGTCAGGGTTACCCGTGCAGACTCAACGTACTCACGCTGCTCTCGGAAGGAGACAGAGGCAAGACAACAAAAACAAGGCAACTGGTCTAGACTGCTGACCTCTAGTGTAGTAAGAGAGTCCATACGTGTTCGTGTTGGAGCCGCACACAGCAGAAAGACCAGAGGATGAAGACCCACGGGGACCAGAGAGGGATGCAATTTCCCTGGGTGGAGGGGAGGATGGAACTGAATGGGAGGCTAAAGACCTGAAGATCACTTCCGGCAGGCCTGGGGAGGAGCCTAAAATATACAGCCCCGGGAGGAGATGTATCGAGCACCCCCCCCCCCGCCCCCTCGCTGTGTGCCTGGTGCTCTGGGAGTCAGTGAACTTCTCGCCACAGCAGCATCCTGTCATCGCCCCGACTGATAGATGGGCTTTGAGCTGGGGCTGCCCACGACAGGCCCGGTACTCTGGTCAGTGTGATGCAGGATCTGAGTCACAGGCTGCTTGACCACCGACTGAGCAGTGAGCAGCCCTGGGAAGAACGTGCTTGCAGAATGAAAGCTGGGATGGTTAGAGAGCAGTGGGCTGATGGGGCGTCTTCACTATAGTGTAACCGGCGCGGTAGGCCCGCCCCTTCCTTGCCACGGAAGCTGTCTTGTGCCCTGCCTGTAGCGGTGGTTCTCAAACTTCCTAACTCTGCGACCCTTTAACACAGCTCCTCATGTGGCGGTGACCCCCAACCATACAATTATTCTGTTGCTACTTCACAACTGTAATTTTGCTATTGTTATGAATCGTAATGTAAATAGCTGATGTGCAGGATATCTTATATGTGACTCCCACAGGGGTGCAGACCCACAGGTTGAGAACCACTGCCATGGGGGAGGGGGTTCACAAGCTTCCATGGCCTCTGCCAGATGCCAGAAGTATCTCTCTCAGTCAGTCAGCCCATCGTCAGAATGGGGCCTCCAGATGCGCCGCCGGATACCCCTGAGATGTTAGAGACTCCTGCTCTGAGTTAGAGGCCGGGAACTTGCTTGTAACCAAAGGCATGGCCAGGTGGTCAGAGTTGATGTTCTGAGCTAGGCTGCAGAAGCGGGCTGAGAGAAAGGATGAGGGGCATCGGCTAGCTCTGAGATACCTGGAATCTCAACTACTGGAAGGACCCTGGGGGAAGCTGGTAAGAGAGGACCTGGATGCCGCCTGTGGCCAGGGCTAGTCTAGGCTCTCACTCAGCCACCGCCTGCCACCCAGGAGACAGGAGAAGGGCCAGTCAAGGGAGGGATCTACAGAGGACCAGGGGAGAGAGGAGCAACAGAAGGTGAAGTGGAGAGGGAATTTGGGTTGTATCTCCAGAGCCAGCGGAGAAATGGGATCCTGCTGGGATTTTACCCTTGGGGAGAAGAGCAAGATGCTACGTTTCCAGTTATAAAAGCTTCACGCGTTCATCACAAAAGTCCAAAGGTTACACAAGTTGGTCATGGGAAGAAGCTCATGGCTATCTTCAGTGTTCCACACAGCAGCCAGCACATAATAACAGCTGGGGCCAGGGTGCAGCTCAGTGGGTAGAGTGCTTGCCTAACACGTAGGAGGCCCTGGGTTCGATTCCCAGCACAGGTATAAATTGCAGGTGGTGGTGCATACCTGTGACCCCAGCACTCAGGAGGCGGGGGGGGGTGTCAGAGGGTCAGAGGTTCAAGGTCACCCTCATCTGCATACCAAGATCGAGGCCAGCCTGAGTCACATGAGACTCTGCCTCAAGAAACAGAAACAATCTCAAAGGGGCTGAAGAACAGAATGAAGGTAAAGGCCCTCTGTGATCTAGCCTGCTGCCATGACATTCCATAATTCTGCGCTCTGTTCCCAGAGTTTTCTTTTGGTCAGATACTGACACTGGAAAAGGAAAGGAACATAGTTTGCATGCTGTTTGGCAACTTGATTATTTCTTCTTTCGACTGGGTCTCACCTGCTACTTCTCCTCCTGAATGCTAGCGTGACCTGGTCTTTCTTCCTTCCTTCCTTCCTTCCTTCCTTCCTTCCTTCCTTCCTTCCTTCCTTCCTTCCTTCCTTCCTTCCTTCCTTCCTCCTGCCCTCCCTTCCTCTTTCTTTCCTTCCTCCTTTCTTTCTCCATGCCCTCCATACTCATTGCTGAACCAACTCCTTGCTCACCCACGTGAAACAGATGAATAGCAAATCCCAGCCCCAGCTGAGCATAAATCTCCAGCCATAAAAACTTGGAGCTGTGTCTGGTAAACCAGGTTGGCCCTGGTAGACCAGGTTGCCCGGCAGTCAGTGGGAACATCCTTGCTGTTATGAATCCTTCACAGGGGGTTCTGCTCCCGCATCTTCTCTTGGAGTCGGCCCGACCCCTCCCCTCCCCTCCCCTCCTCTCCTTTTCCCTCCCCTCCCCTCCTCCTCCCCTCCCCTCCTCTCTCCTCCCCTCCACCTCCCCTCTCCTCTCCCCTCCCCTCCTCCTCTCCCCTCTCCTCTTCCTTTGCCCTCTTAAAGATACGTCCTAACTTAGCTCTTCTAGTAGTGTGGATCCCCCCCCCAGTTGCAGAAATGGACACAGACAAGCAGGCTCGCAGAGGTAGCTCTCAACAATCCTTTCTCTCCCTTATCAAGGAGCCTGAAAGACGAGAGGGGGCAGCTGACTTTCAAGGCTCCCCCTTGGATGCTTCTTGCCTTCCCAGTGCTCCCTTTGCCAATCAGATGGGAAGCAGTGCTCCCTGGAAGCCGAGCAGCAACTTCAAGGCTCCCCCAAACTAGGCAACCTGGACTGCTCTGGGGTTATACGTCAGGACTTAGGGACTTGCTTGCTATGCAAGTTGTCTCTCTCAGAACATTGTTGTGGAAGGAAGGCCAGATGCATGGTGGTTACGAGTGAGGCTCTGAGCGCAAGGGGACTTGGGACAGGGAAGGACACAAGGCCACGTCTCTAAGGTGGCCTTGAAAAGGCTCTTTGTCTCTGGGCCCTACTAAGTGCTAATTCGCTGCCTGGAAGAGGTAGGGTGGGCCTGGATACAGTCTCCTGGTGTGCACTGCCCAGGCACAGATGGATGGCCACCATAATGTCACCAAGTATCTGAGGATGCTGAATACGGCGGCTCCTTTTAAGCAAAGGCTCTCTGTGGGCCAGGCAGGTCATTCACCCCTTATGCCTACCAGTGAGGTTTCCGTCTTACAAACAGGTAAATGGAGATGCAGCATTGTCTAGGAACCTGCCTGCACAGTGGAGTGCTGGTCTGGAATTCCAACCCTGGGGTCCAAGGCTCAAATGCAGAAGAGTCAAAGGAGAGTCCAAGGCGGGGTGGGCTGTGTTGTTGGTGCTGTGCTGTGGCCTCAGCCAAATTCTCTTTGAAACAAGCCCCAGAGTCATATGTCATGGTATTTGGAGACGTAGCCCCTAAGGGACACTGCAGCTTTGTAAAAACATAGACCCAGTGAGCAGCCAGCTCGGCCACTGACACAGCAGGGAGGCCTCACTAAATACGAGCACCAAGCTCTTGGACCTTCAGGAGCATGGGCTGTGCAGGTATCTTTTCTTTATAAGCTGTCCAGACTCAGCTGTTCCACTATAGTAACAGAAATCGGGCTGAGACACTAGGGCATGACTCAAATATGAGTGGGAGGAGGCTCACTCGGAGGAATGACAGTGGCACTCTGTCTCTGCCTGTGGTCACAGCAGGGTTTATACTACAGGATATAGGCACCTGGTGCCCTGCTGGACCGTCAGAGGAAGTGGGGGGCCATGACTGAAAACACACTGATCTCAGTGTGAGTTCCGACTGCCATATAACCGTTTTCAACATTAGTGACATAAAGGCAGCTTTAATACCTGCCTCACTGGGCTGGAGGGAGGATACAAAAGCACATGGCTCATAAAACACCTAGCAAGCATTTAATACCCAGGAGTGAAACACAAACCACAGTGCTAAGTACCCAGCAGTAACACACTTAGCACATGCTAACTCCCCAGCAGTAACACACTTAGCACATGCTAAGTACCCAGCCATAACACACTTAGCACATGCTAACTCCCCAGCAGTAACACACTTAGCACATGCTAACTACCTAGCAGTAACACACTTAGCACATGCTAACTACCCAGCAGTAACACACTTAGCACATGCTAAGTACCCAGCCATAACACAGCACATGCTAACTCCCCAGCAGTAACACACTTAGCACATGCTAACTACCCAGCAGTAACACACTTAGCACATGCTAACTACCCAGCAGTAACACACTTAGCACACGCTAACTACCCAGGAGGTGTCAGATGACCCACAATTCCCGCTTTCTCCTCAGGAACTGGGACTACACAGGTTCCTGGGAGTTAGTGGATAGCAGTGAGTACCTAACCCTAACTCTAGGGTCATTTCCCATGAACTGGTGGCTTGTTCTGTCTCTTGACCTATCGTTGGCTTTATTTGATCCTGCTTACAATAGTCAATCAGAAAGCTCTTGGATTAAAGGTGTGTGCTAGGGCGGAGCCACACAGCAAATAGAAACAGTTTTGTTTTGTTTTTTATCCAGTGAGTAATGCACTCTTAGGGTTCACAGTGTGGTCAGATATCCTACAACACGCCACCACCTTCACCGCCACCATCTTCTCCATCACTACGTCACCGCTATCATCGCCAACACCACCCTCCCTCTTCTTCTCCTTGTGCAGACAGCTCTGTGCTGGGGCAGGGTGGAGAAAGCAGGGGCCTCTCCAGCTGGCCTGTTCCTTTCAGGCTTTGGGGATCTCAATCTAACAGTGCTTACGCCGAGAGAAAAACCCCGTTGCCACCCACTTCCTCTTCCCCACTGCTCCTCTTATTACTCTTGTCTGTTCCTCTCAACTCTGTAGAACCCAAGTCATTGTAATCACAGAGCCAGCAGCCCCCATCTCACCAGCAACCCACAGATCACCTCCCCCCAAAAGCAAGCGGGGGATAGGCGGCACAAAGGGGCCCACATCAGGGGACCTCACCCCCCTATATCCCTCTGCACATGCGCACACACATGCGCACACACGGGACCTCCCATCCTGTATCCCTGTGCGCACACGCACACACACACACACACACACACACACACACACACACACACACACACACACAGTATAGGGCTGCTCAGAGCTCGGGGCTGGATCCAGGAGAGAACAATGGTGGGTCTGAGAAGTGTTGCCCAAGGCCCGTCTTTCTCAGCCTTTCTGGAACGGCCGCCTCGACAGCTTAACTTCCCATCCATATTTCTTTACAGTAACAGATGGCTCCATTTACAGACACAGACAGTGATGACAAAAATGGTCTTGGGAGTGAGGAGGGGACAGTGTACACACAGCTTGGTGCAACTGCTACCGAGGGAAAGATCAGGTCTGCTTCTTATTGGTCCCAGCCTAGACAAGCAGCTGGAAGCGGGGACCACTCCTCCCCTGGCAACTCTGGCTGGAGAGTCACTGGGGCGGGGAGTGACACATCATCTCCCTCACCCCTCTGACCCAGCCCTCATCTCTCATTTCTGTGGACACACTTAGATAAATTAAGCTTGTTCTTACTTTTGCTTTATTTTTTTAAAAAGAACTTTATCCTGCCCTATGGATTACGTTGGAGACACCCTGTCTGGGAGGCTGAAGCATCAGAGTGCAAGCATCTCTCTGGTCTCATTCATGGCTGTATGAATGCCATATTTATGCAGGCTTTTTGCAGCATTTTTTCCAGGAATGGCCACAATTTCCAAAATGTCGGCACTACCGTGAGCATGTCCCTGGGAACTCACTCTGTATTGTTTTTTTTACATACCATCCACGTCCATGACTTTGTTCATTCGTCATTCATCTGCCATCCATCTATCCATCTACAATGCACCCACCTACCTGCCATTTATGCATTCACCAATCATCCATCCATCTATCCATGCATCCATCCACTACCATTCATATATCATCCATCCTTCCATGTATCTGCCATCCATTCATCTGTTCATCTACCCACAATCCACTTGTGCATCCATCTTCCCACCATCCATCCATCCACTAGCATTCATATATCATCCATCCTTCCATGTATCTAGCATCCATTCATCTGTTCATCTACCCACAATCCACTTGTGCATCCATCTTCCCACCATCCACCAATCCATCCATCCATCCATCCATCCACCCATCCATCCACTAGCATTCATATATCATCCATCCTTCCATGTATCTGCCATCCATTCATCTGTTCATCTACCCACAATCCACTTGTGCATCCATCTTCCCACCATCCATCCGCCATCCTTCCTGTCTACCACACCCTTCTTTCTTCCTTCCTTCCTTCACCCCTCCCGTCTGTCTCTTCTTCCCTCTCTTTCACTCGCTCCCTTCTCTCTCCCACAGCCATGTATGAACCTCTCCCAGTGTGGCAGAGCTCCCTTTGTGTATGGAATGAATTACTGGTCTCTATTTCCAGACAAGGCACCCTCCAGTGCTCTGCATCACCTTGAAGCCATCCTTTCCCTTGAACCTGGGCTGCATCCAACATCCCAGAGACTTAACAGTCATATAGATGACCTTCTGCCATTTGCTGTCTGTGTTCAATTCCAGCACTTCCGAAAGACACTTGAATCTTTTCTCTCTCCACCCCCACCCTGACCCTAGCATGGTTACCATCACCTTTAATGATAATATACTATGTAGACCAGGCTGACCTCAAACTCGCAGAAATCTGCCTATCTCTGCCTTCCAAGTGCTGGAATTAAAGGTGTGCCCCCCATATCTGGTTATACTTAAAACCAAACAAACAACTAAAGAAACAATGTTTTATGTATATGAGTGTTTTGCCTGAATATAAATCTGTGTGCCGTGTGTGCTTGGTGCCTTTGGAGGTCAGAAGACATCGGATTCCCTGGAGCTGGAGTTACAGATGGCTGTGAGCTGCCATGTGGGTGCTAGGAATCAAACCAGGGTCCTCTGCAAGAGCAGCCAGGGTTCTTAGCTGCCGAGACAACTCCCCAGCCCCTCTACTTAAAAAAAGTCAGTTACATTTTATGTTGATTGTGTGTGAATGTTTGTATGTAGTGATTATAGGATGACTTTCTGGAGTTGGTTCTCTCCTTCCACCGTGAGTCCTGGGGATTGAACTCAGCTCATGAGGCTTTACCCACTGAGCCATCTTGCCGGCCCTTCTGATTCACAAATCCTCGTCATCTCATCACCATGTCCTATTTCGGGAGGGTTCATCCCAGACGCATGCAACCATGTGAGAGAAAAGGGTCCAGTTACCTTTGTCAGAACCCGACAGCTGGATGTTGAGGTCCCTAAGCAACTGCTCTGTTTCCTCTAGCCAGGACACGGACACTCGCAGGATGTCCAGGACGGCCTTCTGAAGCCCTGACACGGGTGGGCTGAGCTGCAGGTGCTGAAGGAGCCCCACCTCCTTCTTCAGGTCACTGCTGCTGCAGGATTCTCTCATGCAAGCCTGGAGAATAGACCGGTCATGAGCAGACGGACCCAGCATCTATAAATGGCCCTTAGGTGACCGACCTGTGAGGAATGAGATCTTGGACTTGTCCAGGAAACCGGCATGACAGCCCATTGATGCCCTGGTGTGTCCTAGTTTCCTTCAGTTTCTTTTGGCAGCTTTTATTTTCTCCCACTTTAATTTGGCCGTGTGTGTGTGTGTGTGTGTGTGTGTGTGTGTGTGTGTTCCCTTCTCTATTGTTCTCACCTTATTGTCTTGAGACAGTGCCTCTCAGTGAACCGTCAGCTCACTATTTCAGCTAGGCTGACTAGTCAGTGAGCTCTTGGGATCGCTCGCCTATCTTTGCCCCCCCCCCCCAGTCCTGGGTTATGGGCTCTTTCAGCCATGCCTGTCTATCTTACATGGGTGCTGAGGGTTTGAACTCAGGTCTTCAAGCTTGCACAATGAGCACTCTTACCCACTGAGCCATATCCCCAGCCACTCTTTTGATAGACACAGGGATCTCCTTTTTAGGCTGTATAATGCCAAATTGCTGCGTCAATCTGTCTGACGTGAGGCCCAAATCTGGCTACTTGGAGTCATCAGAATTCCTGTCAAGATCAACGCACACGCTGGACAGAAAGTACGGTTTCCTGACTTGTTTGAAAGAGTGCTGACGAGTCAACATTTGCACAAACTCCCTAAATAGTAACTTCTGATTGCAGGAGAAAGCAGAAGCAGCTGCGTGTTCTGACATGCTCAGGGTGGGGGCACCAGGGGGCATCTGGACCTTCGTTTCGCCTTTTCTAGAGGGGAAGGCAAGGAGCTGAAAATAGCTTTCACTGCGGGGCCAAAAGTGAAGATTTTGAACAGAGGCATCTCTGTCTCTTTCTCGTGTGTGTGTGTGTGTGTGTGTGTGTGTGTGTGTGTGTGTGTGTGTGTGTGTGTGTGTACATGGGTATGGAGGTCTGACTCTCAGGTGTGGTTTCTCAAGAGCCATTCACTTTGTTTTCTGAGCTAGGAGCTGTCGTTGGGTAGGGTAGCTGGCTGGCCAGCGAGCCCCATGAATACATCTGTCTCCACCGTGCTGGGATCACAGGACACACTACCATGCTCAACTTTTTTATGCGGGTTCTAGGGCTCAAATTCAGACCCTCATGCTTGCACAAAAGCCATTTTACCAACTGAGCGGTTTCCCCAGCTGTGGTTTCTCTCCCTCTCTCTTTTTAAATTCCAGAGCTGGGGACTTCCCAGAGTTGGTACAGTCATCTCCTTCTATCTGTGAGGAATTAATTAGTTCCCCACTGATGCCAAAATCTGGGGAAGGTCAAACCCCTTAATAAGGGGCGTGGCATTTGTATACAACCTGCACACATCCTTCTGTCTACTTTAAATGGCTTCTAGGCAGCTTGCGACACCCAGCACAATGTACGTGCTAGGAGAGACATGACAAGAAAAATGTCTGAGGGGAGCTGTAGTTCGATGGTACAGTACTCGCCCACTGTGCCTGAGGCCGGAGCTTCCATCCCTTGTACAAAAGCAAACGGCCCACCCTGAACAAACTCAAAACCTCTCAGGTACATGGCTGACTTTTGGGGTGTGTGTGTGCAGACCAGAGGTCAATGTCTGGGTCTTCCTCAACCACTCTCTGTATCTTGCTGTGGGGAAGTTTTTGGTGTGTCACGAAACCCAGGCTGGCCTCAACCTTGTTGGGTAACTGAGAATTGAATTTGATCTCAGACCCTTCCCCACTCCCCGCTCCAAGTACTTGGATTACAGGCCTGCCTTGGCAATGGCCAGTTTCATGTGGATCAAACCCCGGGCTTCATGCATGCAGGGCTTTAGCTACACGTTCCCTGCCTGCTTTTTTTTCCCCCTTAAACAACAGTGTTTCTCACTGAACCTAGAGCTAGCCTATTTGGCTAGATTGGGTCAATCAAACCCCCAGGATCTTTCTGCACCAGCTTCCCCCAGCACTAGGGCTACAGGCATGTGCTGCCCAGCTTTTTAATGTGGATGCTAAGGATTCGAACTCGGGTCCTCATGCTTGTACTGCAAGCACATTACTGACCGAGCTTTATTTTGAGTTTAATAGAGAAAAGGAATCTGTACGTGTTCAATGCGGGGGACATTCTTTCTCTTAATATTTTTGCAGGGCACACCACCTGAAAACATTCAGCTATCTTTTCTGGCCATATCAACTTTTCCTGGGAGGCACTTTTGAACCAAGGGTGGATTTAAAGGAGAATATTTCTCCCCAGCCTGACCCAGAAATGAGGCCGATTTCTCGACAAGCGGGATGGGTGGGGGTGGCGGGCTGGCTGCTGGCTGCCTGGGGGTGGCGGGCTGGCTGCCTGGGGGTAGCGGGCTGGCAGCCTGTGAGGTTAGAGGCTACCTGGCAGTTGCTCAGCAGTGTCCTCAGTTTCTCCATGTTCTCCTCGGTCTCCTCCTGCTTGGAGTTGCTCAGGTGAGTCTCCTTCTGCAGGGTCCACTTCCTCTGCTGGAAGCTGAGGTTGTCCTCAGTGACCTGGACGATCCTCTCTATCAGCTGGCCAGAGGACAGAGAGGGAGGTGTCTCAGGGCAGCGTGCTCTGTGAAGCCGTGACAGCTGAACAGTTGCACAAGTCCTGCCTCGGTGGGTCCGAATAAGGGCCCCGAGATGGTGGCTGGCTCTGAAGGAACAGGCCTTCTGTCACCAAAACACATTGCCCAGGAACTGGAGGCCTGTACTGTCACTGTCACTCTGAATTTGTTCCAGACCCTTCCACACTGGTAGCAGTGACTTGACACTAAACCAGGTGCTCTGTGTACCCTCACAGGCCAGATTTTCCTGGAATTGCCCACCTGTGGTTTTTCTATGTGGTTTTTCTGTGTGTGTATGTACATGTGTGAGAGTGCGCATTGTGTGTGTGTGTGTGTGTGTGTGTGTGTGTGTGTGTGTGTGTAGGCTGGAGGACTCTTTAGTTACCATTCCTCATGTGTTTTATTAAGACAGGGTATCTCACTGGCCTAGAACTTGCCAAGTAGGCTAAGACTGGCTGGTGAGAGAACTCCGAGTCCCTGGGATCTGCTTGCCTCCCTAGCTTTGGGGCGACAAGCATGTACTATCACACCACACAGATCTTTGTGCTTTATTTGTGTTTCAGGGATTGAACTCGGGTCCTCACGCTTGCAAGGCAAGCACTTTACCCACTGAGCTGTGTCTCCACTTCTGGCTTCTTATCTGCTCTTGGCCACAAAGGGCTGAGAAAGATAACAAGGCAGGCAGCACAGAGGCCTGTCCACACTGTTGAAGTTATCTTCCCCTTTGGAAGGGATCAACCAGAGTGTGTGGCCCGAAGCCAAGGCACCCCTCTGCTCACAGACTATCAGTGTGTCTGGTCACCAGACGTGAGTCTGCCTGGCCGGACTTGATTTCCAAAGTAACATTTCAAGGGAGTTTAACCAGCTTTTACTTCAAAAGCCAGGAAATCCCCTCAAATCAAAACAAATCTTTATGGTGTAGCAACAGTGTGAAAAATATGTGTCACTAACAAAAACAGAAGCATATGTTCTTAGGCTCTGGCATCCAGATCCCCCCCGAGACAGAAGCGAAGGAGTCACGTGGCCGGAGAGCCACACTAACCTGCTGGTCGGTGACAGGCTTGTCATGGAACGGCTTTGCTCTTCCGAAAGTGGCTTTGATGACCTGGCTCCTGAAGTGCTCTAGCTGTGGCACAAAGGGGGTGACAGGTCAGCGGGGGTTGTTGAGACAGAGGCAAGGCTGAGGTGGCATCCCCACCTCTGGGTCCAGGTCGCATGCCTGAATTACATTCAGGGTTACAAATCACTGGGGTGCAGAGCTGTAGACAGAATGGAGCAGCCGGCTTCCAGCATGTCTCAGTGCCCAGCCCTATCTAGGCACATGGTCCCTGCACACATGTCTCAGGCCCTCCAAAGAGCTCCTTGCTGTCACTTATCCAACGGGAAGCCTGGGCCCAGGAGTGCCTTCTCATAATTGCTAGGCTGTAGAATAAATACCGAGGTTGTCAGCCCAAATATATTTGTAACGGCATTGGCGATGCAAGAGGGGAAAGCAACTTCTGTCCCCAGGGGCCTTAGACATCAACTGTCCCAAAGCCTCTGTCCCTTGTAATTCATTTCTATGTCCCTAGAGTCAGAGCAGTGCAGGCACAGAATGGGCCCTCAGATAATGGAAATTTAGAGATGTACCTCCCATGGGCTGGAGTTTTCAGCTTTGGGTGGGGGCGATCACCCTGCATGTAAAGTCAGAGCCTAGAGAATCCCAAGCCTAAGGTGCCTCTGACTCCATCAGGAAGTAGAAGCTAAGAACCCTGGTTAAGAATTTACTCCCACGGCAGCCCGTGACCTCCATCTCTGGTCCACTGGACAGATGTGGGTATTATAGACTAACATACATCCCCAAGGGGACGTGGAGGGTCACCAGCTGAAGCCAGAGTCAAGGAGTTCATAGACCTCCGGACTCCAGTAAGCCAGATACAGTAGCAGTACCAAAGACCTTCAAGCCAGGAGCTCCAAGCTTTCCTGATCAAAGGAGGGGTCAAGCTGGCCAAGAAGTTGGTGGTGTGGGGGAGCTCTGCATGTAAGGGTCCCCTGGTGCCACTGGAGGACTGTCCATGGGAGTGACTGTCTACGGTGAGAGGGACACGGTGACAGGTGCTTGGGCAGTGGGCTGGGTGCTGAGGTGATGTCAGAGGGGCAGGGCCTTGAGATAAGGGCAGTGAGAAGACTGAAGGAAGGAGGAAGACGGATTCCCGCCCCCTGGAATCTATACATGGAGCAGTCTCAGGATCCTTTAGCTGACCCAGCTTGGAGCTGAAGTGAAGGCCTTTAGGCAAGGAGCACAGACCATTGATGGGATGTCCTCCTGAACATATGCTTCTCTCATTGGTTGGTGAGTAAAACAGTTTGGGCAATGGGGCAGGAAGATAGGCGGGGCTAGGAGATGAGAAGAATTCTGGGAAAGGTAGGCAGACTCTCACCAGAGTTGTCATGGTGCCAGAGGAATAACAACATGCCAGGGCATTACCGGGTAAGCCACAGCCTCGTGGCAACACATGGATTGACCGAAATGGGCTAATAATTAAGACAGAGCTAGCCAATAAGAAGCTCTAGTCATCGGCCAACAGCTTCATAATTAATATAGTGTCTGTGTGTTCAATCGGGGCTCAAGGGCCGAGGGACCAGCTGGGACAGGAAGTTCTAGTAACAGGTCGTGCCCTTATGTCAGGTGTATTGGGGGCAGGGATGAGGGGGCAGCCCAGTGTCCCAGGCTGGCAATTCTGAGTGATGGGACAAGGGCCTACTAGAGAAATCACAGGTGTGACGGGTTATTTGACGAGGGGCTTTATTTAGCAGCTGTCCAGAGATTAGCATCATTGAACGGAGTGTCCTGTGTGAGGGGACCAAGCCCCGGCTGCACACCAGCTTGGATGATGGTAAATGTTTGGACTTGGTGCTGGACAACAGAGTTATGGTTCTTAGCCTTTTGGGGGTGGCTCCCAGCCCTTCTGAGACCCGGCTAAGGGCTACAGTAGACCCCCTTCCCAGACACAGCAGCACGAACACCTCAGAACACAAAGCCTGTCTGCAGCCAGGGGTGGCGTCAGGAGAGTTTCCCACAGAGAATTCTGGGTGGCTGTCCCGGGTGGCTTAGGCCTCTGCTCTTGGCTTTTCATTGGCTCTCCCCAAGCCCTTGGTAAAGTCTGGGGACATTTTATAACTTTCACAGTGGGCCATGTGCAGTGGAAGGCCCATCGGCCAACTTGGACCAGAGCAATGGAAGACAGCTTTCTTGCCAGCTAGGCAAAGGCTCTCTCATGCCCAGGATCTTCTCTGTCTGGTGTGGACTTTGGACACTCATGGCTTACTTATTAAAAAAAAATTTCCTTAAGGCCACCATGAATTTCCTGGGGGCTCTGGGAGGAGAAAGACCAGGGTAAATATCAGCAACTGAAAATATCTGCAGAAAGTTCTAGAAACACCCCAGAGAGGGAGACTGGGTGGGGTGGTGGATACAGGACAGGGGATCGGGGCGGGGTTGGCTGCCTGGCCAGGGTCTTGGGTCGCAGCACGCCCCTGGAGTGAGAGCTGCTCAGCAGAGGATGGCTGGAATGGCCCTGACTTCTTACCTTAGGCACCATACCCCACTCCACCCCACCACACCCTGACACCAAACTTGGCTGCCTGGGTGTAGGAGACCCCCGGGGGCATATGGCCCGTCAAGGAGGGCTGTGGGGTGCTCCTACCTGGCCTACTGCCCTTTCCAAATTGGTTTTAATGAGGGTCTCTCTGTTCCCCATTTCTTGCAGCTGAAGCAATTTCCTTCTGGAATCTTCCTGAAGCTTCTCTTCCACCTGAAACAATGATGAAAGCAGGTGCTGTCTGCCACTAATGTGGTCATGAGGCCTTCTGGGGGGGCCCTCCAGGATAACCAATGGCCGTGGGGGGGGGTCCGGAGGACACAGGGATAGCCGCAGCCCATGTGAGTAAGGTGTGGAAGCAGGCTTACAAGGCCCTGTCCCCTGGGGCCAAGGGCCAGGCTTTACACCCTGGGTACATCCATGCTAGCCCTACCCCAGGCTTGACTCCGAGCGCAGCCCCTAATAAGTCATGTGACCTCAGAGAGTTATTTTGCTGGTCTATGAGTCAGTGTTCCCCGGGGGTGGGGTGTTACCAGGACTGCCTCGAAGGGTTACTGTGGGGTGAAGAGTATTTGGAGTTGCCATGGTATGTGTGTTAGGGTGTGTTGCCACTTATAAAGCTGGAAGATAAACTACCCATTATTCTGAACCCCAAGTAACCTGTCCACAGGGGGCTTGGTAAATACTGTTATTAGGAATAATTTCCTGACCACATCACCAGTGGGGACCACACGAGGCCATCCAAGCAAGAATTTGAAGACAAAACAAAACAAAACAAAAAACCTGGGCCTTGCAGCAGGTATTTATAAGGGATGGGGACAGATGCATGGCTACTTACTCCCTCTCTGTAAGCCCGAGAGTGCTCAATTCTGCCCTCTGCTGACCATTGTGGGACATGGCTGCATCTCTAGTCACACTTTTTTTTTTTCAAATCAGTAGAACATGATGGCATGTTCATTCGTGTATACAATGCATTCTGAGCACACTTATTCCTCGTTACCCTCTCTTGCCCTCTCCCACGTCAGCTCCTTCCCCTTCCACGGGGACCTTGGATCTAGTGGCATGGAGGGGGGGCTGTCCTTCAAAGGGAAGGGGTTTCATGGTGACGTAGTCTCACAAGCCTCTTATTGGGGTCTGGAGAGGGATACAGCAATACCATACATCCCAAATCCATCAGAACTCTCTTCAAAGCTCTGTGGGGGCAGCAAAGAGACTCTTAGAAGCTTGCTCGGGAAGCCTGCTCATAGCTTTGGTCTTCATGGCTCTTCCTGCTCCCCAGCCCAAAGCCCCAGAGCCCGCCTTAGCCACAGCTCAGCTCCGCCCTGGCCTCCCATCACTGGTACAGGGGGGGGTACTTAGGGGTGCATTTAATCCTAAGAGGCTTATCAGGTCCCTACCCTGCACACAGCCTCAGGCTGGGCACTGGGTTCTTTGGCCTGAGATTCAGGGTCTCCTTTCCTTCAGTTCAGTTTCTTCTAGTGCATTCTCCAGGGCACTGCTGAGAGTCACCCAGATGTGATCAACAGTGTCTGAAGAAGCTTCCTTCCATGAGGCCTGGGTGACCTGGGCTGTCTGGTGCAGTGACCACTGGCCATGTCTGGCTATATGTGTCATGTGATTAGGGACATTGGATTACACCCTTGCTCAGTGGAAGATGTGGATTTTCAATTGAATTTACAAATAGCATTTTATATTTAAGTATGAATATGGAGGGACAGGATTTTAAAACGATTTTTGACTCCGTTTCAATAGTCACACGTGGCTAGTGGCTGTGCCATGGTGATGAGACACCTGGGTGGGGCTTCTGGCTTGGTTTTTGTCCCTTACTGAGTGCACGATTTCACACGAGCTGTTCTGCACTGAGATGCCTCCTCAGCGCTCAGTCCCTCATCTGTCACGTGGCCACAACGGCTTCCAGAGATCTCAGAGTGGGCTGAGTGAGAAGACAGAGTGTGCCCGCCACAGTGCCAGACGCAGCCCTCTCTCCACCATCGTAACTAGTCACAAACCCAGTCGATGCTGGGCCACAGCCTTCCAGTAACTCTTCTCTGCATCCAGGACACAGTCCAAGCTCCAAACTTAAGGAAGAACCAAGCCAAACCAAATAAAGCCAGCAAGTCTAGGATGCAAGAAGCCCGCAGGAAGGTGAACAGGGTAAGGAAAATGAGCTCACCCCAGGAAAAGTTGTTGCACATTAGCTGTGAGTCAAAGGGAAAGGGAATCTCAAAAAAAAAAAAAGGCAAGGAAAACCTGATTACATAATGCCGTCTCATAGTAATGTGGTTGTGAGCCTCCTGATAGAGGTGCTAGGAGTTAAACCCAGGTCCTCTGAGAGAGCAACAAGCACTCTTTACCTCTGAGCCATCTCTCTAGCACATTTCCCTCTTTCTGTGCAGTTCAGGGACCAACCTAGGGAATGGTGTCACCCACAGTGGGCTGGCTGGTTCTTCCCATAACAATTAACAATCAAGACAACCCCCGCAGACTAGCCAAATCTAGATAATCCCTCAACTAAGGTTCTCTTTTCTGGTGATCCTAGGAGCTGGCAAATCAACAGTTTAAAGCTGACCATCACAATGGTCAAACTTGACCTAAGAGGCACATGCAGAACACTGTGTTTTCTGCAGAATGTATGTTCTTCTTATAGGCACATGTGAAGCAAGCATAGACAACATGCAGACCACCAAGAAAACCTCAGTCAATCCCAGGGGGCTAAAATCACCTAGAATAAGACCCTTGTATATAGTGTAATCAATCTAGAAACCAATAAGCAAAAGGTAGTCAAGAAATCCTCATATATTTAGATATCAGAAAATAACCCCAATTACCCCATATGCCCAGGAAGAAATAACAGTGAGCATTGGAAAAGACTAGGTTCTGAGTAACAATGGAAAACATCCTAGAATGTGTGTAAAAGCCTTATATAGAGGAGAATGTATGGACCAGAAAGCAGCTGGGTTCTGTTACCATGACTACAATGATTTTGATGAGGAGATAAGCCAAAGTCAACCCATTTTCACTGAAAAGATATTTTGTATAGTGAAGTCCATTGAGCACATTTCCAAATGTTTCCATTTTCATTATCTTGGAATCATTATTTTCTGGATGCATTCTTTTCTGGCCAAATTTCACAGGTAGGTTTTCTGGCCACTGCCATTTAAAATATTAATTTTATGTGTGTGTATGCACATGAGGGCAGGTACCTGAATTGCCTGGTGAGTTCAGATCTCAGCAGTCATGTCAGGCGGCTCACCACCACATGTAACTGTGGCCCAGGAGACCGGACACCTCCTCTGGCTTCCAAGGGCACCTGGACTCACATGTACATATGGGTGGACTCACACACCGGTGTGAGTGGAGGCCAGGGGTTTCTTTTCTTTTCTTTCCTTCCAATCGCATTTTCTTTTTATTGTTTGAATTTTAGGCACAGATACAATGTATGTTGATCAAATCCACGCCCCTATTCCCTTCTCTCCAGTTCCTTCCCTATCCCTACCCCTCCTTTATTTTTTTCTTGTTTTATATGAATGAATTTTCCTGTGTATGCCGACAAGAAGGTGTCGGATCCCTTGGAACAGGAATTACAGATGGCTGTGAGCACCGTGTGGGTGCTGGGAACGGGAGTCCGGTCCTCTGCTGGAGCAGCCAGTGTTCATAATCGCCCAGTGCTCATAATCGCGGGGCCGTCTTTCCCCTCCCAACTTTATGTGCTCTTTTGAAAACCCCACTGAGGCTATTTAGCGCTGCCAATACATGCATGGCTGTGGGGCCACCTGCTGGGGCATGGGCAGGATCTCAGGGCTTGCATCCTTGAAGAAAACTGACTCTTCTCCCCCAGCAGTCCTCAATTGCCAATAACTCCTCAGCTAGGGGAGGGGGCCTCATGAGCCCCTCCCACAGCCGTGGGATTTTGGCTGATTCTGAGTGTGTTTATTGCTCTTTACTCTTATTATTATTTTCTGAGACAGTTTCTCACTGAATCTGGAGCTCATTGATTCTTCCAGATTATTTCTGGGGATCTAAACTCAGCTCTCCATGCTTGCACAGCAGCCGCTCCCCAGACCTGTTAGGATCTGAGCCATCTCCCCAGACCTGCTAGGATCTGCAGGAGGGGTGAGTTATTCTGCGGATCCTGCTCAGGGGTACTTTCTCCCGTTGTGAGCAGCGGCAGATGCGGGCATCGGCCACACGGGGGCGCTGTGCGGCTGAGCGGAATGCTGCACCCTGAGCGCCCTGTCTCCCGTGGTCGTGGTCACAAGCTTCCCTGAACCACGCACCTTACTCTTTTCTCGTAGCGTCTTGGAGATGGCATTCTGATTGGAACAGTTCTTCTTCAGTTCCTCTCTGAGCTTCTTCACTTCTTTCTCCATGTCTTGCATTTGCTGGAAATAAAACCCAACCACAGAGAAGTTAAGTTTCCCTGGGCGTGGCGAGAGTTACCCCCTAAATGGAAGGACTCCCTTATTCTTGGGGTTCACTAAGGTGTCACAACGCTGCCTATGGCTGTGACCATACTCGAGATGGAGAAACTTAGGTTTAGGTGAGCATAGGTCCAGGGCAGGGAACTTGAATGAACTTTTATTGCCGCAGCAGGTGTAGCCTCCTGTCCCCATCCGTGCCCCTGCTCTGCTCCAGAGGAAACCCACGAGAAAGAGCCAGCTGGTCAGAGAACCCCGGAGAGAGCTCCATGGCTTCCTCCAAACAGCCCAGAGTCAGAACTTCATGTTTTGGGGGAGGGCTGCGGGTCCCACCATGAATGTCAAGCTCAGGCTCTCAGAGGCGCGCTTCCCAGATGAGGACATCTCAACTCACGCTTCTGCAGAGTTTCAACTCCTTCTCCCGGGCCTCCCTGCTCTCCTTCTGGGCCTCCTCCTTCCTCAGCTCTTCTTTCAGCACTGAACACTGAGGAGAGAGAGATGCCGAGGCTGGTGGTGTGGGGGTGTCTGGGGGAGGGCCTTCCCCGGCCCAGCAGGCCCCGAGAGCACTTTCCAATCGCACACCCACGGTTAGCAAGGGAGACAGCGTCAGAGGCTCCGGGTTCCTGCCTCTCTCAAGATCTGAGATCTAGATTCCCTTTCAGAAGCCAGCAATCCGAATCGCGAGAGAAACCCATCTTTGAAGAGCTGGGGAAAGGGGCATGTGTGGGATGCCACTGGGAACGGGGTGGCTCTAGGGAATGCATCTTGTCACTTCTTAGGTCCTGACCACACGGCAGGGGAATGCAACACTCCCTTTGGAGGGGGGACTGGGCGGCAGGCGGCGGGAGCATGAGGAGGTGAGATCCCACCTAAGAATCTGTTCAGTTTTAGCTGTCAACTCAACACAAAATAGAGTCACCTGGGAATAGTGTGAGGAATTATCTACATCAGGTTGGCCTACACGCATGACTATGGGGGACTGTTGCGATTCGCCATTGATGTAGGAAGACCCAGTCCACTGTGGGTGGCGCCATTCCCTGGGCAGGGGGTCCGGAGCAGTGTGAGAGAGGAGAAAGCAGGGGTCTGTGGGGTTATTCTCGCTCTGCCTCGTCTGTGGACATGATGCTGCAAGCCCTGCCTTGACTTCCTTCAGTGATGAGCTATAGCCTAGAATTGTAAGACAGAGTCAGTAAATCCTTTCTTTTCCTGAGTTGCTTTTTTTCTTTTTTGGGGGGGCGGGTGAGGAGAGGGGTTAGGCATTTTATCTCAGCAACAGAAATGAAACTATAGCAGAGTGCACTCGAAAGCCCGTAGCCAGATCCCATCAGTGAATCTGAAGGCTTAAGGCCCTCTCACCATGTTCTGTGTGATGGTTTGAACGTAAAACGTCCTCCATTGGCTCGTGTGTTTGAATAGGTGGTTCCCAGCAGGTGGTACTGTTCTGAAAGGTTGTAGAACCTTCAGGCAGTGGGATCTTTCTGCTGGGAGTGTGTCAGTGGGGGTGGGCTTTGAGATTTGACAGCCCAGCCTCACTTCCTGTTTGTCTTCGGCTTCCTGAGGGTACCATGTGACTGTCACCCCAATTTATGTACTCATGGTTGCACAGCAGGTACTTTGCCTCTCCATCCTCCTAATACCTTTTGGAAACAGTCTTATGTAGCCCAGGCTGGCCTTGAACTCTTGGTCTTCCTGTGCTAGATTACAGACATATACCATATGAACAGCATGGACATGTTTATGAGTTAGAATCTGCATCATGTTAATTCTGAGCCCCGTGTTCACTCTTCTTTGAAAAGCTACAGGGAGGGGGCTAGAGAGATGGCTCAGTGGTGAAGGGCACTGGCTGTTCTTCCAGAGGACCCAGGTTCAATTCCCAGCACCCACATGGCAGCTCATAAACACCCTAACTCCAGCTCCAGGGGAATCTTGTGCCCTCTTCTGGCTCCCACAGGTACTGCACTCCCAAGCACACACCCATGAACAGACACACATAATTAAAAAGAAAATAAATCTTAGGAAAGAAAAGCGGCAGGGAACTTGGCTGATGGGGGATGTCCTTCTGTATGCTGGGAATATATGTTTCTCCTATTGGTTGATGAATAAAGCTGTTTCAGCCAATGGACAAGCAGGATGTAGCCAGGCAGGAAATCCAAACATGGATAGAGAAAGGCTGTAGTAGGTGGAGTCAAAGAGATGCCATATAACTTCTAAGGAAGCGAGTGCCCCAGGCATCACAGTAAGCCAAGACCACATGGAGATATACAGATTAATAGATATGAGTTAATAATTAAGAGAGAGCTAGCAATAAGAAGCCTGAGCAATAGGCCAAACAGTTTATAATTAACATAAACCTCTGTGTGTTCATTTGGGACTAAACAGCTGTGGGACTGGGCGGGACAGAAACTTCCATGGAAACTTCCATCAACACTTGGCTCTCTAAGTTGGTCTTTTGAGGAGGACACTTAAGGATTTAGCCTCCAGGCAACTCCTCCTTATGTCCCTGGACCCCATGCTGTGGGAAGAGGCTGTGATGTCCAAAGTCAAGGCCCAAGAGACGCGAAGACGGGCACGTCACACGACTCACCCTGGAGCCCAGGGCTTCCAGCTGGTACTCCTTCTCTTTGTTCTGGCTCTTCAGCTGGCTCACCTCCTCCTTCAGCTGCTGAACCTGCTCGTTCCGTGCAGACATGTCTTTCTGTAAAGATGTCACCATCCCTGTTTTAAACGAAGCAAGGACAGAGATCAAAGACACAGAGAGGATCACTGACATGGCTACCGCTGTCGGCCATGGAGGACCCCAGGAGCAGGAACGGCACCGAGACCGTGTCGTGTGGCCGTTTCTTCCCAGGGGAAGAGGGATGCTCCTCCTGCCGGTTGTCGGGCTCGGTGTTGATACCTGATTTCCCTCACTCTGTTTTGTTTTGTTTGTTCATTTTTTGAGATGGGGTCTCTCGCTGAGCCGGGAGCTCATCAATTATATGACTCCCAGGGATGCTCCTGTCTCCACCTCCCCAGTGCTGGGGTTACCGGTGTGCACCAGCTGAGCCTGACTTTTTACATGAGTTCTGGGGATTGAACTTGGGTCCTCTTGCTTGCCTGGCAAATACTTCACTGACTCAGCTGTTTGCCAAGACCTTTGTTCCAGGATTCCTGATACTCTTCCTTTTTGTTTTCTCCCAATGCCTCTGTACTCTTCTGGTCTCTAGACACATTGTTCTCTGCCTCCAATGTCCCCAGTGTCTTCCCGACACACTAAAAGACAATCCCCAGAGGGATCTGGCTCTGCCTTCTCCTCTGACCCTGTCTCTCTCAGCGTTTCTTTCCCCGAGACACGTTCACCTGTTGCTCCTTCAACAGAGCTGCTGCTTCCCGCCCCGGACCTCTGAACGTGCTTGCCGCTAGTAGGACACGGTCCCTACAGGGCTCCTCCTGTAGACACACGCGGGTCTCTCCTTACTCCCGAAGCCCCAACCACCATGCTGTTCCATTTTGTTTTCTTTACAGCATCATCTGTCCCTCAGACATGCTTGCTTGCCTGTTTGCCTGTCATTATGTCACCCTCAGCCATATCCAGGCCTGGAGTATAGGAACTGATTATAACTTGCTCAGGGCTCTCCTCCTAGAGTTCAGAACTAGAGACCCAGTGGTTGTCAGTGAATGTAATATAGGGATGGATGGATGGATGGGTGGGTGGGTGGATGGGTAGATGCATGGGTGGGTGGATGGATGAGTGGGTGGATGGATGGGTGGGTGGGTGGATGCATGGGTGGGTGGGTGGATGGATGATGGATGCATGGGTGGGTGGGTGGATGGATGATGGATGCATGGGTGGGTGGGTGGATGCATGGGTGGATGGGTGGGTGGATGGATGATGGATGCATGGGTGGGTGGGTGGATGCATGGGTGGATGGGTGGATGGATGATGGATGCATGGGTGGATGGGTAGATGGATGATGGATGGGTGGATGGGTGGGTGGATGGGTGGATGGGTGGGTGGATGGGTGGATGGGTGGGTGGATGGGTGGGTGGGTGGATGGATGATGGATGCATGGGTGGGTGGGTGGATGCATGGGTGGATGGGTGGATGGGTGGGTGGATGGATGGATGGGTGGATGGGTGGATGGGTGGATGGGTGGGTGGATGGGTGGGTGGGTGGGTGGATCCAAGCTAACTGACCTCTGTGGCTGGCAAGGTGGCCCACGTGTTGACTGTCCCCTTCCCACATTCTTCAGCACTGAACTACTTCAGTTGATCAGTTAGTAAAATGTTTTCACTAGGGCCAAGAGCCCATTCAAGGAAATGGTTCTCAGTGCTCCAGACCACTCAGCATCTTTGCTCCTAGCCAAGGGATGACATTCATTCAGATGTTGAGTGGCTTTGGTCACAACATGGCTGCCTTTGAGGTGGTCCCTGTGCTAAAGCTGGCTGGCGAGCACACTTCTGGGGAAGACCCCAGTCACTGACAGGATGGCCTGAGGGTTGCTAAGAACTCTGAGACTCTGTCCCAGCTCAGAGAGCAATGTGTGTTGGTTTATTGGTGATGTCTTCCAGGGCCACGAGCATGAGTGATGGGGTAGCGTCTCCTAAGCCTGACTCCAGAAGAGCTCACCTGATGTGATGGCATGGTCTCTCTTTAAGTTCTCGCCTTCGTTCTTCAGCGTTTCGATTTCTGAGTTGCGCTCAGCCAGGGTCTGAGATAGCACCTGGCTATAGCCTTTTTGAAGGGCACTGATCTGTGGGAGGAGTCATCACATAGTCAGAGGGCAGGACCGGGCCCAAGACACATGGGTATTTCCCAAAGCTGTGCAGAGATTCTGACCTGTCGCATGATCTTGTTTCAGTACTGACAAAGGTGCCGCTGCCCCACTGCCATGGGACCCCTGTCCTCCAAGTGTACATTTTTATGTCAACGGGACTCTCAGCCATAAACAGAGCAGCCTGGGGTTTCCCGTCAGCCACCACTGGCTAGATGTCAAACAGAGTTCAAGAGAGGTCACAGGTTGTATGTAACCTTAATTTCCTCAGACGACAATGGACATATTTCACAGATCCCCAGATTAGGGATGGAGGTAATCCAACACACATCCAGGAATTTACTTAAAACACTGAGTTTTAAAGACAATTTTATGGTGGGGGATTGGTGGTGAGCATGCCACAGTGCATGCGTCGAGGTCAAAGGACAACCTCCTCTGGGAAGATCAGACCATGTAGAAATACATAGTTTAGTAGTTATGGGTTAATAATGAAGACAGAACTGGCCAATAAGAAGCCCAAGCTACTGGTCAACAATTTCATAATTAATATCGTGTCTGTGCGTTTATTTGGGGCTCTCAAGGGCAGCGGGACCTTGCTGGGACAAAGAACCATATGTTACACTACCACATTCACACATACACACACACACACACACACACACACACACACACACACGCAGAGCGGGAGTCTTTACTATGTAGCCTATACTTGGGGGAGGGCCGTATGTGACTGCCAACATCTGGTCCCTGCTGTGTCCAGGCTATGCTGCCACAGGAAAGACCCTGTGTCCTGTCTTAGTTTTTGATTTGTGTGTTTTTGTTTTTGTTTTTTTGAGACAAGTTTCTCTATGTAGCTCTGGCTGTCCTGGAACTGGTCCAGACTGGCCTCAAACTCACTGAGCTCTGCCTGCCTCTGCCTCTCTGAAGTACTGGGACTAAAGGCGTGCGCGCCAACATGCCATGTCTGGTCCTGTCTCTGCTTTTAGTTCTGTGAGCATGGTCATGCTAGTCCCGACTCTTCAGGACTGTGGAGAGCTTTTATAAGTTAATGGCCTTAAAAGTGCTCAGACAATGTCCCGTGGACATATAAATATTAGCTGTGATTATTTGACTCTCCAGTGCTGTTTTGGCTTTAGCTTCTGGTTGCTTTGGGGGAAGGGACACAGACTATAGTACCTACTGGGTGACTGCTGACCGACCATCATGCCCTGCCCCAGGCCTGGCATGAAAAAGACAGAGCAAGTACTGTTCCACCCAGATTTGGGGTGGGACGCTGCACCTGCATTCCACCACTAGATGGCGCCCATAGGCCTGTGTTGGGCATCCCTCTGAGTAGAAGTCCTTGGTAAAACCAACAGGGGTTTTACCTGTTGGTAAAAGCCATAAAGAAAAACAAAACTGCAGGAGAATAGATGGACCTGGAAAATATTATAATAAGTGTGGCAACCAGGCCTGATCTCAGACAAACACCATTTGTTGTCCCTCATATGTGGATCTTAACGTTTTATTTATTTACTTATCTGTATTTGAGTGTATGACTATAAGTATGTCGTTGCATCACATGTATTCGTGATGCCCGAGGAGGGCAGAAGAGGGCGTTGGATCCCTTTGGGACTGGAGTTACAGGCTGTTGTGAGCCGCCATGCGGGGGCTGGGAATTGAACGCTGGTCCTCTGCAAGAGCAGCCAGTGTTGTTATTCGCTGAGCCATCTCTACAGCCCACTTCTAACGCTGTTGTATGCACTATCTGTGTGGAAGGGGGGAGGATAAATACCCAGAAACTAGAAAGAGACCATGAGAGGGAAAGGTTCCTTTACGTGGGAAATGACCCTATAATTAAACCTCAGTGCATGTTAAGTACAGTTTATTTAACCTCTCCCCAAATCATGACTGGTTAGGCCAAGCATAGGAGCTTTAAGTCTCTCATTAGGCTGTTAGGAATTGCTTTTCAGATTCACTTCTAAGTAGTAAATAATGCCACTGAAGGTGTTTCAGTATTGTTTCTTCCCATTTTGCACATTTAACTCTTCCCAGTGAGTTTTGGTTTTGTTTGGATCTTGACGCCTTTTACCTTGCATTAATTGTTATTATGTAAATTAAAACATCCTTCGCGTTCACTAGATCTTATTGTGTAAACGCAAATCTTCTAATAAAAATTTAAATAATGGAAAAAATCCAGGGAGGGTAAAATCCAGTGTGTGTGTGTGTGTGTGTGTGTGTGTGTGTGTGTGTGTGTGTGTGTGTGTTGGGGACACACAGGCCTGTTCCCCTCCCCATACTTGGAGCTACACAATTGAATCTGATCTGTGCTTTGGAAACCAAGAATGAAGAAAAGCTCCTCTTCCTACTTACCATAAAAGACACCTGTACTTAAAAATAAATGTTTCTAGGGGCTTCAAAGAAGGCTTAGTCGGTAAGAGAGCTTGCAGCTCAATCACAAAGAAGATTGGAGTTCGGATCCCAGCATTCACATAACAGGCAACTGTGTCAGCACACAAGCCTATAAGGCAGGCCCTGGGGGGGGGGCAGAGAAAGGGAGGTCCCTGGGGCTGGCTGGCTCTAGGCTGAGAGATCCTGTCTCAGGGGGAAAAGACTGCGAGGGACAGGTGTGAGCTCCCATTCACACGGGCAGGCATACACTGTGCACATTCAAAACTAAAAACAAATAACCATTTCTGATTCTTAGCTTAAATCTTTCTTGTGCAGGACACCAAAGGCATTCTCTAAAGATGAGCTTGGGGCAGGGACAGGAAGGGTTGCCCCTAAGAGTCCAAGGCTATTAGATGGAAAACAATTCAATCAAGCACCGCAGCCCCAGGGTCTCAAACTGCAAACAGCTTTCAGACGTCTCCATTGCCTTCATTACCCAAATAAATATCCAGATTGTCTGTCTCTGGCACAAACCCCAGGATGTTTATTGCCTGGTTAGGCTGCGTAATAAAACGGGTATTGGATCATAAGAAAGCTAACAGCGCTGGGAAGAATGATTGCCTCGAGGTACTAACCAGGCTGATGGCGCAGGCGTGGTGAGGCGAGGCAATAACCAGCCTGTTAGCGCAGGCGCAGGGCGGCGAGCTCTTTCTAGTGTGGCATGGATGAGCTTTGAGAGCAAATCGTTAGGTACAAGCTTTCAGGAGACCCTCGATAACACATAAAATAATTAGAGCCATTAATTAACCTGCCGGGCAGCTTTGACTTCTGCCGGAAGGTTCTGCTGGCAATAAAGTAGTTCAGAAGCTTAAACAAGATCTGGAGGAACTGGATTTGGGTTTAGATCCATCGCATCTTTGGGTTCAGAGAGGCTGCGACAAAATATCCCTCAAAAACAGCTTCAGGAAGGGAAGGTTTATTTTGGCTCGCGCTTTGAGGGTACAGACCGCCCTGGCGACAGGAGCTGGTCATGTCACAACTGCAGTCAGGAAGCAGAGACGGATGCTGGTGCCCAGCCCACTTTCTCCTTTATATCCTGCCCAGGACTCTAGCCCGTGGGATGGTGCTACCCTCCATGAGGGTGGGTCTTCCCCATCTAGACAGTCCCTCACGGACATCTAGGATAGGCTGGTCTCCTAAGATGATTCTAGATCTGGGCAGGTTGACAATCATTATCTAACATCACAGGTCTCATAAAACATTCTCTTTGGAGCCAGTGGAATGACTCAGTGATGTGGAGGCATTTGCCGCCGAGACTGGTGGTCTGAGTTTTATCCCTGGAATTAAATAGTGGGAAGGAACTGAGTTCTGCAAGTTGTCCTTGGACCTCCACATGTGTGCTGTAGCGTGCGTGTGTGCGTGTGTGTGCGCATGCGCACGCACTAAAAACTAAAATAAAGCATCCCTTTCAGTTACCACTGACAACAGAAGTGTGATAAATGAATGTGGTTGTTTCTAGATCATTCCCAAGGGAATAAACAATATTTTCAGACGCCACTAGTTTCTCGAAACAACACTCAAACTGTGCCCTGCTGCCACAGACTCAGAGACAGGTGTAGGTGAGCACCCGTTCTAGTTTGATTTCTGTTGCTGGGGTCAACGCTATGAACAAAAGCAACTTGGAGAGGAAAGGGTTTAGCTCATTTTTCAGTTTATAGTCATCATGAAGTCAGGCAGGGATCCCGGCGGGAACCCGGAGCCATGAGTTGATGCAGAGGCCATGGAAGAGTGATCTTTACTGGTTTGCTCTTCACAGCGTGCTCAGCCGGCTTGCTTTTCCTTTTCCTTTCCGTCCCTTTCCTCCCTTTTCTTTTCTTTCCTTCCTTCCTTCCTTCCTTCCTTCCTTCATTCTCCTCCTCCTCCTTCCTTCTCTCCCTTTCTCCCTCTCCCTCTCTCCCTCTCTCTCTCCCTCTCTCTTCCTTTCTCTCTTCCTCTCTCCCTCTCTCTTCCTCTCTCTTCCTCTCTCTTCCTCTCTCTCTTCCTCTCTCTCTCCCTCTCTCTCTCTCTCTCTCTCTCTCTCTCTCTCTCTCTCTCTCTCTCTCTCTCTCTCTCTCTCTCTCTCTCTCTCTCTCTCTGGGACAGGGTTTGTCTGTATAGCCCTGCCTGTCCTAGAACTCTCTCTGTAGACCAGGCTGGCCTCAGACTCACAGAGATCGGCCTGCCTCTGCCTCCGGAGTGCTGGCATTAAAGATGTGCGCCACCACACCTGGCTCAGCCTGCTTTGTTGTAGAACCCAGGGCCTCCAGTCGAGGGATAGCACTGGCACAAGGAACTGGACCCTCTGGTGTCAATCATTAACAGCTTATGTACACAACCAATGTGGCCACACATGATTATTTCTTTTAATTGATTGCATGTATGCAGGTGTGTATGCAGGCAAATGTATGCAGGCATGTTCATGTTTGTGTATGCATGTGTATATGGAGGCCAGAGGTCAACCTCAGGCCTTATTTTGGGGAACCATTGACCATATTTTTTGAGACAGGGCTTCGTGCTGGGACCTGGGGCTTGCCTCTTTGGATAGACTGGCTGACTGAAGAGGCTCAAGGCCTGTCTCTACCTCACCAGTGTTGGCATTTCAAGTGTGTACCACCATGCCTTGCTTATTTTAATTAGATTTTTTTTGGGTTTTTTGAGACAGGGTTTCTCTGTGTAGCCTTGTATGTTCTGGAACTTGCTCTGTAGACCAGGCTGGCCTCAAACTCACAGAGAGTCTCTGACCTCTGCCTCCTGAGTGCTGAGATTAAAGGCATGCATCACCACCACACAGTTTAGTTAGAAATTTTAAAATAATTTTATACATGAGTCCTGTCATTTCCACCTCTTCCCCCTGCCTCCAATTCCTCCTGTCCCACTCCCTCTCAAATGCAGTTTCTTCATCTTTAATTTTTTGTTTTTTTTTTTGAGACAGGGTTCTCTGTAGCTTTTGGAGCCTGTCCTGCACTCTCTCTGTAGATCAGCCTGGCCTGGGAACTCACTGAGATCCACCTGCCTCTGCCTCCTGAGTGCTGGGGGATTAAAGGCATGCGCCACCGTGCCTGGCTCATCTTTATTATTGTTACATCTATACATATATATGTACTATAAACTGTTATATAGATATATAACACAGATATATTATGTATGTATATATAAGATGTATATATACATGCATATAGGCTATATAACACAGACATATATATATATATAGGATACATATCTGTGTGTATGTATATGTATATGCATATGAATACATATCTCCAAGTCCACTTAGTGTTGCTCACAGGCACATGTGTTTATGGCTGACAACTCCATAGACTGCCTGGAGTTCTTCACCTGGGGGTGGGGCCTTGTAAGAATTTCCCACCCATGCTGCATGCCTTTGCTCTTTTACAGTGGTATCCAACTCAGGTCCCTATGTTTGCTGTGCAAAACAGTTGAGCCATCTCCTCAGCCCAATTGCTGTTGTTATAAAACAAGAATCTGGATCTGGTTTCCAGAGAACGGAAACTGCTTGGTTAACAGAGACCTTCCAAGTGGGGAGTATTCATTTGATGACACTGCCCATCCTGGAGCCAGCGGCCACCTCCAGGGCTTGAGGAGGCGTCGGAGTCAGATGAGCTGGGCATCTTCACTCCTGGGCTAACTGCCCATAGCTCTTTCGAAGTGGGGCAGGATGGGTGTGATGGGCAGTCATTAAGGACAGAAAAAACACACTTGGTGGTTTTAATGAGAAGCTGGGATAGGGGTATGGGGTCAACTAGGCAGATCAGATCCGAGTCTGAGGTGCTCTGCCACCTCCAGTGAGCTAGCTGTGTGAGTTCCAGGCAGCTCCTGGGCATCTCTGGGACTACCACGGTCTTTTTGTGGGATGCATCAGAGGACTATGACAGGTCTAAAGAATGTTCTCCAGGGCCCACCACATGCTGTACTGGAAAACTGGGCCCCTGGTGGTCTTCTGCCCCTTACCCTTCACGATGCCCCAGATGCCCCTCTCCCGGCTCCTCCCATCTGTACCCCTGGGCTCTACTCTGATGGTGGGGACTCTAGGCTCTGATGGAGTTGTCCCCGAGTCCTACCTGGCTTTTCATGCTCTCAATCTCCTTCTGCCTGAGATCATCGCCTTCATCCTGGTCCTGGAACTTCAGGACACTTCTGTCGGTCTGCCTGGCTGCGGCGGCAGCTGCCACCATCTCTGAGAGCCTTTGACTCAGTTCAGCCAACTCCACCCGCAGGTTCATTATCACCGCATCTTTGTATTTGGACTCGATTTCAAAATCAGAGAGCCGATTAACCTCTCTCCCCAGCAGCAGAATGATCTCATCCTGTGTGGGGACAGGAGGGAGGCTTAGCAGGGGTGGGTGAGAGCTGGACCTGTTTCTACAATATGGAGAAAATGGGGTGTCACTCTGGGAAATGAGGAGGGGGAGGGTAGGCAGAGGGGCAAGGAGGCATTTACAGGCTGTCTCTTGGAAGGCCCCAGAGAGAGTAGAGTTGGCTTAGAACCACACACTTGTACCTAGGTGCCTATTATGGAGCTTTTGGGGCACAGAAACTTCCATTACCAAGAAAAAAAAAACTTTCCCATGGTAAACCACACCCCTCTGGGAATGTCAGTGGGCAGGAAGATTTTTATTTCATTCTGTGTATTCCCTTACGAGGCCTGAATCCAGGATGTCAGAGACCCAGCATAGGTAATTAGAATGACATTCAATCCCGACACATTCTGCCAGTAACAAGGGTATTAATTTAATACTTTTAATGTATTCTGGAGGGGTCATTTTTTTCTTCCTTCTCTCTGGAATTCTCTGCTTCCTCTGGAAGCCCCCATGAAAGAATATTCAGGGAACTGAGTCTGAATGCTGAAGGCATGGTGGTTTGGGAAAACTCGGGTGTGGGGACTGTTGACAGAGTTTCCCACATCTGGAGTCACCCCCCGGCCCCCAGGAAAACACAGTGACCACAGAATTTCCTGTTTTCCCAAAGCAGGAGAAGGTACCCTGAACCCCTCAGAGTGTCAGAAAGACTGGAAAAACAGAATCCTAGCTACATGCCTAGGGGACGGATGGTGTATGAAGGAGTCTGCTGTGCCTTTCTCTGGGTTCCTGTTTCAGTTTCTGACAGACTCTGTGATCCTGGGGAACCCCTGCCTCATCCAGAGTGAGCCACCCAGGGCCTATGCTCAGCATAGAATATACTTGGCCATTATTCATGAAACAAGCATTTATTGGGCACCTACTGTGAGCCCGGTTCTGCATTGGACCCTGGATATAAACAAATCTTTGGGTTCGATGTTCAGCGAAGGCTCTGTCTTTCTGGTGAGGTCCCTATGCCCTCCTTAAGGAGTGTCACCCAATCCTTCCATGTGGTTTTGGTAATGTTGAATGTCAGTCAGGTACCTCACTCCCTGTGTCCCTCCTCTTCATGTCCCTGTGACCCAGGCTGGTCAACCAAATTTTCTCTGCACTCTTGTGTATAGGTTCTAAGATGGTGGTGGCGTGTGTGTGTGTGTGTGTGTGTGTGTGTGTGTGTGTCCTGCATCATTTTGTATCATGGACTTTGAGTACAGAGGCTTGAGTTTGACCATACTCATCCTGCTCAGGACAGGAAGCCAGCCTGCTAGAGAATGTCAAACTGAAGGGAGGACAAAGAGTAGAACAGGCGACAGCGAGTATTCCAGTGACATCGCTGAAGATCCGAGACCCTGCCATGCCTGAAACTTGCTAGCCTTTCAACTGTCCAATAAGATTGACCATTGAACATTTTCCACCCATTTGTCGATTGTCCCTTGTCCTTGAAAGTGCCTTGGGAAGTTAGGACATAAACGGCTCAACATAGCAAAAATTACTCTGTTGTCATTTTATTTCCAGCTTAACAGCTGTGGCGGATTGAGCATGGTGACAAATACTTTGTGGCTTTTGTCACCGAGTGGCATTTCTTCTGTCCACTGTCTGGCTTGTGACTCCAGTGGACAGATGGAAAGCAGCAAAGTGATACGGTGAGTGAGCTCTGAGCGAGCTGTGGGGACAGACAGACGGACAGACGGGAGGCAGAGGGAGTGGTGCAGAGGGAGGGGACTTTGAGTAGAGGCAGAAGGAGGGGACTCTGAGTAAGCTGTCAAGGTACTGCAGTGTCAGCCTCCGCACCCTGGGGACCTGAGATGGCTGTGCTGGGCAGAGAGCATGCAGACAGCTCGCCATTGTCCCCATCTGAATGAGGGCCCCGACCTGACAGCTGCTGCCACCTGGGACCCCCAGCCCTGCCTGCAACTCTCTGAGTTGATTGCATTTGTGTGTAAGCTGCAAGACCCCGGCAGACCATCGTGCGAGTGAAGTCACGGGAAAAGGGTGGGTGGCTGCTTTCAGCCACTAGATTTGGGGGGGCTTGCTGCAGGGTGACAGGCTGGTGGCAGTGTCTGCTAGGTGGCTTCTCATCTTACCACAGCACCTCCCAGTCTGGTCTCAGGATGCCAGCCTCAGAGCTGCCTCCTGGCCCTAGCTACGACACTCTCAAGCCATGATCCTGAGGGTTAAAGGAACCCCGTGTTCCTGATTTCCCACAGGCAAGAACCCCCTGGGCTCAGATCCTGGTCTGTAAGGAAAGTGAGGCATTGATGGGTTGGGTTTTACTGCTGCTGCTTTGTTTGGAGGCAGGGTCTCGTGTATCCCAGGCTGGCCTTGAGCTTATCACACAGCTCAGGATGAGCTCAAGCCTCTCATTGCTAGCAGGGGTATGTTTTCCTCACCCGCGTGCAATAATCGCGTGGGACTGACTGGGTGTGCCAGAGAGGTGGTGCCAGGCCTGGATGCGAATTCAGTTCTGCTTCTTGTGCTGTGAAAACTTGGGCATGCTACTGAACCTCTCTGACCCAAAGTTTCCCCATCGGTAAAGTGGAGGTGACCAAATCTGCTCTGAGGCCTATGAAGATGGAAGGAGCAGATAATGAGCTTAGGGGCTCAACCCGGCTCACAGTAGATGCTCAATCAACTGTGGGCACAATCGTCTATTAAGTAAGACATGGTTCCTTGGAAAAGGACACAGAGAAGAAGAGGTGACAAGTCATCTGTGGCCTCTGACTGCTAAAGCACTGTGTCCCCCTCCCCCAATACCTCCTCACCTTGTCTTGCGGGCCTAGGTCCTGATCCATGAAGAACTCGGTGGGAGGTACCGCCCCGGAGAGTCCCTCGACCATGCATTGTTCTGACAGTTCCACGGCACTGGCCCACACTGTGTGACATCCACAGAGAACAAGTCACGGTGGGATCCCAAACCTGGAGGGGCCCCATACCCTGCGCCGTTGTCATGGCTTCCCCTGGAGGGTCACATTACTTCTTGCTCTTTGAGAAGGCGTCTTGTTCTAGGGCCCAAGCTGCCCCAAACTCGGCATGTAGTGAGTGCATGGTGGCTCCAAAATCTCTTGGCTTAGCCTTCTGAATGCTGGGGTTACATGCAGAAGTCGTACTTCATGCTCTGAGGTTTACATCTCCCCAGATTTGTTGCTGTTGTTATTACCATTATTCAAACGGTCTCACTACGTAGCTTGGCTGTTCCGGAACTCTCTCTGTAGACCAGTCTGGCCTCAAACTCACAGAGATCCTCCTGCCTCTGCCTCCAGAGTGCTGGAATTAAAGGCATGTGCCACCATGCCCAGCCTTTATAATTTTTTAAAAAATGTGTGTGTATGCCTGTGTGTTCCTGTGTACATGTGTGTGGAGGCCAGAGGTCGATGTTGGGTGAGTTTCTCTACCATTCTCCATCTTAGATTTTGAGACAGGGTCTCCCTAAACATTGGGGCTCACTGTCTGGGTATTCTGGCTGCCAGCGAGTTCCAGCAGTCTCCTGTGTCTGCCTCCCCATTGCTGGGATTGCAAATGTTCACAGCCCCACTTTTCATGGGTTCTGGAGACCCGAGCTTGGGTTTTTACGCTTGGGCAGTAGGCACTTTGCCCACCCAGCCTTCTTCCCAGCCACTTCTCTGCCTTGAAAAGCACAGAGCAGTGCGATGCTGAGAGGCAGTGACATCCATGGAAGGACTGGCCGGGAAAGAAGCCACCTCACCCCTCTTCTCCATCGCGATGTGACCTGCCAATCAGTGACGGATCTTTCTCTTCTGCATTACCATCTGGTGACCATGAGAGGGTCATTAAGCCTCTCTCTGCCTCTGTTCCCACATATGTAATTCAGTGACTTCAGTAGTCTCTATCATAGAGAGCTGTTATGAGATTAAGCAAGTAAGATGTAGAGTAGTGCTGTCTCTGGGACCAAACTGGGCCTTGAACACATGGCAATCCTCCTGCCTCAGCCTTCCAAGTGTTGGAATCAGACATGAGTCACCAGGCCCATATAATGCTTTGAAAACATAAATTTTTTTCTGTTATTTTTAATTATAATGTAGGCATGTGTGTCTGCTTGTACACTTGTGTGCAGGCATCTGGGGAGCTGGAGTTACATGCGATTCTGAGGCACCTGATGTAGGTGCTGGGAGCTGAACTCCAGTTCGATGCAAGAGCAGCCAGTGCTCTTGGGCCATTTCTTCAGCTTCCTAATGCTTTTTAAAAATAAATTTTGGGGATTGGAGAGATGGTTCAGAGATTAGGACTATCTGCTCTTGCGAGGACCTGGTTAAATTCCCAGCACCCTCATGGAGGCTCACAACCATTTCTAACTCCAGGTCCAGGGCATCTGACACTCTCCAACCTTTGTCTGGCTGCCTCAGGCACAGCACAGAATGTCCTTGTACGTCAAATCAAATCAAAACGTCTGTAAAACGGTTTGAGTTGGGCAGTAGTGGCACACACCTAAAGGTTAAAACCCTAGCACTTGGGAGACAGAAGCAGGCAGATCTCTGTGAGTTCAAGGCCAGCCTGGCCCACAGAGTGAGTCCCAGGTCAGCCAGGGTTACAGAGTGAGACCCTTTCTCCAAACCAAACAAACTTTTAAAAGTAAAGCTTTACCGGAACATGGCTGGAATCATTCACTTTTGGAGCTGCTTTTTGCTCTCCAGGGACAAAGACTTTAATTTCAACAAGGGCCCTGTGGCCACAAAGTACAAAATCTTTGCAATTGGCTCCTGGGACACTGTAATATAATCAATACACAATGGCTCTCAGCTGAGCCTGTGATCCCAGCTACCCAAGAGGCTGAGACATTGCAAAGGAAAAGTGAGTTTTCTCTTGCGGAGTCTCGCTGGGTACACAAACCACACCTAGAGGCAGGCCTGTGTCCCGCAATAGATTGTGCCAGGCTCTTGCTTTTGGACCACCAACCAGCCCCCAAATAATGACTGAGAGACTTAATGGTAGTTATGAATGCTCGGCCTTATGTTGTGTTCGTTTTTTCCTAGCTTTTTAAAGCTTAACCTGTTTCTCTTCATCAGGGCCTTTTAACTTTTCTTTCTGTAGGTCCTCCATGTCTGTCTGTCTGTCTGGCGGCCGCCTTTCTGGCCGGTCCCGCACATCTTCCTCTCTTTCTTGTCGTTCCTCTTTCCTAGCCTAGATTTGCTCTCCTATTTATTCTCTCTGCCTGTCAGCCCTGCCTATCCCTCTCCTGCCTAGCTATTGGCCATTCTGTTTTTTTATTAGACCAATCAGGTGCTTTAGGCACCTAGACCAATCAAGGTGAAAAAGCAACACATCATTACATAATTAAACAAATGCAGCATAAACAAACGTAACACATCTTTACATCGCTAACAAAGGCAGCAGAAACCAATGTAACACACCTTTGCCTAGTTAAAATAGTATTCCACAACAGTAGATGGCCAACACAAAATGAACTCAGTGGTGGTTTTAGAAGATTTTTGTCTCACAATATTTTGTCTGGGTATTTTTTTCTTTATAGCCTTATAAGTCTTTTGGTTATATATTGGATATATATATATGTATACATATATATGTTTTCAATTTTGCTTTCGTAGATTTTCTGTGCATGCAAATGTGTGTCTGTCAGCATCTGTATGTGGATTTTATGATTTTTCTTTGGCTCCCCCCACTGTTTGTTTGTTTTGTCCTATTTTTGTTTGTTTGTTTTTGTTTTATTGAATTTTATTATTATTTTAGATGCCTGTTTATATTCTAATAAGAGAGAGAAAGAGAAAGAAAGGGTTTGGGTTTTGGTGGGTGGAGAAGTGGGAAGGATCTGGGAGGAGTTGGGAGAGGGGAAACCATAATCAATATATACTCTGTGGAAAAAAATCTATTTTCAGTAAACAATTAAATTAAGATACTATGCATGTATCTAATCTATCTATCTATCTATCTATCTATCTATCTATCTATCTATCTATCTGGAGATAGATCACAAATTTAAGTTCAGCCTGGGCTACACAGCAAGTTCAAAGCCAGTCTAAGTAACTTAGTGAGACCTTGTCTCAAAAAATATGTAAGGAAGTAAAACTGGGTGGGGCGGGGCTTCAGGGAGGAGCACCTGACCAGCAGGCACAAGGTCCTGGGTCAGATTCCCGGCAGCTCAATAGCCACTGCGCAACTGTGTCAGGTGAGCACCTGACTGCTGTCCCCTCCCACAGAGATGAACTCCGTTTCTGAGAAGAGAAGCCAAAGAACCCTTTCTTCCCCAAATTTCTCTGGATCATTTGAGAACAGCAACAGAGAAGTACCTAATACACATGGGAAGGCGTCTTGCCCACAACCACGTGGCAGTGTCATGTTGGAGGCAGACTCGCCAATCCTGATGAAACCTTCAGGGGTCCACAGCCCTGGTCAGCTCCACAACTTCTACCTCATGATCTCCTGAGCCACAGGCATGGAGTTGAGCGGACCCCGAGTCCCTGACCTACAGATGACATCCCACACAAGGTCTTTGTTCAGTGTGTGTGTGTGTGTGTGTGTGTGCGGCTGTTGGGTTTGGGGATAACTTGTTACATCACAATTAATGACTGATACACATTTTATGTGTGAACTCGACATTAAAAGACAAAAATCTAAGTTGGACGTTGGTGGCGCATGCCTTTAATCCCAGCACTCAGGAGGCAGACGCAGGTGGATCTCTGTGAGTTGCAGGTCTACAGAGTGAATTCCATGACAAGCTCCAAAGCAATACAAGAGAACCCTGTCTCCAAAAACCAACCAACCAACCAACCAACCAACCAACCAACCAAACAAACAAATAAAAATAAAAGACAAAATCTATTTTATGGTGTACATGCTCAAAACACTTAAGGGGGATACTGCAAACATGTGCAATGTGCTTTGAAATGCATAAGACAATGAGTTGGTTCAATTAATGAAGGACGGGACAAATAGAGTTAAATAGTAAGGGGCTGGGAGATGGCTCAGCACTTAAGAGCACTGACTACTCTTCCAGAGGACCTGAGTTCCTCATGGAGGTTCACAATGGTCTGTAACTTCAGTTCCAGGGTGTTCTGACGCCCTCTCCCGGCCTCCATGAGTACTGCATGTGGTGCACAGACTTACACGCAGACAAAATACCCGGACATGTAAAATAAATCAATATAAAAAATGCAGAGTTAAACAGAATGCTACAGATAGAACTAGGTGAGCCCAGGGCCTCACACAGGGAGGCAAACCTTTACCCACTGAGCTACATGCTCAGGCCTTCTGTTCTTTTTGTATTTGGAGACCGGATCCCGCTAAGTGTTGTGAAGTAAACTTCTTGCACATAGTGGAGATGTATCTTTGGTAAGGCGCCTTCTGATTGGTTTAAGAAAGAGCTGACTGGCCAACAGCTAGGCAGGAAGAGGTTAGGTGGGACTTCCGGGCAGAGAGAGAAGGACCATAGATGAATATAGGCGCGGGAGAGATTCCAAAGGATACGGAGAGGAAACAGGAGGTAAAAGATGGAAAAGAGGTAAAGAACCACGAGATAAAACGCATATTAATATAAATGGGTTAATTTATGGTATAAGAGCTAGTGGGACAAGCCCAAGCTATAGGCTGGGCTGTCATAATTAATTACAAGTCTCCGTGTCATCTTTTGTGAGCTGATGCCCCAAAGGAAAGTCTGCCTATAGCTAAATTACCCAGAGTGTCCTTGGACCCGCACTGTGGCTCAAGCAGACATTGAACCTGTGATCATTCTGCCTTCCAAGTAGGACCCACTCCGTATGTTTGCAAATGTTTGAGTTCAATTGTTGGGGGATGATAGGCTGCTTCCAGAACGTGGGTGGTTCATTTGATGATGGTGGTGATGAGGGTGAGGTCAACCTTGGAGATCCATTTGCGTACTCCCTACTCCCAGGATTTCACAGTAGCAATTATAATTTTAGTGACAGAGGAGGGCGACTAGGTCAAAAGTCATGACCAAGGAGAGCGCCAAGCAAGCAGGGGCTCCAGGGGCTATGGAGTTGAGGCAGGGGAGAAGAATAAAAAAATCTTGATCAAGCCACCATGGAGGAAGTCTGGGGACCGTGTCCAAGGCCTGGATTGACATCTACTCCATTGCTAGGGCTACTGTGGCCAAGAGGACGGGAATGGATAGAATGTCCTATGCCCAAGTACCCCGAGGCCTTTGAGGCAGGGTTGGGATAAGAGTGGGACCCTCCCCCCAAAGGCTGTGTTTCCTGCTGAGAGAGGGCCGTGGTAGGGAAGCACTTTCCCTGGTAACTGTCACTCTCTTCTCACCTGAACTGTGGTAACAGATCATTTTACAACTTCCCAGGGCAAAGGGGGTTTCTGTTACCAAACTCTCCTGCTCATCTACAATAAAGAGAATTACGCAGATCCCACTAAACACCATGTCCATGAACACACATGCACAAATACACACACACTGAACAGGGAACTGCAGCATGGACTGGGGCTCTGGGGATGTCTGGTAGACAATCAGGAGCTTGAATGGGGATCCAGGTGTTACAGTACACAGCTGTTTTCCAGCTGTCCCCTTATGATCTCTTTATTTTTAATTAATCCTCCCTCCCTCCCTCCGTCCCTCCGTCCCTCCGTCCCTCCCTCCCTGCCTCTCTTCCTTTTTGAGACAGGGTCTCATTATGTAGCCCTGGCTGTACTGGAACCTACTACGTAGACCAAACTGGCCTTGAACTCACAGAGATCTGCTTGTTTCTGCATCTGGAGGGCTGGGATTAAAGGTGTCCATCACCACACCCAGATTTATTTATTTAAGAAGTTTTTCACTGGGCGTTGGTGGCACATGCCTTTAATCCCAGCACTCAGGAGTCAGAGGCAGGCGGATCTCTGTGAGTTCAAGGCCAGCCTGGTCTACAGAGCGAGTTCCAGGACAGCCTCCAAAACAATACATAGAAACCCTGTCTTGAAAGAAGAAGAAGAAGAAGAAGAAGAAGAAGAAGAAGAAGAAGAAGAAGAAGAAGAAGAAGAAGAAGAAGAAGAAGAAGTTTCTCACATAGCCCAGGCTAGCCTTGATGCACCAAGTAACACAGGATGGCTTGATCTTCTGACCCTCTTATGCCACCATGTCTGGTTTTGTGTAATGCAAGGATTCAAGGCCTTCATGCATACTAGGCAACCATGCTATGACTACATCCCCAGCCTTCCCTCTTTATTTAAGTAATCATGATTTTTATATTTTATTTATTTTAAAGATTCATCTGTCTATTATGTATACAGTGTTCTGCCTGCACATATGCCTGCCGGCCAGAAGAAGACACCAGATCTCATTATAGATGGCTGTGAGCCCAAGTCACTCTGTAGACAGGGGTGGCCTTGAACTCACAGAGATCTGTCTGCTTCTGTCTCCCAAGTGCTGGGGTTAAATGTGAGTGTGCCACCACCACCCAGATCAAACTGTTTTACAGACGTACTGATTTGATTTGATGTACCTGGATGTTTTTGTGCTGTGCTTGAGGAGGCCAGAAGAAGGTTGGAGGGTGTCAGATGCCCTGGAACTGGAGTTAGAAATGGTTGTGAGCCACCATGTGGTTGCTGGGAATTGAACTCAGGACCTCTGGAAGAGCGGCCAGAGCTCTTAACCTCTGAGCCATCTCTCCAGCCCCGCCCCCATTTCAACTGTGTACACATGTGTGTGTACCTGCACTTGCATGTGCTCACACCCCGTAGCATGTGAGAGGAGGTCAGAGGACAGACTGCAGGAGTTAATTGTCTCCTTCCACCTTGTGGGCTCTGCATCCGGTTGTCACGCTTGGCAGCAGGCCCCTTTTACCTACCCAGCCCTCTTGCCTGCCCATCATTATGCCTTTTACAATTACAGTCCCTTTTTAGAGTCAAAGTGAAGAACAAGGCTCATGGCATTAAATCCTTGCCAGAAGTTACCCCCCAGAGCCTGGCACATACCTTGCTTGATGACAGGGGACTTGGGGTCCATCACAAAGGAAAACATCTTCCCGTTGGCACTCATGGGCCGCTGGTGAGCAGGCGGGACCATGGTGGGTCTGGGGCAACCCTGCGACCAACTTCTCTGCATTGATGCTGGCCGGATGCCCTGGTAGAATGGTATGTGGGGTGGCGAGGGTGCCTGGTGTGGCTGCTGTGTGGCCTGAGGTGGCTGTGGCATTGCCCAAGGTGCTGGGCCCCTCATCCAGGGGCAGGAGACCTGCAGGGAAGACGTGAGGCTCAGAGGAGGCCGCTTTCAGGCACATCGTGCCGTGCCCTATGGCCCAGCTTGTGAGTCACTCCCTCCAGGAAGCCTTTTTTGTATGCTCCTCAAGTTCAGGACAGTGACCTAGCCATGGGACCTTAGGTCACCGTCCTGCTCTGCCAAGAGATCACCATGTATTTATTTGTTCATTTAATGCGTTGACAATGACGACTCGGAGGCCGGGCAAGATTGGGTTGTAAAAATATGTGAGCATCCAGCCGCTGCCCAGCCCTCAACACTTGCAGGCCTCCCCCTCCTCACAGACACTGACAGACACCTAACAGAATCCCCAGGGGTCAAGGTCTCTCACCCGGAAGTTACTGTATTAAAGGGGTACTGGTGGCATACATCCTGTTCCCCACCCCTCCCTGCTTCCTGCCTGGGAACCTGAGAGCCTGGCTTTGGGTGTGTGCTGTGAAACCTTCCCATGCTTGGGAATGTGTGAAAAGAGACTCCATTCTTGCCGTGCGGGCCTTGGTTCCCCTCTTCAGAGCCTCTACCATGCTGTCAACCTCTGGTTCTGGGGCCTGAACTCTCCTCAGAGCCCACACCATCCTGTCATCTGACTGTCCCTGGTGTTAGTACACTATTCTAACACACCATCCTGTCGTCTCTGACTGTCCCTGGTGTTAGTACACTATTCTAACACACCATCCTGTCGTCTCTGACTGTCCCTGGTGTTAGTATACTATTCTAACACACCATCCTGTCGTCTGACTGTCCCTGGTGTTAGTACACTATTCTAACACACCATCCTGTCGTCTCTGACTGTCCCTGGTGTTAGTACACTATTCTAACACACCATCCTGTCGTCTCTGACTGTCCCTGGTGTTAGTACACTATTCTAACACACCATCCTGTCGTCTCTGACTGTCCCTGGTGTACAATTATATTCCTCTTCATGGAGGGAAGGGTGAGCAGGTCACTGGGAATTGGACCAGCTCCAGGGACCCTCCCCTCCCAGCAATTCTTCCATCCACATTGTGGTCCCTCTATGTGTCCCAAGGCTAAGAACTCAGGGGTCAGCGTGGGATTCCGCCTCATCCACCCTCACCCCAACCTCCTCGACACCTGGTTCCAGCAGGTGCTTCACAGACACCTGGGTTCTGGGACCCGATGAAGGTGTCTGTGGCTGCTTCAGTGGAGATGCCGGGAAGAGCCTTCCCCCAGGGGAGATGTCAGGATCTGTCCCCTCAGGAGAGGCGGCACAGTGCGGAGCTGACGCAGAACTTGTAATGAGGCTTCTCCCCCGTGCCTTGTCATTCAGTGATGATGGCAACAGGGCTGTGGTCTGCTGCACTGGGCTCAGCTATTCCCACAGCAGCCCTTGGATGAGCCACCCAGGCTCAGGGAGTGCTGCAGAGGCCCAAGGCTCTAGACCTCACAGCTCCTCTCTCTCTCATCCCGCCTCCCTGCCCGTATCTTTTACCTCCTTCCCTCTATCCTCTGTGCCTATCCTTTCCTGCCTCTCTCCTTTCTTCCTGTCCCCTCCCCCTCACCTCTGTGTGTGAGCATGTGTGTGTGCACCCAAGCCCTACCCTGTCTCTCTCCTCCCTCTGGGAATAACCATCACACTTTCCAAGTGCCAGGCTCTGTTGAGATCCTTGGGGCACCAGTACTTCCAAGGCTGCCACCTCTCTTTAAACACTAGACCCACGAGGGGCAGGCAGCCACTTCCTAACTGGAGCTCACTGAGACCCCTTCTGCCATGTCTGTATCAAAGGAAGGCTGTCCCCTGCTCAGGGCCTGACCCTGGGCATCCTAGAATACTCTTAGAGCAGTGAGAAGTACCCAGGGAAACTGAGTCACTTAGGAATGCTAGCCCATTTTGAGTCTGTTTCCAGGAAGGGGACGTGGCTGGCTTCTGTTCCTGGCTGGTCCCTCTTGCCTCAGTTCTTTTCTAGACTGTTCTAACTAGATTAATAGATGCTTATTGAACATGGGCGCTGAATGCATCTCAGGCAAACTGACAGCAAGGGTCCTGAGGGATGAGGGACATCACCTCCCAGACCACAGGCAGGACCCACTCCCCATCTCTGGGCTTGGGGTGGTTCTGGGCAACCCCCCTACATTGTGGGAGGGACTAGGGAACCAGCAGTCACATCTCGTGACATGATTCTGAGAACTGGTTCAAGAATCATGTGCTCCAAGCAGGGCCAAGTAGACTAGGCTGGACCCTAGGATCTTCTGCTACAGCTGACTCTGAAGGCTTGAGGATGTAGGAACCCCGAGGGAGGAGAGGGGGAGTAGGGCTCTTAAAAACTGTAAACAGACAAAGCCCCAGAGGACATGATGGGGGGTGGTACAGCAGACCTGGAACCCCAGAGCTTGGGAGGCTGGGGCAGGAAGAGCATGAACTTGAAGGCTGTGTGAACAGAGACCCTGTCTCAAAGAAGGCACAAAACTTACCCCCATCTTAAGCAATTTTTAAAGATTTATTTATTTTATATAGATGGTGCTCTATCTACACATAGAGTCTACATGCCAGAAGAAGAGGGCACCACACCAGACCTCATTACAGATGGTTGTGAGTCACCATGAGATTGCTGGGAATTGAACTCAGGACCTCTGGAAGAGCTGCCAATGTTCTTAACTGCTGAGCCAACTCTCCAGCCCCATCTTAAGCATCTTTAAGCATACATAACATATGAATAGTGCTGAGAACCTGAAGCTCTGGTCTCACTCACCAGCTCCCTTTCTCCCCCCTTTTTCCTTTCCTTCTCTTTGGATCTGACTGCCATGGGTACCTGTAGATGCTGAGTCCCTTCCCCACTCAAACATGGGCTAATGTAAATGCTTTCAAAAAAGATTTTTTAAAATGTGTATATATCTGTGAGTTCAGGTGCCCATGGGAATCAGAGGCATTGGATCTCCTGGAGTAGATGTGGGCACCCATGTGTATCCTGAGGACTTAACTTGGGTCCTCTGAGGGAGCAGCAATTCATTCATTCATTCATTCATTCATTTATTTTGAGACAGGGTTTCTCTCTGTAGCTTTGGAGTCTATCCTGGAACTCGCTCTGTAGACCAGAGTTCTGCCTGCCTCTTTGTATCAAGCTCTGGGATTAAAAGCGTGAGCCACCAACACCCAACGGCAGCACATACTCTTAACCCAGCCCTGAGCTGGGTTATTTTATGATTGGCTTATTTCTCTTAGCACATCATCCTCAAGAATTGTAGCAGGTAACTGTGGTGGAGCCAGAGGGGCTGCTCTGTGATCCCTGTTGTAAGACCTCAGAAAGACACCCCCCCACACACACACGCATGCATGCACACACACATTCTAAGCAGCCAGCGTGCAACTGCAGAGGACTTGTCTGTTCTCAGTCAACTTTTAATCTAGATGAGATCTTGATTACACCTCAGGAGGACTGTGAGGCTCAGGGGCCTTGGGATTATGCACCCCCTAACTTCAGGGAGAGAGAGAGGCGACATGAGGGGTAAGTGCCAGAGTGAAGGGAAACATGCCCAAACACCACAGAGTTCAAAGTCGTAGCTTGCACTAGACCCGGACAACACTTGGGATGGGTGACAGCCTTTTTTTTATAAAGTGTGTGTGTGTGTGTGTGTGTGTGTGTGTGTGTGTGTGGTGAGAGAGAGACAGAGATGAGTTTGCCTGTGTGAATGTGAATGGAGGTCAGAGGTTGGTCTCTGGGTGTCTTCCTCAATTGCTTTCTTTTGAGACAGGGTTCCACACTGAACCTTGTAGCTTTGGCAATGCAGATCCCCACAGCTCACTGGGCAGTCGGTCTGGTGGAAACAGTGAGCTCCAAGGTCCAGGGAATGGCCCTGTCTAAGGTCCAGAGTGATGGAGGAAGATACTCAATGTGAACCTCTGGCGTCCACACGCATGGGTGAGTGCACCCACACACACATGTGTAAACTACTCATACTCTGCCCCCGCCCAAGACAGTGACGGACACAACGTTAACAATGCAGAGAAGTGTCATATCTGCCGCCATGGCATTTTGAACAGCAGCCATCTTCTTCCAGCATGTGGAAGCTGACATCTGATGCGGCAGAGAAGTCTATTAGGAGTTGGGGTTGTTGACGGACATGTGCGGTCCCCTCCCCTGCCATACCTTATTTTACTTTTGTCTTGCTTACAGACATAAGCATGGATCCCACCAAGATTTGGGTTACAAACTCACCTCTGTGTCAGTTTTCACCATGAGCTGGGGTAGGGTGGCAACGTTTGTTGAGACTTGGTGCCACCCAGGGGCCACAGTAGCTAGCATCTACGTAAGGTGTTTGTAAGGGACGTGCTATACAGTGTATCAGTAACGTCCATACTATCCACACGGGCTTCACTTTTCCCCAGAGCTACTCGGTAGACAATGACTGACAGAGTCCTGGCTGAGCCCAGCACCTGGCATAGTGCCTGGCACTTACTGATGGTGTCTGATGACCCATCTGGGCTCACGCTTGCCCAAGCAGAGTGGTGTAAGCAACGGGGCTTTGGCTGATTCCGGGGCCAGGGCAGGAAGATGACACACTGAGTCCCGGGAATCTTACAGTAGCAGAAAACAGGGACAGACTGAAGGACAAAACAAAAGCAGCTGAGAAAACGACGGAGGTCTGTTGCAGGGACAAGCACCCTGCCTGAGAGAAGCACCCAGTGGCCAAGGCTAGACCAGTTTGAGTGCCAGAAAGACAGGACAGGCTGGGGAGATGGCTCATCTGGTAAAGGGTTTGCTGTGTGTAAACCCAAGGGCTTGAGTTGAACCCTATCACCCACATAAAATGCCAGATGTGCTGCTGGTTCACATCTGTAATCCTAGCACCGGGAGCATGGAGATGAAATGGTCCCTGGGACTCACTGCCCGGTCAGTCTAGCCGGCCAAGCGAGCTCCAGGGTTAGTGAGAGACCCTGTCTCAAAACAAGACAGATAACGTTCTAAGGATTGACACCAGGAGTTATCCTGTGGCTTCCACACCCACACCCACACATGTTC